GCTCCCCTGCACTCCTGTTGAATGTTGAATAGTAACAACTGTAGTGGCAGTCACTCAATTGGTGGTTCCAATTTCAGTTCTGTATGCTCCCCATAGAGATGCACTGATTCAATGCATCTCTATGAGCAGAAAGTGACTGGTGGACCGTAGCATTTTGCCATGCATGCCTAATAGCTTCCCAATGATTTCCTAAGGTAAAGCACTGGATTGGCTAAGAGCACCAAGATTGATGAGGCCAGCTGTGCAAGACCGCCGCGGTAGGGGTGTAAAGGTGAGTAAAATACCTTTTCACTGTAATCTGGTTGGGGCCAGGGCCCTAAACAGCCACCCCATGACTATAGTGTTAGGAGTACCGTATATACTCGAGTATAAGCCGAGTTTTTCAGCACATTTTTTGTGCTGAAAAACCCAAACTCGGCTTATACTCGAGTCACTGTCTGTATTATGGCAATTTACATTGCCATAATACAGACTGGGGGCTGGCAGAGCTGTTACTTACCTCTCCTGCAGCTCCTGTCAGCTCTCTCCTCCTCCGCGCTGGTCCGGTCAGCACCTCGGTCAGCTCCCAGTGTAAGTCTCGCGAGAGCCGCGGGGTAATAGTGCGGCTCTCGCAAGACTTACAGTGTGAGCTGAGAGAGGAGCTGCACGGACCAGCGCGGAGGAGGAGAGAGCTGACAGGAGCTGCAGGAGAGGTAAGTAACAGCTCTGCCAGCCCCCCTCCTCCCCTCACTGAACTGCCAATGCCACTGGACCACTAGGGAAGGAGAGCCCCCCTCCCTGCCATGTATCAAGCAGGGAGGGGGGACGAAAAATAAATAAATTAATAATATATAAATAATAATAAAAATAAAAATAATAATAAAAAAAATAATATAACAAAAAAATGGAAATAATATTAATCAATAATATATAAATATAAATAATAATAAAAAAAATAATTAAAAAAATAATATAACCAAAAAAATTAAAATAATAAATAATAAAATAAAATAAAAATTTTTTTTTTATAAAAATGCCCATACCCCACCAAGGCTCTGCAACACAAACACGCACTGCATCACACACACACACACACACTGCATTCATACACACACACTGCATTCATACACACACACACTGCACTCATACACACACACTGCATTCATATACACACACTACATTCATACACACACACTGCACTCATACACACACACTGCACTCATATACACACTGCATTTATACACACACTGCGCACTCATACACACACTGCGCACTCATACACACACACTGCATTCATCATATACACACACTGTAAATAAATATTCAATTAATATAATTTTTTTAGGATCTAATTTTATTTAGAAATTTACCAGTAGCTGCTGCATTTCCCACCCTAGTCTTATACTCGAGTCAATAAGTTTTCCCAGTTTTTGGGGGTAAAATTAGGGGCCTCAGCTTATATTCGAGTCGGCTTATACTCGAGTATATACGGTACATTTGTTTGTATTCATAACACTATAGTGTTTCTTTAAGACTAAAATTATGACCTTAAATTTGAAATTCACTTAATATTCACATTGAATTCTCACTTTAGTAAAAAAACATTGTGTGAGTTTGAGTGACTTAGACTTACGGTAATATTTAAATCCTTTAACCTAAAACTATAAGTCCCCAAGCCTTTAAGTGCCCCTATGTCTAAACCCATGTAGCCCTAAGAATTCTGACTGTGCTATAATCATGCCAAAGTGTTTTTAACCCAGTAAGATTTCAGCATCACTCAAGCAATGCTCAGTATTTTAAACATGACATTTAAATGACCACACTTTAAATGAATGCCCAATTAACTCACCTATCAGTACAATCAGGAATTTCATAAAAGCCTGCTCTGTAGGAGCATTCTGTGAAATTTGGACAGGATTGGAGACCACTGCACTAGCTGATTATGTTATGTGTAGAAAGAATACAAGGCACGTACATCTCTTTATGATATATATGAGAAATAGAGTCACTAGGCATAAATAGCACTATTGCTGTATACATATTGCAATTCCCAGTGCTGCGAGGACATTTATTTGTGTGCATGCGTATCCACTCATTCATTTGGTCAAGTATGTGTGCAGGAATGTATCTGACGATCTTAGCCTAGAAGAGACTTGGTTCTAATCCTGCTAGGAGCCTAAAGTGTCTATGAGATGATTTTGGCTTTTTTGACAAGTTTACAAGGTATTGAGAATTCTCTTACTATACTAATCTAACATGACAGTCACACTTACCCTAAATCTAATGCCCAATATATATTTAAAAACTCAGTATTGGTTGTCGTAAACTATTTATATGTATGAATTATATCATTTATTTATTGACAATTGTCATAAAAACAAGCTACTTAAGTGTAAGTTTTACACATCATTCACCGACTTCGCTTTTCCTATAAATATGCAAAATAAAACAGTTCCATCTGGATAAGAGGAAATTATGTAATTTGTTGAGCTTATAGTGATGAGATGACTCATATTTTCTAGTTTTACTGCTGTGCTGTGTGTTAGCAGTGATCATATAGACAGACGGAGGTGCTGTGGTATAACGTATATGATATGGTATAAGGCTTATCTATGCAGAAAATGACCTTGCAATATGTCTCCGAACCAGGCTATTTTCTTCTTCGGCAGCCTCTGTCTGTTAAAGAATATATCTTAAACCTTTTGATGTATCTCATAGGGAAGCTATCACTTTAGCAATTGTACAATGGTATGTTCTCTGAAGTGACCACAATCAAACATAGATTCGGAACCGTTTCTTTTTTGAGAGTGTTTCTGTAAATAGCAAGATGTCCAGTTTAGTCTGAAATGTAATGACATGTCATCCTGATCAGTGCTTTATCTGCGGTAATAAAACTACCAGTCATGGGTTATGCTAGTTTAGTAAAATCATGGGTCTGGTATAATTCTAAAAGGTTTTCTTTAATTCTAACACAAATCCTCATAATGCATTGGCTATGAACACTAGAAAAAATAAGGAGTCACCAAAAAGTTGTGTTTCAAAAATATTAAATACTCAAAAAGGTTAGCAATAATTAATTAGCAAGAAATTATTCCTGCAGTTTACCAGGGGGGAAAGTAGGGGTAAATAATGACATTTAGAGGTTTTGGGGACATCATAATAAACTAACCAGAACCCCAAGACGGCATAATTTTTCCCTAATACATGCTTCACATTATGTGCCTTTTAGACTAAGTGATTTATTCAAGTTATGGCTAGAGTTAGGGTTCGTGCTAGTGCTAGGATTTCTCTAATATATGTGCCTTGTTTGACTGACACCTGCCAGGAATACATTCCTGAAAACCAGCTGCTATTGGTCTAAATTCAGCCCCACCCCTTTAGTGATATCATATCTCCGAACAATGAGAGGCATTGCCATTTACATAACTCCAAAATGGGCAGACCTGTCTGGAAAAGGGTGGGCCCATCCACTGTCATGTCTGTCATGCTGTCTAGCCAGCTCTCCGCCTGCAGGACCATGTAGGGAGCATTCGTGCTGTGCTGCCCAGGGAAGATCCTTGGTGTTCCCAGATGTGGCACACCAGGGAACTGAAGAGGTACAGCAGAACAGGATCCTGACATAGGCACAAGCATGCAGAAAGTGGCATTGTTGGGAGGCATGTGATATTCCTGGAGGTGAGTAGGGAAGAGATAATCTCACTCCCATCACCACTCACATTATATCAAGTGAGGGACATGAACTGAACTGTTTGTAGCTGCTACATGAATGTTTAGGATTCCGCACATACAGCTTTTAATAAAAGGTGTGAGATTAACCCGCCGTGCAGTACAGAGTTTGAATACATTAGCTCCTGTGCTCTTGAGACTAAACAGAGATATAAAGAGAACAGCAAAGTAAAATAAATATGGAGATAGGGATGAAGACTACATTATGACTGGACCTCAGAAATTACACATTCTGCTGCTGCCCCATGTACTTCCCTTTGTGTGTGTGGGGGGAGGGGAGGGGGGGAAACAGTTAAGAAAATAGTATGCATATTCCTGGAGTTGGTGAGTATAGAAGCCACAGGGATGATTGGTCTTCCTTCACTTCAATCCTGTGATGCTTTTGTCCAGAGTTAAGCAAGAGGTCAGTGGAAGAAGGTGGGATTAAAGGAATGGGGTGGAAGGAACCCAACACTCTCTTTATTTCAGATGTCTGTGTTGTGTACACCTGGGTGGAATATTTTTGTTTTCTGCAATATGATGAATATTATGAAGTATTTTCCTATGGATACATCCATGGTATATGATCAACAGTGACCATCATCATTAAAGAGTAAAACTGTACTGTACAACCCAACTGTCTCGATTCAGGCAGTGCTACCTACAATAGCAAAGGACATTCTAAAATTCTACTTGGGACATACTTGGGTTTTAGTTATTCACAAATTCACTCTAGACAGCTGCACAGATTCTAATAGTTATTTAGGAGAGGTATTATAACTGCCAGTGCTTTATTCAAATTCTGATGTTCTAAAAGGCCTGTTACATTTAAATATTTTAAAGTATTTAAGTGTTGATATTATTTTCTTCTCTTGCCTATTATAATAGAGTTACATCTTATATCTGTGGTTTTGGCACAGCTAGGAATGCATTACCTCAGTGCTGCGACAGCCTAGAAAAATAAAGTCACTGAATAGAGGCATCATTTGATGAAGAATTTACAGAAAAGATTCTGACTCTTGTGAGGCACCACATATTAAAAGAGTTGGTGATCCTGGCTATCTGTGTGTGTTGCATTTCAATCTCCTATACATTTCGCATTATTTAAGTTTTTGACAAAGTAAACCGATATTTGCACTCACCTGTTTTTCCCCACTCGGTCTCCTGTAACTCAGAAGTAGTTCCACCGCTCCTACCACTTCCTTCCTTATTGCATACAAGAGAGCATCTCCCACATACACATTGTGACTTAGCAGCAGCTCCATGATCTCCAGATTCTCGTTCTCTATGGCTATGAGAAGTGCACTGCGGCCAAGCGGATCCATGCAGTTGATGTTGATGTTGTAGTAGATTTCGGCCTCCTCCAGGGCAGTCTTGACGCTAGCATAGTCTCCTTTCTCTACAGCAATGAGGTAGGCCTTTTCCTCTAATGAAAGTTCTGCTTCCGCCCGCACAATCTGCAGTGGGATCCGGTCTCTGTAGGGTGAATAGTTCACCTTCTTGTAATACAGCTGGGCCATTGTTCATAGTGACATTATAACCTGCAAGAGAGGAATCAAAAAAGATTGTTAGTATATTTAATTACATATATATTATTTAATTTTCACACTGAAAAGTATTAGAACGTTAGGAAAAATTATGATAAAGAATAAATTATAAATGTTGAGTTCATTTACCGTAGTTTTCCAAGTATAAGACTATGTTTTTTTCTAATTATTTTTAATCTAAAATTGGGGGTCGTCTTATACATGGAATGTCACTACAATTGTTAAAAAAAAAACGCTTGTGCGCGGGGCCTAAGTTAAGATGGGACCCACACACATACCTGGCCTCCCTCCCATTGACCCATTTCTAAATGCTGTTGCAAGGAGGAGGTCCCTATATGCAGACTTACCACCAACCTAACTCCAGAGACATGCTACACCATAAAAGGAGCAGCCATATTAAGGTTTGTTTCACCTCAGGTAGGTCTTGCTTTCTGATTTATATTTATGGGGAGGAAATGAGAATAAGAGAGCAGAGGGAATACTACTGTGACATCCCAGCATGCCCCCACACCACCTGCTGTATTGTGGGAGCTGTAGTCTCCCAGCATTCACTATAGAGCCATTAATTTCACAGAGTACCATAGTACAGGGGAGGTATGAGAATCAGAAGTGTGTTGTTATCCACAGAAGTCAAATCTAAAATATCAAAGTTGTTTTATTTGATGTTTAAAATATTGATTTCTTAATCTTTTGCTAAAAAATAGGGGTTGTCTTATACATCTTATACACAGAAAAATACGGTATTTGGTGTTCTGCTATAATGTTATTAGTATCAATTATGTATTTTTACTGTTTACACCTTTTTAACTTTTCAGATGCTTAAGCTAAACGTAACCGTCCCCATTGCACAGATGAGGGTTCTATTCAATAACTATTTCACATGGGGCATTCAAAAACATATTTAAGTACATGCAGAGGGTTTTTCAAACGGTCTTCTGATTGGGGAGCTGGTGATAGGTTGAGAGCATCCGCTTATTAGTCAATCAGCAGTGCCCAGCCCAGGTTTCCACATTGAAAGCTCAGTTATTGCCAGGAAAAGTGGGACCGAGCTAATGGAGGCCATCTAATCAACTTGGGTTTAACCCGTTAAGGTAAGATGGCACCCAGGACCAACAGACACCATCAAAACTTTAATTGAGATGAAACTGCTATGATGCCTGGACTGTTCCTTTATGTACGTACATGGATGGAAATAACATATGAGATCCAATACAATGTGTAAATATTTTTGAGAACTTAACAATAATTAAGTAAATGAAGATGAATCATGAATAATTATGGTTGATAGACTGGGAAAACTAGTACGGCACTGACACATTTAAAAAATAAAAATTTATAGTTTTGTCACAAAAATGTATATCTTCCTAAAACCATGCAAACTGAATTGTAAGTATAATAGAAACACAAGTATATATAAATCCTATTGGTGACTGAGATATCTTGTCCGCTCCTTTATATAATCAAAAACATTGGGAAAGAAGAAAGGAGAAGAGAATACATTTCCTTTTTTTCCCCCTAAATTGTTTTGTTTCAATGACAAACACACAATTTTTGAGCGACCATCTTGAATATGCAGAGCAATATTAGGGATGAGGACTGGTTCTCAGAATAAGTGCAGGAATGGTGAAAAATAGTGCAGTAATGGCTTATAGAACTAGTAGACAGAATGCATGGAAGGTTTGAAAGCTATATTTGTTTACACTAGAAAAGTAATGTAGCACTTCAATATTTGTGTGTGAAAGTTTTAACTAAGAATCCATTTTGAAAACAGCTTGTAATTACATTTTAATAAACGTTTATTATGATTTATGACGACTTACAAAAGCTGAAAAAAAATGCCTCTACTGTTTATCCTGGCCAATAACTATGCTTACTATGGGGGTGGTGTAAGTAGGTTCTGTCCTCTTTGTTATAGGCTCTGTTGAGCTCTGCTTAATAGAGGACAACCACCGTGTCTGGATTTCAGATTTCAAAATCAAACAAGCTAGTTCAACCAATGTTGTCAGATAGCTTAGTCATTGAATTTCTGGCTGTCTAGTTAAGGTCAACAACCTGCCAGTAAATTGCCAACATTTACTAAAATGTACTCTTTGGGATTGGCCATCACTTATTGAATAAAAGGGGATGTCTATGTAATGTGAAAATTATAAAACAGAGAATCTAATTTAGAATGTAACTTTATTTCTGTCTTCAAAAACATTCAAACAGAAGAAAAATTCAAACAGAAATCTGAAATATAAATATTTAAAATATAAAAATAACACGCACACACATATATATATATTTATATATATATAAACAAATATATGTGTGTGTGTGTATCATGTTAGACATGTAGCATGAAAATATAATGAGCTATAACTTTAAAAAGATTTCAATATGCCAGAGTTTTCAAACTAATACATTTTTCCAACTATGCACTAGGAACGCATTTACTTCAATTAAATATCAGATTATTACTGTTGCACAAAATAGTAACTAATTCCTATCATATAACTTATCATAGAACTTTCCTTTTTTTTTAATTCTTTTTTTTATTTGTGCATGTGATTAACAGACATATTTGCTATGCCACAACAGCAGGAGCAAACTGATCGATATACATAGCAAGACATCCTTATGGCATTGGTATCGTTGCACATTTTTAAATTAGAGTAAGTAGTTAGGAGAGACAAATCAGGCATGACACTTAGTAAAGAAGTTAAGTAGTTATGAGTGAAACTGGGCTTATTTGCCATGACAGTACCTATTGGCACTGCCACTTTGCTATCTGCACCCAACAAGGATTAAGTGGACATATACATATACAGCACTGTGCATGGGTTTGACACATAGAATTACTATCTGAGCCTGCGGGGACCAATGTTATAAGAGGTGTGTTTTGCAAGGCAGAGAGGAGCTTAGCTAGGACAACAAGCAAAAAAGGAAAGGAAAACTTAAGAGTGATTCTTGCAAGGTGGAATAAAGTTGTACCATATAGCTACTGGATCAGTCCTTTGGATGAGATCTTATAAAGTCCTGAATGCTCAAGATTATGGCAGAGTTCTTAGAGTCTTTGCATACGGTGAGCTGCATCACAATCATGTAACACATTCAAATTAGACATGCGTTAGAGGACCTACGTGGGTTTGTTTAATCAATACACAGTGCTGGCAGTGTGCTTTCTCTGAAGGTTGCTTGTCCGTCTGGGAAAGGGTGCACCTTGAGGTGTTGAGTGGTGCACTGTGTCGCATAGGAGAAGCGTGGATGCAGCTGCAGCTACTGTAGTTGCCTCCAGGAGGGGTAGGGTGGGCCTCAGGAGAGTGATGGTGCTTTCCACAGGCACAAAGGAGTTTTTTCACCAAATATATATGCTGCAAACATCACCTTGTTTAGCCCAGTTTAGTGAGCCGACACATCCCTGGAGCAGGTTACTGTGGTAGTCAGATGGCGCTGGATGGTTTCCTTTGTGTGCAAGTTCCATCCTGTGGGTAGTTCACACATGTGGCTGGCGTGCGGCGGTCATCTTGGGAGGGTGCTGCCGGTGAGTGTTTCCCAGCAGGGTGATTGTTTTCCGCCCAGTTTGGCATAATAGCAGTTGCTTATGTAGACCGGGACGACCCCCCCGGTCCAGAGGGGGTTAGGCCGGACACCAACCGGAGACCCAGGAGAGCGGCTGTTTCATCCCGGCTCAAGCTCCAGCAGGCCTCGGGCTTTTGTCGGGTTACTGTAGGCGCCAGACAGGATCTTGAGGGGTATCTCCTCGTACCCCAGGATCTGGGGCTCAGTTTAGTCTCTGTTACAGGTTGCTGGAAAGATTTCGCCTCCAGTTTGCGCCGATTTTCCGGCCCCAAAGCGGGAGCTCAGACAGAGCACGTCTGATCCTGTTGGCGGTCCGGCCCCGCCCCCCATGATAGAACTTTTAAATTCACAATACAACCATGATTAAAGTACTCCCTAGTTCCTATCTCCAATCAGGTAATAACCATATGGAAACGTATGTACACATATTACATTAGCAACTCTTATCTCTTTTTTGTGCTTTTTTGTCTACTTTTTTGAGGGGTTGGTAGATGTTGATATTAAAAGAAAACTGTAGTATTTTTTTTTAATTATTATGGATGTTAAATGTATAACATCCTCTGTATATATATAATTTTGTAATACTTACAAATAAGCTAATATTTATTTCAGTGTTTTTCCTGACTTTTGCTTGCTCTATGGTGCAGCCATCTTAAAGTCGTAAAATGAGCTAGTGTGGATTCACAAACTCTGACATCATGCGCATGTGCCAGGTATCTACAAAACACACTCCAAGATGGGTTTAGAATTTTGAATTCTGGATGTTCTTACCGGGCAGTTGCAGACGTATTGATTCTGATTAAAAAAGACTTTAAGATGGAAGGTTACATAACAATTTGCACTGAAAATATATTAACTTGTGTGTGCAATGCAAAATAATAAACAATAAGGTTATACTATATGCAATCTTTTATTGTCAGTAGTAATAAAATATATGTCTTTCAGACTTGTAACAATACTATGCTCAACTAGAATAGTTTTTTTTTCCTTTCTATGATAAAAACGGATACAACTCATTCCCTGAGAAAATGCAATTATGTAAGGCTGCATTGACAGATAACTGAGGCTTCCTGCCGTTCACGTATAGAGGAATACAGTATTCACACCTACAGCAGATACTGCAATTGGTTCTGACATAACAGGCATGAAGTTGCTGCATACGCTGTTCAGTTCCTGCTGATAGATGCTGACAGTCCCGGAGACAGTGCTTATTACGCAATGCAATGCAGACACAAAGACCAACATCCTTGTATAATTATTTCTACTCTGAACAATGCAATCAGTGGGTAATTTACCCGGTTCTATAGAACAGAAACATGTTTGGGTGACGAATAGATATTTTCACTTCAGTGTCTTCTAAAACCTCTGCCCACATCAAGCAAAAAACAGCTGCACTTGTAGTACCGAGAAATGAAAGCATTCATTGAGTTTGTACCCTGACGATAAATGTTTTAATAGAACTATTATAGAAAGATCACAATATACCAAGCACATGGCAATCAATTCCCCAAAACACAGTTCTTCAACACCATGACATGACCAATGGTATATCTCATATCACCCTGTAATAAAATATAACAGGTACCTGAATTCCATCCGTTAGGGATTCACAATCTCCAACTTTTGCCCAGCGACCTTGGCCTATAGTTTCAAATATCTTGTGAATTGTCGAGGGTAAGATTTCGGGTGGGCATGAGCAAGAACAGGCTGTTTATTTGTCCCCACATCTTTCCCTCAGCTTTAATTAATGCTTTGTGTATCAGAAAGATAAAAAAACTTCCAATTCCAATAACTGAGACTTTAGAGAATAACTCGCCAAAAACACACGCTGCAAAAAAACTCGCTCATTTACGGACACTGTACGGAGTACATGAAGACAAATATTTTGGATGGCCAAAATGTCACTTACAGAGTTTGTCGTCCCTGGCAAAGGTAGAGATTTTCACGAGTAAAACCAGTTTGCCAGCATTTGGTTTGAAGATCAACAACCAACAACTAGCATTACACCAGAAGTTGCTGACTAATTTTATATATTGCCAAAACAGGTTTCCCAAGGCACTTAATCAGTACCTGATCTTTAGTATGCTACTGATGAATGATAATTTGAAAGAAGGAAAAGAGGTGCCAAGCAGAATACAGCCCCAATGTCGTAGTAAACCGATTTCACATAGATACACACATAATGTCATATCTCTAAGTCATTGTTACCATCACAACAGTGAGGTTAAACACAAATGTACAGGACACCAGACGCATTCCATACGGTGTTCAGATCTCTAACCACCCAGTGTTGGAAAACAAAACTGCAATGGAAAACATGAGAATGATATCATGCTGTTATAATGGATACATGCAGCTAAACAGGGCTGAAGTACATGAGCCATGGCTGCCAAGCCGAGCGGTAAATGCTCATATAAATGGATGCCAATCTTTTTCAAATGGAAAGGGTCATAACGGAGATTGGAGGCAGTATTGCAATAGAGAATATAAAGTGTTCAAACACGTTCATATAACCACGTACATATTATTTTCAATGGTAGATATAAATACATCTATAATTATATTTAAGTAAATACCGCCATATCACTATAAATGGTATGGTTTGTTTTACCAATGCCACACAACTCATGCTTTTAATACTTATAGTAAATACTATATCCTTTCAATGATTCTACTCACTTGCAATACTCTACTATATTTGGCTTTCTGTAAAAGAAACCCCATACACACATATGCCCACTGAGCAAAACTGTGTGTCCGCTGATGAATATAATATAGGTAACTTTATTTTCTCAAGTGCTTCTGCAAAATGTAAAATGCGTCAGCTATCACTTTTCTTTCCTGTTTGACAAGAAAGCAGTAAGTAATATCTGAACTGAATATTTACTAAAGTGAACAGACCCCAAATGTGGAGCAATTCCACATTTACAAAAGAAAAATCAAACCTAAACATCGAAATCCCACACAAAACATATCAATTTAGATATTTATCAATTGTCTGGATTCAAATTTGTAGATATCTCTTCTAACCTGCTTCATTTTTTCTTGTTGTGAACTAGTAATCGAATTAATAAATTCATAACAGTATTAAAAATATAAAATAATAATACAAAGTAAAATTAATGTACCAGCTGAAGCTACCAGAGTTAATTTCTATTTCTGTATAAGACTTTAAAAGAATAATTGATTTAATTTTGTTTTTATTTGTTATGGGTGGATATTTCCATGTAAATAAGAGTACATGGGCGTTAGTTGTCTAAGTAATTTATTGGAAGGCTTTCTGTGCTAAAGATTACATTTGTTCTTACCCCATCAGTTATAACTTTGGATCTTCAGCCAAGATAATGAACACAAGTGAAGTGAAGATGATTACTGTCAGCAAGCAAGGGGCTGCCAGTGGATAATACATCCGCAGCTGGTTTAATGTTAAATCTCCAACTTACTTGAATATTAAAAATGAAGAAAGAGACAGACAAAATGATGAGGAACAAAAAAGCAAAGATGGCAAACAACGTTATGGATCTATGCCTAACGCGTTTCACACCTTTTAAATTACAATTACCAGTTGACTGCAAAGCAATGACATCTGTACTGCTGCATTGAGATAATGTCACTATGTTTTATACCCAGGAATAAATAAACGCCCTGGAAAAAATATTTAACATGTTTGTCATGTGGTTATTTATTTGTTTATACTTTGGTTATTTTTTGTTTATTTTCTATCTCACATTGCTTGCTCACCCTGTGGGACACTGTGATAAGGAAGTTTGCAGCCACAGAAATTATTTTGCATGGTTGGAAATGCTAACTTTGCATTGAATACATATTTTTTTTTCTGTTTCGGAATTTATTTATTGCTATGTATACAAACTAGTGCTATTAAAATAATCAAATCTGTATCTCGGTAAAATCAGTCCAGGTACAATTGCTTTATTTTAATTTTGCACCTTTATATGGTGATACTTGATGTTGGTCTATTAAAACATTTTATAAACAAGAACCTTAAAAATGCGAAACGCGTTAAAAATAGCTTGACAACATAGTTGCTATCTACTGGGTTTTTTGTCTCTCAAAAAAAAATTTTTTTTTCAAGTTCAAAGAAAATTGTGGTTTAATAAATTTGCTCCCAATTCATTTCTGGAAGGCCGATTTATCTATCCTTATCCCATAGTCTCATTAGATAACTAAGTTTTAAAAAATATATACTTTTTATTTTACAGGTTACACTGTTTATCTGGTTAAGATGTAGATTAAATAACACAGATCTATCTGTCTGTCTGTCTGTCTGTCTAACTATCTCAGGGTTATTTACAAAAGGGTGAATTGTCAGAAATTCAAAGTGGATTCAAACAGAATTAAAATTTTTAGGAAATATATATTTTTATTATGATGAATTTAGAGCACTCACAGATCTTGCAGAAAATGTGCATTAGCAATTATTATTATTAGCAAAAATTATAGCATAACATTAACCTTTATCAAGAACCTAGTGGTTGAAACACTGATGTTATATTGTGATTTTTGATTGTTAATACACTTTTTTTTTTACAAAATCTGTGAATGTTCTCATTTATTCAGCATGTAACTTGAGTGTCACCCAGTGACAAACTAGTGACCAACTACAATAGTTTGGTCAAGAGGTCCAGTATATATAGTATATAATATACCAAAAGCTGAAATAGGAGCTATAAAGGATGCAAAAAGTGAAGGCTGTAGTAGTTCCAGTTGGTTTTAATAGGTGCACTTGTGCTGTAACCCCCCCCCCCCGCCACCCCCCACCCCCCAAGTTGGGAGAGTGGCTTCAGCTGATTCCAGGTGAGATTTCTGTCCAGAGGAGTACTCTTTTAGGAACAAGTTACTACGTAGAACCCACAGACTCCAAGGTCTCTGCTAGAGTACCTGAGAATGGGTAATAATCAGAAATACACCCCTGAAGGCTGAGAAAAGCAATGTTATACTATATGGTAAAAGGAGAGTATTAACAAATATAAGAGAATTATGAAATGTCTAAAACCACAAACAAAATACAAATTAATCTTTTTACTTATTTATTTATTTATTTTTTTAACCCCTTAAGGACACATGAAGTTTGGTCCTTAAGGGGTTAAATTTGACAATTTTTATTTCTTTTATCAAAACGTGGGAAAGGAAAGGGGTACAGAAAGCAAAATAGGGAAGGGTGAAAAGGGGGCAACATCCAAGTGTCGTCTATCATTTTTGAACAAGCTAAAAACGTAATTAGCAATACGCAATAATAAATAATAAATGATGATACACAATACCTTAGTACATCATCATAATCACCTAAGATCAATAATTCGCATATAACTAAGTAGTTCCTTCTAGATGATAGAGTATTAACCTATTCTGAAATTACAGTATATTTAACAGCATATAATATAATCATTACTGCTTCTCACTACGTATAATTAAATATTTTTACTTATTTATTTATGTGTTTGTTTGTTTAGTTTGCTTTGTTTTCACTTTTGTGCTTCCTGTTACCGTTCATGGAAACTTCAATAAAAGAATGACCAAAAAAAAAAAAAAAAAATTAAATTGATTACCTCTGGTAGTATCATATGGCAGCTTGACTGATATAATTATAAGTGATAGTTTATTTATAGCGTATAATTAAAGTTAACCTGGAAACATTGTTCCCCAGTAGAACAAACTAATTATTGGAGCACAGTACATTGAAATATGGAAGGGCACTACAGGGAGATAATGCAGATGACGATGAGAACAATGTAATTATGTGCTGTTAAATCCCTTTTGAGCCATTTTCTCTTTCAAACTTCACTTCCTTGTGCCTATGTGATGCTTACTGATCCTCAGCAATGTTGTTTATCATACTGTTTGTATGTATTAGAACTTTTTTTTTTTGCTTATGGTTTTCTGTGACCTATTGTCTAATATATTGTTTGAGGAACTGACCTCTTCTCCATTTCAAATCGGCTTCATCGTGGTTCATCCTGAATATTGAAGGAGGATGCAAGTATTGCATCAGTCATTAAAGGGACACTATTGGCATTCAGACCATGTCATCTCATTGATGTGGTCTTCTGGGTGCAGTGTTCCTGTTCCTTTAACCTTGCAATGGGAAATGTTGCATTTTTAGAGAAACCACACTGTTTACAGTGTTGTGTTAAAACAGTCTCCAGTGGCTCTCTTCCAAACAGCCACTAGAGTCTCATTTTCAGAGTTTAACTCAATAAATCTACTCTGAAGGTCCTCAACACACAGCATCTTGAAAATTCCCATAGGAAAGAACTGATCTAATCATTTGTCTATGATTAAGGCCCAATGTGCGTGTGGTGCTTGCCGCACATGCACATTAGATTACTGAAACGCTGTAACGTTGCAGGAGGTGCTGCCCAGTCCAGCACTGAGAGATTTCAAGGCTGGAACCATTTAAGTGAAAGAAAGTTTTTTTCTAACCCTGTCTTGGCTCAGGTGGATCGGGAAGGGGGTAGGATGACAGAGTGACACTATAGTGTTAGGAATACACTATGATGTTCCTTTAAGTTGAAAATAATGCCTCACTTTTTAATGTTAATCCAAAGGAGGGATTTTTGTTTTGTCAGTATCATAATAAATAAATTTACTTCTTAATATTCCAAATGTTATAATTTAAAAACATATTGACAAATGAGCAAATGTGTGTTTGCAGCAAATCCCCCCCAAAAAACCCCACTGGAAGAATAGGTAATAAAGCAAATCTGCATGAAAATGAATTAAAAGCACACCATTTAATGTAGTCTAAGATGCAATTAAAACATACAATCCTATTTGGATGTTCCCAGCTGTTCATTCTGTTTCTTATTTATGAGATTGTAGTGTATGCTTCGTTGTGCTTCCAGAGTTAATCAGCAATACAAGGTATGTTGGCAGACCACGCTGTTACCTAAGTGTGTGGAGGGCTGGACATTGTCCCACTTGGAATGACATCGCTAGATTTCTACGGTCAACAAATAGACGTGATGATGAGCTTACATGGACATTTTGCTAAGCAAAAACATTAAGTTGGAAACAATCCCATTTTTTTCTCTTCTAACATCTTGGCAAACGCTTTCGCACAATAATAATCAATGTATCCAATAAGACTGTTAGTCTGCTTTATTAATAGAGCTGGTTACAAGGGTGCAATTTATTCTCTAGTTGTAACACCGACAAGTAATGAAAAAGAGGTTAAGACAATTTATGATTTTTATTTATGATTGTCGATTTTTAAACCACTGTTGTCAGTACCAGTCGCTTTAGTCATCTAGAATTGTTTTGAATACAAAACATTTAAAAAAACTATTCAAACAGATTCATATTGTGATCATGTGTAAACAAGCTATAACAAATGCGGTTCTCATTGCTGTTTAAACATATGACTATTTTTCAATGTCGAGGTGGCCACTTCAAAATGACTAATAAAGTCAAAGAATGATCATGGAATGAGTAGTCAGCAGAACTTTTAATTTTCTTGGTTGAGAGGCTTAATCCCTATTATTTTACTGCTGCTAGGCTTAGCCAGATGAACATACTAGACAATCCTTTAGGAAAGAGCAGAATGGGAGTGCTGAAGTCTTAACCTTAATGTCCAGTGTTATTCACATGACATACCATTAGAACTTTGTAGGCTCTGCAACAATGTTGATGGTCTCTATACTCCAGCAAGAATGACTATAGCTTACATCATTAGGTTTGGAATGTTCGAGAAAAAAAGCTTCAGAAGCCATACTGGGGAGACTGGGGAGACTGGGGAGCTACCCAGTGAGTGTTGTCATGGAATATGACATTTTCACCAGATAGATACGGCATGATGCTGAATGCCTGTTATTCCTGCAGGAAGTCTATGTCAATTTTGCTAATTTGTTTTTAGAATAAACATGAGATTGAATCAATTTAAACGAGAACTGTAATTTTCAATGATTTTTAATATTATGTTTACTCATCTCTGTATATTTAACAAATATGTATTTTTGAGATTTGAAAAATTAAATTAAATGTAGAAATCCAAATATCATTCTCCTAAAACTGGGGGCCTCCATCCTATCTCCCCATCAGTCATTGTTACGAGCTCTTAAAAGAGAGATCTGGAAAATCAAGGGTACATCCAGTGGAGTCTTTATTGGATACGAAAGGCAATATTTCGACTCCAAACCATTATAGCTTGATAAAGACTCTGCTGTGTTGAAATGTTGCCTATAAGGACACTTACATTTGTGCGTGCAAATACCTACAGGACATAACTAATTTCTTGTGCTAGCTACCATAACTTTTCTAAAATCCCTGGATTCGTTCTGTGCTTGCTCTACAGAATGTGCACACAGTTCTGATTGTTGTCTGTTTGATATAAATGACCAATGTTCCTTTAGCTTCTACTTAGTACTAGGCTGCGCGCAGCAAATGTATTTACAGACGCTTACATTTCTGGATCTGTCGCAAAGCATGCCCCAGGAATACAATTTTCCACCCATCCTATGATCCTACATGAATGTAATCCATTTTGACTGAATCTTTCTCTGCTGTTGAGGTAGTCACAATCTAATGAAGAAACACACACTGTGACCGGAATTAAGAAATAATTTTCCTGTCTGTCTAACCCTTTTTTTCTCTCCAGTGCTAATCAACTTAATATGTATAGCTTAGAGCAGAGAATAAGTTGGAAGGATAAGATAAATGCGTTCAAATATATGAAGGGTTTAAATAGAGTTCAGAGCTAATTTTCAGAGTGCAATATACCAAAGGAGTTGTAAAGAACCGACAAAGGAAATGTATATTGTAGTCTAATGCAAACGAGACAAAACATAGGTAATTTTTGTAATTCGGCTTAAAATTAGCAGTTCCATAAATTTTCCAAAATGCTTGGTTCATGAATAAATGTGCTTTGCAAGTCAGCATAATGACACTTTGTTTTACAGTTTGCACTCTGCACAAGATATGACTGGTTTAGTGGCACTAAAAAAAGGCTTGCAACTATGTCATGGTCAATACGATAACTAATACATAATTATTAATTTTTTTTTAAAGAGATATAATTATATTAATTCTAAATTATAAACCACTGTACAAATAGGGTTATTTATTAAAATTATAATTTAAAGTACATTTCAAATTTAAGGCCAGTTTAGCTGAATGAATGCATAGCTGACTTAGAAAATGTTTCCAATTCGGTTATTTGGATCTCAAATTTGAAATGCTCTTTGCTACTTAATGTAGTTCATCTGGCAGGTTCGGCCTTTATTATTGGCAGATGTTTCACAATCCCTGTATCTTGGTTGGACCTTTCAATTTATACTGTTCCTGCTAACATCTTGCATCTGGCTACTATGTGCTTGATTGTTCTTGTCTAGTGTGGTTGATCCCCACTTGTATTGATCTGGTGCTGCTGACTACCTATTGCAACCAGGGTCAGATTAGGAGCCCATTTGGCCTGGTGCTGACTATTATGATGGGCCTATTTACAGAATCCTATTGACAGAAAACACTAAAACAGTCATATCTCCCAAGCGCCATGTATCTGGTGGAGATGGTGTTGTAGGGAAACTCACAAGATGCAGCTATAAGAAAACACATACCCTATGCTAATCTCTCGCATTTATTTTTCATGTAAATCTATGCCGCCTAACAGCAGTGTCCGGTGAAGCAGGATGTCAGTGGGCAGAGTAAACGGGTGGGCCACTGACACGAATCACATAACCAGAACCTCCAAAAGGAGCCAACATGCCCCAAAACTTTAAAGGTCAGTCTGGCGTGAATGCAAGAAATGGCCAAGAAAAGGGCATACTATGCAGACAGCACTAGGGTTGCCACCTTTCTAGGAAAAAATACCAGCCATAACTATATTTATATATGATAGTATTCAATATTCCCTCTTATCACCATTCTGAACAGCATTACATGATACATCCCACATTTCAAAAATTGAAGACGATGTGGACTTTACCCATCTGTACTAATCTCTCATTTCAGACATCTTCTTAAAGCAGGGCTTACTCTGGTTATGTGCTTTATCAAAGGTAGGCAACCTTTGGCACTTCAGATGTTGTAGACTAAATCTCCTCCAATGCTTTGATAGCATTATTATTTGTAAGAGCATTATGGGAGATATAGTCCACAACACCTGGAGTACCAATGGCTGCCTTTATATGTGCTGTAAACATCACTATAGATAGACTGGCGCACCGCTACGGCACAATTGAAGTCAATGATAACACTAACAGCAGTTATATATCCCTTAGAATGTTTCTCCAAAAAGCAAGGTAATACGGCACACATACATATATATGTATTCAATACACATATGCACAGAGTCACACAAATGCACAGGGCTTATCCAATATATTTCATGAGAAGACAATGACTGTCTGAAAATGTTGTTGTGAGTAGCGTTTATCTTCCGAAGAGATTTTCAATAAGGGGCAATCTTTGTTTGCATTCATTTTTCTTAAAATTTATTTTGTAATCTATTGCATAATGTACTAAAATGTGGATTTTAGTCAAGGTAAATCTGGTGTGTACTTTTAACATAAGTAAACATGTCAAAGTAAAGGGTTACTAAATATATTGAAATTATCCATAATATGTGCTTGTAATTGATTATATATTTACATTCTGTCAGTATTATGACTATGTCGTTTAGTAATTATGATTAAAAATAAAGTAGGCCTTGTCTCCCTTCAAATTATTATTTTAGCATTTAAAATCTGTATATTAAATGGATATCCAGATGATGGGTTTTAAAAGTAACCACTTCTCTCCCAATAATGTGTATTGCGATGAGTATTATAAAACAAAATTCAGGCCATAAAGCATGACTTGCCTGCATCTTGTCCCAAAGCTGTTTTCACCCTGCAGAGAAACAAATGTCTTTGCTATGTTATCTATTATGTCCCCAGCATCTTGGACTATAAATGGTGACCAACCGCTCTAATTTCCCATGTACTACAGCAAGCTTGTAGTATATATCCCTGTATTCAGGAAGCAAGTGGAGCATGCAGGAAGTAAGAGGGATTCTGAGCACATTGAGCACACTTCTATGGTTCCTGAAAAATACAGATTAATACTGGAATTCAACCAATTTTAATGATTTATTTTGTCACACCTGTAAATGACATGAATGGCATGTCTACTTGTAAGGTAATGTATGTAAAACAAAATTGGCAAAGAGTAATCTATGAGAGTTACTAACAAAGGTTAATACAAATTCCCACCACTGCTATAAACTGGTTTATTTACTAAACTGAGAATTCGAAGTGAATTTAAACTAGCCGAACTAGAACAGCTATGTTTTCACTTTGGCTACTCTGGCCTTAAAACTAAAATTCACTTTGAAGTTTCAGTTTGGTGAATACAGTTAACAAACTTCATAACACTCATCATAGGAACTCATCATCTCCTGTGATCCCATTTTAACTATGTCAGAAATATTGTAAAATAGAGGATACCATTTAATGTGAGCAAATTTATTCCTCAATATATTCATAAACGATGAACAATTAAAAGGAAGATTAAATGTGACTGCATAAAATGACTACATAATTTAGTTTTAATAATCTCTGAATGGCAATCTATGCATGAAACAAATGTTTTATCGTATAGTAATGTGCTTGTTATGTGTCTCATTTTAAAGGTAAATTATTTAGTTTTTTTTTTTAAATAAAACTAAAAACCCAGCATTTAAAAAGGATTAATTAATCACATATAAAACTGGCTCTGTTCTTGTGTAAAAACAATGTTGAAAAAAAACCCACAACAAAATTGTTCCTTTTCTACTGGTTTTGGTGTATTGACTAAGGAGAAAACAAAACAGAGCCGTAAAATTATGTGGAGGTGAAATGAAAGAGAAAATGGAAATAATAGAATAAACAGAGTGTGTGAAGAGATAAAAAAATAAAAAATATTACTGGATGTGGTAAACAACCTAAAACACAACTGAAATATAGAATTATTTTAATCTCCAGCTGAAACAGTTGCAGTTTTGTGCATACACTGTCTATCTGAACTAATTTCTGGTATATTATGTTCCCAGTGGAACGTGTACAAGAGAGAAAACACTAATGTATAAGCTATGATGGGTTCTCTTGAAGCAAATCACTTCTGATTCATACACTACCTTCTTCTTTTAATCCCTTAAATCATAAGACATCCAAAACCCTCTTATAGTGATTCCAACAGGAAAGCATGTGTTAGAGTCTATCATAAACCTTTCTGAATAATATATACATTTTTAGTCTGCATAAAATGTACGATATGTCTCTGGATGATGAAATAAATATCGAGAATTATACAACGTAAAAAAAAAAAAATAGAATGCAAAACAACCAGAAGGGATGTCGATAGTTCACTAGCGTAATCCATTGGCTGTCAGAGGGCCTGCAGAGCATATTAATTATACAGTACAAATATTTCCATCAGGGGAATTTGAAACATACAAACCTACGCCAGGAGTTGACAGATGGATCAGAATTCATTCTTTTTTTTCCTCTAATTTGCAGATTTGTTGTTTTTTTTTCTCAGTTTTTATTATTTTATTACGGAACAGATAATAGCAATGTCATGAATATTTTTTATTTCCTTACTACCTACATTTACAGTAAACAAATCAGAATTATTACACCACACTTTGCATATCCAGCAAACCGACTTAGATGTGGGGGAGCGATATGTTGGTTTCCCCACTCTCTAGTCAAATGTATCAACTTTCCCATTCCTTTCATTTAACCCCTTAAGGACACAACTTCAGACATAAAAGGGAATCATGATGGAATATTGTGGCCTTAAGGGATTAATCAGGAAGAGAACATTTCTCTTCTGCACGTTATCAAGTATATCTGTGGTATGCACGGTACACGTTTTATTGACCTCATTGAAATCCTTGCAGGAATCGGATCTGTGACTCTAGAATACAAGAGTGTACACTCTAGTCCCTGAGCACCAAATAAGCTGAGGATTAAAGGTCACAAAATGATCTTTGTTCTGCTTTGTTCTACAACATTACCCCAAAACTCCCTAGATGTGATCTTTTCCCCAGTACTGTCCCTAATCAAACCTATAACAACAGGGATCCACCCTTAACACCAAGACAGAACAGAGTGTATGAGAAAAAGAAGGTCAGGCACAAAGTCAAATAATTGCTTTCCAAAAGCCAGTCCAAGCTCAGGTTTCATTCATTTTATTATATTCCCTGTTCAAACTCATGTTCATTTACTTTCCAATGATGCTTCCAAGTATCCAAAGTATGTCTCTGATGAAGTGCCAATGAGGCACAAAACACGTCAGTGGTAATCTTTGTACTCCTTACTGTATGTCCTGGCCTTACGTCTACTTTGAATAAAAGTTGTTTATTGATCCTTATGTTTGGATAGTCGAGGTCTTTTTTTCTTGCATATGTAAGAGATCTGGCAATACAGTTTGGTATGCATAGCATCCGTTCTTTTGGGCTTCCATAGCTAGGGACAGAATCTGCCATGCTAAACTCGGGCCCGTTATTTGTGGCTTGTGTTGTGCATTACTTTTCACGCTCAACATAAAACTGAGGGCCTGGCTTGCTCTCTGATATGCTTTACCACATTACTATTTTATTTCATTTCATTTCATTTAAATGCTGATTTATTTATCAAATCACTTTTAGCTATTCCCTAAGTTAAAAGAGAGCAGATGAAGCACATACAGGAGTAGTGTGTGTTCCAACATTAATTGAGCTGTGGGGAAAAACAGCACAACAAAAACACAATGAAAAACTCATTTTGTTCTTCTTATTTACCATTTATTTCAGGAGAGCCATCACAAAGGGGACATGTACTAAAACGTGAGAAACGTGTTTGTGAAAATTCAATAGAAGATAAACCTTTCCCATGTCTGTTTTCTTTTATGGTGCCTATGTATGAAGGTGCCCAGATTTTAACTGCCTCGTCCTGTGTCAGAGAATTGGAACCTTAAGCTATTGTTGAAATATAATTTACATCGTCAGTCTGACGTTTTCAGTTGTTTACTACATAGACACTTTATAATAACTAAAATATCCTATTTTTTTCACGAGATGTTCCCTTTTCTTTTAAATTTCTACTAAAGATTTAACAAATTACATCATACTCCAGTTCAGACAAGGCAAAGTCAGGGCAAACATTGCAAATTGCTTCAGTTGCCCTTTTCTCTGTATGTTTTCTCTTTGCTGACTGACAGGTGCAAAGGACCAAGTTTTTAACAATGATTGACAGGAAGACAGGAGAATCCAGTTGCAGGAATACAAAGTATGAATTTCTGCATTCGATTACATTTTTCAAACCTCACGGATACATATTTGTTAAAAAAGGGGATGAGCAAACAATATTGCAAACCCTGTGAAGAGACCATTTAATCACAAATAAATGCCCCCCGCAACTAACAGAGGATTACCAGAGTCAACAACAAACCTGCCAGGATTGAAGTAATTTGCTAAATATTTTTTATACTGCCATTTTAGGTTGGTGTCACCTGAGGTAGGTGGCGGTGCACTTTGAGCAGTAGAATTGATCATTTTCTTCCTTTTCTAAATTATACAATCTGTGTCTTATTCAGTGAATGACCACTGTTGGAATATCTATTTATCTCATAATATACCAAAGCAGAAAAAGTTAATTCAGTTCTCTATTCATCATGCTTATAATTTTCATTTTAGTGTGGAAGATATAAATGTATTTAAACCTGAAGGAAATTCCATAGCTATATCATAATAGAATATAATAATGTAATAATAAAAATATATAATAATCGCTAATCAATCAAATTCCTAATACACCAGTTCTAACTTAAATATTAGATAAAGCTGAACAACAAGCTTCCTGGGATAGTGGTTTCTGGGTAGAAAAAGAAATTGCATAGAAAAGAAACAAAAAAAAATGTAGAACTAATTTATTTGATAGAGAAACATGTTTGACAAGGAAAAAAAGGAAAAAAGAACACAAAATAGCTAAACTGGTAATATAACTAAGTATTTTTCCTATATAGTTATTTCTACCTTAATATACTAAAGGTTTTAAAAACTCTGTCTGAATAGAAAGCCTTTATACAGATCATGGAGCATTGTGGTGGGTATGTAATAGTTTGTAGATACTTTCATGTCTCAAGAAATGAGCGGCTTGCCATGAGAAATTCTTTCTCATTGAGAAGATTCTAAAAGAGAATTTCAGTTATTCATCAGATATATTGTGTAAAAAACAAAAACCAAGTCTGCTATCGTAGAATAAATTATGCTTGGTGGAGTGACCTGACCAATGTCCAGACATAAATGGAATTTTTATAATTGGTCTTGATATGAGCTCTCCCCACAAGGAATTCCTTGAATTTCATGAGTTGGACATTTTCTGAAAGGATGAAAGGGACAAAATTATCTAAACAGTGTGAGAATCTGACCCACGTTTGCAAGAAATGTTTTTAAATCGGAAGCCACCAGACACAAATATTTAATGCTGGATCAGTCATGACTACATATTACCACGGTAATGTCTGCTTGCTACTGTTTAATAAAGTTAGTTTTACTATTACTAAGTTCCATTTTATAAGTGCGAAATACGGGACATATTTCATACACAGTTGAAATGTCATCTTCAAAATAGAATGATTTCAATGCCCTCAATAAATATGATGTTGCAATATTGAGAAAAAAAACAAGGAGTTAAAGGAAAAACACATCCATACCTTTAGTATATGGCAAGTTCCATATATATGCACCTTGAGTTAAACAGTGTTTGATAACCATCAGTTAGTCTCTATGTGCTTCCCTGCTTTTGTGCAGGGAGTGAAGTTGGGAAGACCAGATAAAGTCTGTTTTTAAATACCGTCCCACCAAATGTGTATGTATATGGCTGAAGGATGCTGTCATATACTAAAGGTAGTGATGAATTATAATACAGTACAATATACACACTACTCAAGATAATAACTGTAGTGAGATGTATACAGATACTTAACTTAATTATTACAGCCTCCCAAGATCGTTACCCAGAGAAAACGACCTATTAACATAGATAACCACAAGCAACACAGAACTTCGGGATACGGCTGGACAGTTAATCTAAAAGGAACACAAAAAATATACACAAAATAGTGAAGTACAATTAACACATGGTTTTCCGCTGAATACAAATGCACTCACAGAATGAAGTAGAATATATCGCTCATAGGGTGCCTCCCCTAGTGGAATGGGGGGTTGGTAATCCCTTGGCTCCTTCTTAGGCTTCCTTAATGATGCTCAGGACTCCAAACAGGTAATGGTAGAAAAAAGATGTATTTATTGATAAAAGGTGAGTATTCACCATCAGTATAAAGTATAATAAAAAACGGTATGGTCCTACGCGTTTCGTTCTGCAAAGAACTTCATCAGGGACCGTATATAAAGAATAAAATCAATATACAATTACAGTATATAAAAAAACATTTTTTTTTGGCTTCATTAAGGAAGCCTAAGAAGGAGCCAAGGGATTACCAACCCCCCATTCCACTAGGGGAGGCACCCTATGAGCGATATATTCTACTTCATTCTGTGAGTGCATTTGTATTCAGCGGAAAACCATGTGTTAATTGTACTTCACTATTTTGTGTATATTTTTTGTGTTCCTTTTAGATTAACTGTCCAGCCGTATCCCGAAGTTCTGTGTTGCTTGTGGTTAGTGATGAATTATGTCTTATCTCTGTTTTTCCAATTTTTTGTTCTACAAATACCTTGTTTCAAAACTTGATAAAAGGATTTTTATTTAAAAACATACTTTTGAGGTGACACATCCTTTAAAATTAAGACTCTAAGATAATGTTAGGGTTAGTGTAGATTTTTAGGGAGGACGTTTAGTGTGTAGCATTACAAGGATTCAAAGTCAGGTTTGGGGTTTTGAAGGATTTAGGACTGGTTGCATGTAGAAAAGTGTTACATTTTGAGTTTAATAGAGCCAGGTGTTATTTGTACCAAAACATGTAATCCATATTTATACAGCAGCTGGAATATTGTCTCAAATTAAAATACATTTTTTACCACCCACAACTATTTCAAAACAAATACCAAGGTTGTAATCATCAATATCAAGCCTATTCAGCACCACGAGCTTTGAAAAAATGCCATGGGACATCAGTGGAATCTCAAATGACACTACGGCACCTGGTTAATGTGGTAAAGTAATTCAGAGAGATGTAAACGTTTTCATTGTGCTTTTGTAGAGTACAGGTGATTTTAAAGCATCTATTGTGGAATTTGTTCGTTTGTATGCATTATCCTGCAAGGGGGTGTTATAAAATTTCATTCTTGCAAATCAGTTTATACAAATATTTATTGTGCATTTTATTGCTGTCTATAAAACCTTTATACCATATCCACTCAATTCCTAGAAAATAAAACATGAAATATAAATCATTATACAATCTCTGTGACTTATATCACATTGTTTTTCACATCTTTAAAGGAACACTATAGCATTAGGAATACAAATATTATTACGAACGCTATAGTGTTCAAGTCACCATTTAGATACTTTTTACTTACCTTAGATCCTCATTTGTGCCAGTGTGTGCTCCAGCTCCATCTCTTCTGCTGAGATCATCAGTCTTGATGATTTCAGCCAATCCAATGCTCCCCAATGAGAAACATTAGGAGGCTAGTGAGCATGCACTGAAAATTGCAATGCTTTTGCCATTCAGTATCTCCTCGAAGAGATGCATTGATTCAATGCATATTTTTATGGAAGCGTTCAGTTTCTACATGCGGGACCAAACCCAGGAAGCAACTGATTGGCAAGGATATTCGCTAAACCAAGAAATGCCAGCAATTCCTGGGGAATTTTAAATTGAAATACAAAAATCCTAACCTAAAAGAATAACTAGTTCAGATGATTGTTCCAATTCAACTCTTTGGCCTTAAATTTAAAACGTCAAGTTCCTGAAAAGCAGTTAAGTGGAAAACACTTAAAGCTTCACTGTGTAAAAATACTGTTTTACAATTTGTTTTACAAGAAAACTATCTAACAATATCAACGCCTATTCTACGTTGATAAACAATGTCTTGCATTATTAAAACATGCCTAATTGTTAAATAAATATTTTTCTTCACGGGATACATTTATTTTTGCCTAATTTTCAAGGTAACCTGGTAATTTTAAAAATATTATTTTGTCATGTTGTGTTTTTTTTCAGTTTCAAATTCGTATGCACCTTGTATCTAAATAACCATACTCCCTCCTTGCCCTTTTTTATATGTATTATCTTTCTGTCCCTGAGCTGTATCTTAATATCTGTGCACCACCATTTTGTTCTCATTTCTCAGTTGATGTCTGCAGTTTGACAGTTTGCCCTTGTGTGGGATTCTTTTGACTGATGGATTGTGGGTAAATTAGTTTACAACTCAAATGGAACTTTGTTTACGTTCGGAACATTGTCAGAGACTGCGAAAAGTAGCCCCTTCTTGTTCTTATGTATATAAAAAAAATAAACTAAGGTATATATCTATAAATACATAAAAAAGAGAGAAAATAATATTTTTTTTATTTTTTTTTAAACTGTATAGGGACAGTGCCACTTGTAGTATTATCTTTCACAAGAAATGATACATATATCATTGGTTATTTGTGAGTTACATTGCATCATGTTTTGTTTAAGAGCTTGTTGGGTACTTGATTGCTATGTGTTACAATCTGAAATAGACAACATAGTAGTTCTATCACTTAAAAATTTTGGCAGGAAAAATCAAGGCATTAAGTATAATTATGATCAAAGTTCCTCATCTGGGAATTTTGGGAAACCGCATATAAATGAGCACCGACTGAGCTAGTAAAGATCCATATTCAATGGATTACATTAAACATAGCACACAAGGGAGAATCCTCTCGCTTGACATTCTGATTGTGCTACTAGAAACATATTATGAAAGAGAATAATAGCTGAATGACCAAAACATCTACTCCCCTTTATCTTGCAAATCCCTGACAGGTGTTTTGAATATTCCTGTACCAGTTCTTCTGGAAGGTTGTTTTCAACTTTTTGGTCAAATCGTCTTTCATTAAAGCCTTGAAATGTTCTACTTTTGAAGTTCAAATCATAAAAAGATGGAGGTGGACATCCAAAGGGCAATTATGCATTTGGAGTTAAATATCAAGGGGAATAAAAAGAGAACATTGGGAATATATCTAATTACATGCAAATCACAAAAATAAATTTGTCAGGGAGCATAGTACCCTATAAAAATAATCAAGGAATAAATGCATATTAATTGAGGGTTAAAGAGACAGTGCGGTCTAGAATGAAAAAGAACTTTGCTTAAAGGTGAATGTCACAGTTAATTTTAGTATTTTTTGTATTATAATTGAAGAATGGGTCACTGAGCTAATGTTACAATTGAAGCATGAGATAACAAGCTAATGCTCATGTTGTATTATTTGGGTCACTGTTAAGAAATGCTAATAACCACGGCAGTAAACAGAACCTTGGAACATTGCAACGGACTGTTCGGTATTCCACATCGCATTCTGCAAGGCCCAGCCCTAGACCTTTAAATACATTTACATAGCTGAAAAAAAATCCTTTAAATCGAGAAATCATGAAGCTAGCTTTGTAAGGCATTTACTAAAACACTAAACGATAAAAAGGCAGAATATTGTAGTATCTTTATAATTATTAAAGGTCCCCATCATAAGTTCTAGGTCCATGTACAACATGATTTGGTTTATTAACAGGGAGAAGACTGACAATGTGCTTTGCATGCTGTAGTGGTTGTGGTGTTTAAAGTGTCCCTCTAAAACTAATACTGATTAATTAAAAAATGAGTCAAATCTATTTTTATTAAATCAAACTATCACAATGCCAAGTTGGTGGCACATTGGATGACAAAAACATGTCTACAAAACAAAAAATGTGCAAGTGTACATATCTAGGCAATTTATTAATAGCTGTACTTATTGACCTTTTGTAAATATAGCTTTTTATAGGAGGTTTGTCTTACGCTTTAAGAAGGTTTCTTAATCAATGGAAATACATCTTGTCAAATGATGCAAATTAAATCAGTCTCACTTCAGTAGACACTGAGCGCGACCTGAAAACTCAGTATTCTGTACATGCAAAATTCCATATGTAAACTCAAAGAAGCTTGCAAGAAGCATGCATAAGCAGATACACAGGTAAATTAGCCAAGCCATTCAGTGGTCAAGAGGTGAAGGTTATTCATGACATGACTGAGATCAGGGAGATAGGTGTAGCATAAGGCAAATCATTTCACACATTTAGAAGAAACCGTAAAGAGATTATGGAAATGTTTCAAGTAGAAAAGTAGAAAAGAGTTAAAAACATCCTATCAAACAACTCAAAATGATACAGATGAGGATTATTAATATTATTCAACATACTCAATTTTTACCAGTTGTTTTTACCAGTTAGAAAATATACAATTTTAACAGCAATTTTCAATTAAACAATTTTCAGTTTGTTTCCCCCAAAAAAGGGGAAAAATATAGAAAAAAAGTGAAACAGCAAGACAGACAAAAATGCCAAAAGATGCTAGGTATTATCCCATTAAAAAGGATTTATTTAAAAACAATAATAATTAACACTCATAAATGCAAGAAAATAAAATACAAATGTTTACAAATCAAAACCAGGGACCTGTGCATACGCTCTATAAATATAAAGTAGCACAATAGGATTACTACAGACATTCCAAAGGTTGCAATTATGACTGTGCCTGAATGTAAATGGGTCCAATGCCTTTGTACGTCGGCACCTGCCAGGCTGGGTCCGGCATTTGGAGATCTATGTCTTGCTTGGTAAATACCACTTATCCTGCCCCCTGCCAAGCCCACTGAATAAAGTCATCATGACCCTAGCGCCCACAATCACTAATGCACCAAAGCCATGAAAATCAGCATTGAAAATAATATGTGCCACGGGGAAAATAAGACGTAGTTTCTCTGTAAATAAGGAATGTATTATTTTGTATTTTGTCACCCACCAGGGGAAGGTGATTTTCTTCATATTGTGAAGTCAAGACGCACCAGTAAAATTCAGCTGCAAAAAAGAATGTGCCCATACCTCTTATATATACATACTATGTAGCAAGCTAAAAATGACAGTGTGGTCCTATCTGATTTACCACAGACAAATGAATTTTCCCTTTAAAGGATGGTGGATCCTCCTTAAGGATTTCAGGATTGTATTTCTACTTTTAATGTAATTATACATTCATTGTTGCTCGCTCATAAACCTCTTTAGTAGAGTATACACAAAGTGTCTTTGTGTACCCTTAAAGGAAACCTTTACACACTAACATAACTTAAGCGCATTTGATTTTTAAAAGGTTTTTGCAGTGTTTTTTTCCTTTTTCAAATTAGTTATGAAAAAAACTTCCTTATTACAGGTATTCTGAGTGCATGCGCAACTCAGCCAATAAGTGATCAATAAGTGAGCTGAGCTGCTGACTTGACTCCACCCCCACAGCCAATCACTGTCCTGTTATTGTCTGTATCATACTGCGCTAAGGAGAAAGGGTGCAGTTAATAAGAGGATAGTGATTGGCCGTGAGGAGGAGTGATGACAGCGCTTGAAGTTGTTAATTTGAAGCTCACATACAGTAGTACCCTCTTTTTCAAAATGTATCTTGGTGCCTAGAAAAATGAATGTTTATCTGGGGGAAAGAAATCGGTAAAAATACAGTTGTGGCCTCATAACCAGCAGTCATGTAAATTGTGAACCAGTATTTATCCCTTGAAGAAGTTAAAGGGACACTCCACTGCCCAAATGAATAAATAAATAAATAAACCAGTGCTTACAAGATATACTCCAGTGAAAACATGCATGCATTTAATTATTGTTAATTATTGTTTCTAGCGCATATAGTTGAAATAGATAGCTCAAACACCCACAACAATGTCTCTCAGTTCCAGTCCAGTAGAAGGTATGCAAAATAAAAAGAAGGAGTAGTGCCTTGATACATTTCCTGAGGTAGATGCATGCTCAGATGTATAACACTTAATATTACACTTAGCAGGTTTCACTAGTAGAGTCTTTTGACACTTTTAAAAAATCCTATATTGGTGAAATGCATTAAGTGTTATACAGTTGGTCCTCATTTAGCAACCTACCTGTTGTACGACAGCTTGCACTTATGACCAGGTGTAAGTGCAAGCCGCTGTAGGGATTCCCTGCTCTGGTGCGCGTGTCTGTGTTTGGGGAAATTTCCATGAGTATAGATTAGAGGGATTCCCTGCTCTGGTGCGTTCATCTATGTTTGGGGAAGTTTCACTGAACATAGACAAGCGCACCAGAGCAGGGAATCCCTTAACGCCTCACTTACCGACCAATTCGTTCTACGACCAGGTCGTAGGAACGGAACCCGGTCGGTAAGTGAGAAGTGTCTGTAGTTACTGTTTTTATTGTATTACCTTTTTTTTTACTAGTTTATTAAATAGTTAATTTTAATACTCCTTTGAACTTTACTGGATCTTTCTATTGGAGCCTGGAAAGACACATTTCTTTGGTGGGGAAAATACCATCTGAGTGCTGAGGATTGAACAAAACCTAATTTTGCTCTTTACTTGTGAGTACCTCTCCAATTTTTACATCAGTGAGCACTATATCTTTTATTTATTTTTTATATATACGACTATACGCTGATCCCAAGATGGGGTTTATATCATCCTGAGTCACCATACCTGGTTGAAGGTCCTGCACACAGAAGCACTTTAATAAAAGAAAATATTGAATATCCCCAGGTGGGGATTGTACTGCCAAAGCGCATTCAAGTTGAGCTTTTTTAGCTCCAAAATCTGTAAGTGAATTTTTACCTTTCATATTTTCATTTTAAGTGAGACATGCTACACTATATTCTGCTGCACTCTACTGTCTCCACATATTCCACTACCCTTGAGAACAAATCTATCTCAGAAATATATCAAGGCGCTACTCCCTCGTTTTATTCTGGATTAATTTAATTATGCATTTTTTAATCAGGGATATATTTAAAAACACATTGCAAAAAAGCTGCTAATCTCTTGTCTTTAGCATTTGCAAGCCCTCCCCTTCTAACCCACCCAGACTGTCTTTAACTGTCCAATCACAGACTTTCCAATACAGCTCAATGAGAAGTCTTTGCAAGCCCTCCCCTTCTAACCCGCCCAGACTGTCTGCGACTGTCCAATCACAGACTTTCCAATACAGCTCAATGAGAAGTCTTTGCAAGCCCTCCCATTCTAAGCCCGCCCAGACAGTCTGTGACTGTCCAATCACAGACTTTCTAATATAGCTCAATGAGAAGTCTTTGCAAACCCTCCGTTTCTAACCTTTTGCTATGCATGTGCACTAGCCTTCCAATATTTTCCTACAGGAAAGTATTGATGAGCCTGAGTTTATTGATCTTGATGATACAAAGGTGAGGCCAGCCTGGGAGAGAGCAGTGTGACGTGGGAGAAAAGGTGAGTGTAATTGTTTTTTACTCCTTAAAGAGCTGTGGTCACATAAATAGTTAGAATGCTTTGCCACAGGTCTTCAGTTCAAGTCTCCAGTGTTGTATTTTTACAGTATCTCATTCCCATCCATCCTGCCAAATACCTAGTTTAGATGTGAATTGTGTCATGCATTGTCACATATACTATCAAACCTAAATATACCTACTTTTGTTATCAAAGTATTGTTATATTTCTTCTTTGATAGAGATAACCCATGATTTTAGTTTATTTTTATAACTTTCTAGAACATCTGGTTTATCTCTTGTTCCTAATTGAAATACATCCCTATACAATTGCGAAACACCCATTTAAATTTGCTTATTATTTTGTGTTCAGATGGACTAATCAATTTACCAAGCTTTCATTCTAAGGCTTATATTCTGACCCCTACTTATGTGGCTCTTCAACGGTTTTCATTGATTAAATTGATTTATATATCCTGCCAATATCTGTATTCAAGATCATTATTCTGTGTAACTAGCTTTTACCTCTGTTTGAAGGAATTTCAGGACAGGAATCATGAACAATCTGATACTGAATAACATCAGGTATTAACTTGGAATCTGATGTTTAACAATGTTTCTTGCTATACCTGTGGTCTCATACTGTCTGAACTATCCTATGTCTTGGGGTCCTTTGTTTCCCTGCCTTCTTCTCTTGAAAGTATTAAAAGTTCATTGCTTTCTAAATATTTACTCACACTGTAACAAGGATAAGCAAGTAATGGAAAAAATATCAACTTGGGGATGGGGCATGTGTGAGACTGATGAAAAAACATGTTTAAACACCATAACCACTTAATCTTATTAAACTGGTTACAGTGCAAAGACCCTGAAAAATAGCCTTTCCTTTTAAAAGGGTATAATTGTAGAGAATTTAATATGCAGGACCATGGGTTAAAAGTCATCCAGTTGGAATAGTCTCTTCCTGATTGGCAATGTCAGGTTTGTGCAAATTTTGCATCTGGTGTCAGTTCACAGCATGCTAACTGCAGACACCCTGGACAGGCTGCCAATGGCTAGGTGAAGCTCCTGCATCTTATCTATGAAGCAATTTAAACCTTTAGCTCCCTAATAACGAAAAAAAATTATTGCTTCTGTTTTTTTACCTCTACCCATCCTAAGTGGAGAGGTCAAAGAAAAAAACAACCAAAAAAGGAAACACAAGTCACTGTGTTGGGAATTCATGTCCTGATCTACAAGCTGGTTCATCCTAATGCGTTTTAGTCCACAATGAACATTTCAATCCTCTGTAAAAAGTATTTGATTGAACAATGCCCAGCACTAGGAAGGGAGGAAATGCTGGGGAAAAAGGAGTGAATCTTGATTAGTGGCAGAGGCTAGATCTTTCCGGGATGATGAGTTCCTTGTGCAAATCTTAGTAAATATATTTTTAGTTTATTGCAACTATGAACTTAAACCATATATGTGTTTTAGGTCATAGAGTTAATTTTAAAACATAGACTTTATTTACAAATTTCATATAGTTTCCACGTGGGCAAATAGTTATATCTGAGGTGTCCAAGTTTGTAGCAGGCAAACTCTGATGGATTTTATTCAGTTGTGCAAGTGTTCTTAGACTTTTCAGGGTTTCATTGAAGATGAACAAATTGAATTGTGCTGATTATTATCAAAATTCTGCATTTGGCTTGTCAATAAGCATGGGTGAGCAAATATCTGGTCAAGATCTCTCACCAGTAGGGCTTTGCAATATATTGCAAGATCGTTAATATCGCAAAGGTAATTTGACGTGAACATGAGCTCAGATCTATACAATTGGTTCAGTGTCCAACGTATGTAAGTTTCAGAATAATGAGTAAGGAAAATCAACAAAAGTATCTAGGCTCATCTAAATTAAACCATATTCTCCTCATTACTATAGTAACTTACACTGTTATTATTATCTTCAACTCAACAAGTAACCTATACGCCATTGGTATGTTTTCCTAAGAGGGCGAAAGTGATAGGGTAATTTTGTGCAATGAAAGTTCCCCTTGGTAACTTTTCATGTAAATATGCAGCATTTTAGATCTGAGTTTGTTAAACAGCAATTACATGAATTGATCAGCATAATATAAATCCTACTGCAGCTGAGACATTACTTTCATTTTGTTATACCTTTATGCCTGGGATTATATTAGAAATTTGCTATAGGTTAAAATGCACCCATTTTTATATCCTACCATTTCCTTGGAATTTGTGAGGCCAGCTATTCTATCTGCACAAATTGCATTCATTAACATGACCCTAAGTAGTCGTCGTACAACCATTAAATCAAATAAAATGTTAACAATATCTGATTTATGTTTGCAACACGTGGACGTGGGTCTATGAACTGCTTGCCATTCTAGTTCTGTATCATAGCCTTGTCTTGAGAAGGATTACATCCAACTGTTTTCTTTGTTTCTTTCAGAGCTGCCTCTGGCCAAACCTCGGGTTATATTTATCTTCATCTATTTGAAGATTGCTTAAATCTCTATTTGTCTACTTCTAGTCAATGTTGAAGCGTCGGTAGGTAAGACAATTTTCTGACCTCTTGTAAGTACTAAATTGAGTTCAGTATGATGAAAATAAGGATTTTGTTCTTTGAATTACATATATATATATATATAAAGAAAAGAGAGAGTTCTTTCCCATACATAACTGTGTAAATGGGGAACTACCGAAATCATCAAAATTATATAAAAAGCACCAGTATCAACACACACCGTACATAACAAGATATTGAAACAATTATTTACTAAAATATCAATCTAATTTATACAAACATCATTAAAGAGGAATTGTCACATCTCTGAAAGCAACAACAATTCTTAATTTTCTCTTACTGGGGTGATTAGTGCTTTCTCCCCAACGCTTTTACGTTCAGAATGGCATCATTATTCCAATGATTTTCCATATGTGGTCATGCATGGTCAGATCTCTGTTGAAAAACATTGTATGGTTGTGTGCACTCTCAGGAACTTTTCCATAATTATATATGTGCACAGCACTATGGGAAATATATTAATTTGCATGTCATGCTCTAGCTGTGCCAGGACATTCAGACTTGCAGTGTACATTGTGTAATAAAAACAACTGGCTTAACGTTTATTTAGCTATTGAGCTATGAGAAATCTCACATTGGACATTTCTGCTTTAAGAGGTAATTTGACAATTCTAGAAGTGAAAGTAACTGTTTTTGAGAATATGTAGGCAAAACAGGTAAGGTAATTTTAGTAACATAAAAACCAATCAAAATTCTATAGATACACTGCAGAAGTCAATTGAACCTATAATTACATTTAATTGCAGTTGTTTTATTTAGTAGCATTATATTATGCAAACAGCGAGAATTAGGCATACAAAGAAACTGTGATTAAAAATAACAAATATCCACACATTGCTATAAATATTCCTTGTTTCACTGTTTTTGACTGTTTTTTCAAACACGAGAGTGTATTTATGGGGTAACAATTTGTATACAAGTGTCAAGTAACGCGTATATTTCCTATTTTATATGACTATAAGCAGCTCTAAGCAATATTTCATTGTGACAATGCTTTACATCGAGAAAATTGCAGCTATGTTTTGCAATGGACATTTTTTGACATGTTGGGATTGGAATCCATAGCAGCAACATGACCCTGAAAATGGTTTTGAAATTTTGAAAATTATTAAGTGTAATGACTTCACCTATAGTAAATGTAACCTAGCTGTCATTTCCAAAGTACATAATGTGTCTTCAACCATAGGTAAACTGATCCCAATTACTGAGTCTTAAAATAAAACACAATAATGCCTGAATTGTTTTTTTAAATGTGTGTGTGTTTAGAACTCAATGCTGCCTCCATCTGTCAACCACCTCCAACTAATGTTTTGAAATTGGTTTCAGTTCTGCAGGGCTCCTCCCTCCTCATTGGTAACTTTTTGGAGAACTTACATGAAAGCATCTAGGCATGTCCAACAAATGGGGCAGGTTTAAAATCTGCCCTGTTCCAGCAGGTTTTGCACATGCCTAATGTGAAATTTCAGGAATTTCCATTAACTTGCCATTCAGGCAGTTGAGCCATTTTCCCATCAGTGGAGGCACACTATTGGCCGCTCTATTCAGCGGTCATCATTGACAGATAGCACTGAGGGGGGTGGGTGTATACAGTGCCCACGGGAGAGAGAAGAAATAAGCCATTTTGGATGTAACACAGAGAGATAACACAGCAGCAACAGCTCCTGGCTACTGCCAAATGTACGTGTATGATATATTTTCTCTTCCCCAATAGCCCTAGTGACGGCCTGAGGGATGATTAAACAAGGCCATTTTCTAATAGCCCAGGGGTGAAAAGGAGAGGGGTTCATTTCTGATACAGAACCATGTGCTGCCTGTCACTAATAGTTTTAATAACTCCTACTGCACATAGACATAATCTTCTTTAAAGTGCTCAGTCACCCTATTGCTGAGGCCTTAGATATTCATGCTGTGGCTATTTGAAAAGTTGTGAAGCTTCGGACTGCAGAACTGGCGCTGTCACTCTGAGGACTGAACAGATTCTGATTTCAATCTGTTTTAGTCTGTAATGGTTGATGCTTCTGTTAGCCATGTCAGCTACTTCTTGGTTTCATATTATCAATGCAGATTGAAGGGTCATCAAAATAACTTTAGCATATTGAAGTGGTATTAGTGAATAGATCATGCTAATGAGCTGTGAAAAATGTATTGAGCTGCAGTCTCACTGCTCAATTATCTGCCTTTAAGGAGTTAAATGATCTTTGTTTCTGTTGGTGCAGCCCCAGCCATACCTTCCCTGACTGTGACTGGAAAAATCTGCATGAAATAAATGGTTAAATTTTCAATTAGTTGTTAACTTGCTGTTAGACATTTGTATCTTATTTTTATTTACAGGAGGCTCCTGCAAGATCTAAAATGCTATTAATAGAGTAGGAAATACAATATTCTAATTAAACAGAAAGGCAATAAAGGAAGTTTAAACATTAGATCTCTGTTTACAGGAAGTGTTAAGTAAGGCTGTGTAAGTCACACACAGGAAGGGCTGCATAAACAATTTAACTTCTTAATGGCAGAAAATTGAGAAGTGAGGCTGCAGTGGCATGAGCTGTACAACAAAACTGCTTTATTTAAGATAAAGTTGTTTTGGTGCCTACAGTGTCCGTTTAATTATATTGCCAGCTGCAATGATAACACAAATGTTTAAATTTTACCAATATACTGCTGCTTTAGCCATGTGCCCACTGTGTGCTGAGAACTTAGGGCGCAGTTGACATGTTTCATAACAGCAGCAACATTTAATAGAAAGCTAAAGTTATCATAGCAAGAGCATTACTGGAGATGAGATCATGAGAGGGACAGCTAAGAGAGTGCTAGGAAGATAGACAGAGAGAGCTACAGAGACATGCACTGTGTGAGTATCTCTGTGTTGCAGCTCTGTGTAATCCATCACAGTGATCCTGGCTGTGTGCGATTTCCTTAACGTGCCCAGCTCTGTGTGCTATTTCTCTGTATTTTCCTCAGCTCTACCTGTTGTAAGAGTATACATGTAGCCTACCCAACTCTGTGTATTTTATAGGTATCTTTTTTTGAGCCTAGCTCTGTGTATTGTATCATCATATTTTTCTCGGCTCTGTTTGTGGTATAATTGTCTCTGTATTCTACTCAGCTCTTTGTATTTTATAGATGTCTATAGATATCTATCTTTTGTGTCCAGCTTGTTTTATTGTATAAGAATCTCTGTATTATGCTCATCTATCTGCATTGTATGAATATCTCTGTACTGTACAGAGAGGGGTAAAATTATGGGGGAGAAGTCTGGTGCCCCCTCCATTTCAAAACATCACCAGCCTCCTCTGCTGGACAGCTCCAACTATATTTAGTAAACATTAGAGAACTGATTTTTGTTAGATGAAAAATGTATATGCAAAATGTTTACAAAATAGATTTAACAGGAAGCCCAAACTGTAGGATTAACTATAAGGGTTTATTAACTTAACAGTGAATTGCAGTGAATTGAAAACTGCCAATTTTTGAAACAATAAACTCAACTTCATCTAAAGTCACAACTTGGCTACATTATCCAAAATATTCCTATTTAGTTTACAATTCACTACAAGCTAACTAAACGTAAAATCAGTAATATTGGATAACCAAAGTACAAGAAAATTAAAAATATTAAAATTCTATAGGTGTCATGGCCTCATTAATAAACTGATCCTTGCTATAAATACTTTATTCACAGTGTAAACAAACCCTCAACATGGCTCATTTATACTAGATTTTGTGATGACTGACAAAAGAGAACGGAATTATTGAATATACATAAAATTCCTTACCTGTCAGCTTTAGAGATGGAGTTTTATTTTAACCAGCTTTCTGTTTTCTTTCCAGCACCTGTTTATTTACCCACACTGTTTTTATTCAATTTAGACTTCTGTGTTGCAAATTATGTTAATTACATTAACCACTTAGTACTTTATCACTTCATTTTTCCAAAAATAGACACAGAGATTTTTTTTTTCTCAAGCTTTGTTAATTGAAAGAAAACTAACTGTGTTGTAATATGTAAAAGTAAATTTCGGTTGTCACTTTTAACTCTGTTGGAGCCGTAGCAAGGACAGCCATGCAACCATATATGTGACTGTCATTCAAAAGGTTAATTCAGAATAAAAAAAACAAAAACAATGACTTGAATTAGAAAAAAAAATATCATATGAACAAAAGCTCTAAAACATACATCGGTGCCAGGTGGGGTACACATTTTATGGCCGTTTTTGTTTTGCTAATATTGCAGTCTACAGAGCATGACATTAACATGCTGGGTATGCCAAAAATTGTAGCAATGTTTAAGACATTTATTAGAAAAGCATCGACTGAAAATGCATATGGATATTCAAGGCACTATAACCTCTTTATCTCTTACTGAAGTGGTTATGGTGCTTAGAGTGGCATCAGGCATTTGCAGCACAATACCCACTAAATACCAACTCATACTGGTAACTTATATTTGGTAACTCACATCTTTAACCCCTCTATCTGTCATTTACAAGCCTTTGGGGTGGCCTGAGCCTGGTTGTGGTTTACACATGTTTTAAGGACCAAGCAAAGGGCAAGCTTCTTGAGCTGTTGTCCATTTTCAGTATTCTCTTTCACCCTGCTTTTTTTTATTCACATATAGTTCCTAATAATACGTATTCATTTTCTGTTATTGTTGGCTCGTTCTGACTTCCTGATTGTCCTGGTATCCTGATTGTGACTTCTTGTCTGACCAACAGTGATCTCCTGGATTTCCAACCATTAGTTGGAAATTTTGTATTCTTGATTCTGAAAATTATGTATCTTGTTTATTTTTATTATTTATTTTCCAAATTTTTTATTTTCTCCATCATAATTATTATTATTTTATTATTTATATAGTGCCAGCAAATTCTGTAGCGCTGTACAGTGGGTGGACTGATAGATGTGTATTTGTAACCAGACAAGTTGGACACACAAGAACAGAGGGATTGAGGGCCCTGTTCAATGAGCTTACATGCTAGAGGGAGTGGGGTATAATGACACAAAAGGTATAAGTAGGTGTAATGAAATAGGTTGCTAGAAAAGTATTAGGTTATTTTGAATGACACCCCACTAACAGTTTAAATTATATGCTTTCCTGAAGAAGTGTGTTTTCAAAGATTCTTGGAAGGAGTGGAGACTGGGTGAAAGTCTAACAGAGAAGGGAAGGGAGTTACACAGAAAAGGTGCAGTCCTGGAGAAGTTTTGGAAGTGAGCATCAGATGTGGAAGTACGGACAGAGGATAGAGGTAGGTCTTCGGCATAGCGCCGGGGCCTCAACGGGACATACTTGTGTTTTAGGGAGGATAGGTAGGTTGGACCAGAATCTTAAATTGACCCCTATATCTAACTGGAAGCCAATGTAGGGACTGACAGAGGGGGGAGACGTGGGAGGTATGGGCAGACAGGAAAATGAGCCTTGCTACCGAATTCATTATAGATTGCAGCAGTGCAATCTGGAAACACGTAAGACCACTGAGAAGGAGATTGCAGTAGGCAAGGCAAGAAAGAACAATGGCATGGACCCGCACCTTAGCTGTATCTTGTGTTGAATAAGGGCGGATGCGAGCTATGTTTTTGAGATTGAAGCGGCAGGATTTGGAGATCGACTGGACATGAGGTGTGAAGGAGAGGTCGGAGTCAAAGAGAACACCTAGGCAGAGAGCCTGCGAGGTAGAGGTGATGGTGGCACCGTTGACTTGGAGGGAGACAGACACGGAAGTAGCAACACTTGAGGGAAGAAAGACCAGAAGTTCTGTTTTGGACAGGTTGAGTTTAAGGAAGTGAGCAGCCATCCAGTTGAAAATCGCGGAGAGGCAGTCAGAGACACGAGTCAAGATGGGCGGAGAGAGATCAGGAGAGGACAGGTAGATTTGTGTGCCATCTGCATATAAATGATAATGGAAGCCAAATGAGCTGATGAGTTTACCAAGGGAGGCAGTATAGATGGAGAACAGTAGGGGACCAAGGACAGAACCTATCTGTCCTTCTGCCTGCATTGATGTGAAATCATTAAATTATGGAGAAAGGAGCACAGAAAGTACCAAGAAGTTCTCAGTAACTAATGCTTGATATTCTGGAAAAGCCACAGTCACAAACTGGTTAAATGCGATTTGTCATGCATGTTGTCTTTGAAAAGACATTAACCTCATGTCATATTTGAGGGTTTTTTTCCATAGATAAAACGTGTGAAGTGCTTTCTTAAAAAAAAAAAGATAATTAGCGCTGAATGCTGCGTTTTAGTCCCAGTAAATGAAGAATTAGTCTTCTTTTGAAATTTCTTGTGATAATTTGAAAGACCATTTTGGCTGTAGGCTTTCATGGCCGTGGTGTTTAATCACCTGCATGATTTCTGTTCCCTCAATATCCCTATTACATTATTAAAACACAATAATTTAGTGGCAATTAACAGTTCTCCAAATATTGATGGATTGCCTCAAGAGGTTGAGAATGTGTTTGCTGCCTGAGATAGCAAAACGGTAATATTTAATAAGGGTGTTATTCATTTTTCTCATGATTTTACTAAGCTTACCTTGATTAATTACTGCATTGAGGATGGAAACACTGTATGGATGAGATGTTATGCTGCTTTAAAGTAATAATGTTTCAGCAGTTAGTGCCAAGAACCCACCAAGTGACATGTCAGAGAAAGGTAAAGTGAGGTAAACTTATATCTTCCCTTGCTCGGTGCCACCATTCATGTGTCTAGAACTCCTAGGAGATGATACAACGAGGAGCCGCATCATCATTGTGCTCTTGTGCACGTGCAAGAGTAAAAAAAAGTGGTCTGTGGAATATACATCTAGATCTAGCTAGATCCTGCTGGATCTTGCAATGACACTCTTGAGCATGTGCATTAAAGGACCACTCTAGGCACCCAGACCACTTCAGCTTAATGAAGTGGTCTGGGTGCCAGGTCCAGCTAGGGTTAACCCATTCTTTTATAAACATAGCAGTTTCAGAGAAACTGCTATGTTTATTAATGGGTTAAGCCTTCCCCCATTCCCTCTAGCGGCTGTCTCATTAATAGCCGCTAGAGGCGCTTGCGTGATACTCACTGTGAAAATCACAGTGAGAGCACGCAAGCGTCCATAGGAAAGCATTGATAATGCTTTCCTATGCGACCGGCTGAATGCGCGCGCAGCTCTTGCTGCGCGTGCGCATTCAGCCGACGGGGAGGAACGGAGGCGGAGAGGAGGAGGAGAGCTCCCGCCCAGCGCTGGAAAAAGGTACGTTTTTACCCCTTTCCCCCTCAGAGCCGGGCGGGAGGGAGACCCTGAGGGTGGGGGCACCCTCAGGGCACTATAGTGCCAGGAAAACGAGTATGTTTTCCTGGCACTATAGTGGTCCTTTAAGATGCCTTTGGCATCTGTTTTGCATCATGTCTTATATCTCTTCCATCTTTTGTAAAAGATCCTGCAATTCCTATACCTCTTGAGTGATGGCTTATAAGAAAGGCAAGGGAAGTTCATTAAACCTTGGGTCATGTTTTGCCATATGCTGCAGTCCCTGCATTGTGGTATGCTTTTCTTTTGATTCTGATGACACTACAGTGAAGTTCCAACCCAATATATAGGCAAATTTTCACTAAAAAAAATAAAAAGGTGCTTCTTTTAATTTTCAAATTAGGCTTCTGGTTTGTTTTTTCTATTTTTTGGTCCAGTGGCACATAATAATCCTGAACATCTAGAGATCTTTGGAATGTGGGTCACCTACCTGTTCTACGATTGAAAATGAAGCCTTTTATTATCCGTGTTTTATAACATTTTGTTTCAAAAAAGTTCCTACTCTTGTACAGAATCTAGAATGTTTAGGTTTAAGTTCTAAAGAATATTCAGAATTGTTCCTGCCTTTCGAAAGATGTGGTAAAGCCTAATATAGCGGAATTTTATAACATGACAGGAGGCTTCATATTTGCTTAAGTCTCTCTTTACTAGAACTCCACAGCAGCACATTAACACAGAGATGAAAACACCAGAGACCAAAAAAAATCAGGAATCTATAAAAGTCTTCTTCCAACTAACTATTTCCTCTTTCTTTGCTGCTCCACAGTCAGTACAGGTCAGAGTACCACTGCCTCCTGTTATATATGGGTGGTTGTGGATATGTTACTGTATTTATATGTTTATTACTGTATTGATTTATTTGTTTAAAGGGTATTTTTGCATCTACCTACTTAGTGCTCTAGTGATTGATTTATTTAGCTATACTGTATTTTCTGCATCTACCTTCTTAGTGCTGTAGTGATTGTTTGATTGATTGATTTATTTACTCTGTTTTTCTGCATTTACATTCTTATGGCTGCAGGGATTTATTTGTTTGGAATGTGTTTACCTTCCTACTGCCATTGTGATTTATTTATTTAGATTGTATTTTTCTGTCCCTACTTTTTTGCTGTAGGGATTTATTTTCTCTTATGACTTTTCTGCATTTTCTTGTTTTGGGCCCCCCTGTCCGGGGATCGTTTTTTTCTCGGGTTTGGGGGGATTTCCTTTTTCCTTCCGTCCCTCTACCTTTTCCGGGTGGCTTTGCCCCCTTCACTTTTTGTCTGTTTTGAGTAAGACTCCGGCGGTCCCACGTGTTGGATCCCGTCCGCCAGCTCCATCCGCCGAGCGAGATCCTCTGCTTCCACCCCCCACCCGACCCACGCTTCTGCTCGCGGTATAACTGCTCCCGCTGCGTGGGGTGGGGGGTTACCTTCCCATGCAGCGTTCCGTCGATGGCAGGCACGTGTGCTGTAGGTTTGACTGGGACCCAGCTATGACTTGGGCGCATTGCACCCTCAGGCTATCCTGGCTTTGTGCCCCATGTGGCTGGCAGGTTAGGCTACTGGGAACCATAGTGGATGATATAGATCACAGGCATGCTATATAGAGCTGTGCATAACCCCTCAAGGGTTACAGGCACAACTGGCAGTGTTACCACTTGTACTCATTCCCCCCCCCCTTTTTGTTTGTTCAGATGATTGCTTGCAGCGCTCTGTTTTATCATATTGGCCAATGGAGCACCTCTTGTGAGGTAACTCAGTTAGTGAGTTCCCTGACTACAGGTGTACTCAATATGCAAGTTCACTATTTACGGAGTGTCAGGCACTATTTAACTGAAGTGCATTATCTACAGTTACACAATGGACTGCTAGGTACAGTCACACAGAAGAATGCTATCTACAGTTACAGTAGAAGGCTATGTACAGTTACACAGTAATATATACGATGTATAGTTACACAGAAGAATGCTATGTACAGTTACACAGAAGAGTGTTATGTACAGTTACACAGAAGAGTGTTATGTACAAATACACAGAAGAATGTACATGCAGTTACACGGAAGAATGTTATGTACAGTTACACAGAAGAGCGTTAGGTACGGTTACACAGAAGAACGTATTGTATGTTTACACTGAGGGATGTTATGTACGGCTGCACAGAAGGGTGTTACCTACATTTACACAGAAGAGTGTTACGTACAGTTACACAGCAGAAGGTTACGTACAGTTACACAGAAGAAGGTTACGTACAGTTACAAAGAAGAGTGTTAATTACAGTTACACAGAAGTGTGTTAATTACAATTACACAGAAGTGTGTTATGTGCTATTAATCTGAAGAAGTGTTATGTACATCTTATCTGAAGAGCGAAAGGTACATTTTAGCGGAAGAATGGAATGCGCAGTTCCTCACCTGTACATCTCTGAAGGTCCTGACTTGTCTGTGCCCCAGGACTTGGCCGGCTTTGTCCATGCCTTACTGATTGGCCTGCTCTGCCTGTGCCCCATTGATTGGCCTGCTTTGTCTGTGCCCCATTGATCTGGCCTGTGCTGTCTGTGCCAGAATGTCTGCATGCCAAGCCTACTGCCACATACTCACGCTTGTGCATTGCATGCGCTGCCCAACTTGCCTCGGTCACTATATGGGGTGCTGCCCCTATCTCCCTGCCGCTGACACTTGTCCTCTATACTCCTTGAGGTTGCTTTGCCTAGGACCGCTGCACAGGAGAACCCTTATCCGGGTTAACAGCGCAGGCAATGACTACTATGGCAGTGACCGCCTCCGTGGAATTAGGCTTCAGCCAGGGTCCTCCTTTAAGCTTATCAGGAGCGTAACGCTAGAGGGCCCACCTTTCCCTCCAGGAGTGTTCGACATGGAGACACGGACGAGTCTCCTCCGTTTGTTTGGTCTCAGGACCTTTCTACAGGTGCCTCGGTCTGCTGGTACTTTGGAATTATGATCTCCGCTTCGGCAGAGTGGAACCTAGTTCCTGGATTCCCTGGACCCTTGCTCATTTGATCTCGGGGAAAGTGAGACTTTGGTCTGCCTGGCGACCCTGACATAGTTAGGTCTGGTACGGATCTCCTAATTTTGCTGCCGCTTTTACAGGATTCGGGTATTGTTCGGTCACTTTATTACCGGGGACTGCCATATTAATTAGGTTAGGTAGCGCGTACGACTGCCTCGCTCTGCTTTGAATTCCCTTTACGATTCCTGAGGACGGGTATTCATCTCCCCAGGGGGTACACACATTTTTGTCATGCTCCTATGGTGGGTTCTGTCGATTTTTGCCCATTTACTGATTCTGGATTTATTTACGTTATTATACCTTGTTTTTCTTTCCGATGAGTTCGGCGGTTCGGACCTTAGTTGTCTATCAGCCTTAGTTGGACCCGAGGGTCATATTCTTACTTCGGTAGCGCTCCCACCTTTAGGCGGTGTTCGATGTCACCGTTTGTTTAAATGGGAAATGTTTAAATGGTTCTACCCTTTTTCTCACCCTTCATGTACTGCTTGGTTGTGGTTGGCATTGTCGGGGCGTATAGGTTTTTTCGGTTCACTTCAGTCCGTAACACGGCGACTTCAGGTACCGACATGGCGGGCGGTTTTCTCCAAGACATTGTACGTTTTCCTGCCGGTTACAAAGAGCTATCTTCGCAGAGTTTAGGTTGGTACGGTGGATTGTGTTTCTTTGGTCTTTGCTGTCCGAGCGTTAAAACAGCAAATATGAAGCCTCCTGTCATGCTATAAAATTGTAGATTATACTAGCTTTAGTGTAACTATAATCTTAATTTTATTAATGACAGGGGGCAAATTTTCCCTCCCAGTTTCTCCCTCCCTTGTTGTTTGTTGGTTTGACTGACTTGTTGTTTATTCACCTGGTCTCCTGGGCTAGGTTGGTTATCTGGGGGAATTGGGGTTTATCTGGGATATGGTACCATCAGTATTTTATGTTGGGGATTCAGGTTTTTTCACTATCTGGGATATTATACTGTCAGTAGTTACGATGGGGATTCATGTTTTCTCAGTACATTTCATTCGCTAATCAGTGTTTTCGACTCTGTTTATCTCGTTTCAGTTTAATGGTTTGGCTACAGTTCTTAGATCCGACTACTCTACAGGATAGGTCAAGGCTTCACCCACTGGTTCCACGGTTTCAATTTCGGATAGCATTCATCGTTATGTTATGTTTGTTTCTCCTGTTATAGTATTTGTGGTGTATTGTTCATGTACTTTATTTGTCGCAGCGTGAAAGAGGACATAGTTAGTTGGGAGAAGAAGCCTTTTATAGATTCCTGATTTTTTTTGTCTCTGGTGTTTTTATCTCTATGTGAATGTGCTGCTGTGGAGTTCTAGTAAAGAGAGACTTAAGCAAATATTCGCCTCCTGTCATTAATAAAATTAAGATTATAGTTACACTACAGCCAGTATAATCTACAATTGTCTACAAAGACGTGAAGTAGGCTCATTACTGACCCAAGCATAAACCAAAAAAGGATAATATAGATAGATTTGAAATAGACAGACCAATGGTGTTTATCTACTGTCACAAAGTGCCTCTATACATTTCAAAAACAAAATAAGAAACCATCAAGCTTTGAAGCCTTTCCTGTCTGAATGTGCTCTCAGCCAGACTGAAGATACAATAAATCTGTGTTTGTCTCAAACTGATTTATCCCTTGTTTGCCCTAAAATTGTCTGAATGGCTGAGAAATTAATTGACAAAAGAGCCTCAAAATTCATAAATAAGCAAACAGACAAAGAAATAAACAAATAAATCAATTGTGCATACCAGTGTTTTCAGGGTTTTTAAGGTGTAAGAGATCAGTTAAATCCCTCCAGCTTGTTAATAGCTCAGAATGCTCTTTCTTGCAAACCCTTAGTATCTTGCATATGGAAATACAAAGGTACTCCGGAAAACACTATTGCTAAGGGACATCCAATGCACTTCCAACTACATTATTTAATTACTCCCACTACTTCTAAAATTAAACTGTAAATAATAGTCATTATCAGATTTGGGCAGTTTAAATGGAGTCCAAGAGGAATGGGATTATTTAAAAGTTGCACTACTGAAGGCAACAGAAAACTGAATTAGGCTTGCCTGTAGGAGCAAAACATTAAAGAAACCACTGTGGTACTCGGTAGATGTGGCCAAAATAATAAAAAACAAAAAGTTAGCATTTAGTTATTATAAAAAAAAAAAACCAGAGTGAGGAAGATAGACAGATCTATAAGATTAGGCAGAAAGAGGCTAAGCAACTTATAAGAGCTTCCAAATCACACACAGAAGATAAAGTAGCACAGTCAGTAAAAAAGGGGGGACAAACCTTTTTTATATACAAAAATGAGAAAAGGAAAGTAAAACAAGAATTAGTTAGATTAAAAACAAAAGAAGGAACATATGTAGAAGAGGGTAGAGGTCTAGCTGACTGCCTCAATTAATATATTTGTTCAGAATTTACAGATGAAAATGAAGGAAAGGGACCTCAATTAGGAAAGAGGACAAATAAGGAATTTGTTACATGTCAAAAGGAAGAGGTTCTATTTCAACTGTCAAAAGTAAAGACAAATAAGTCAGTGGGACCTGATGGAATACACCCAAAGTTATTAAAAGAGCTTAGGGGTGTACAAGCAAAACAATTGGCGGATTTATTTAACCAATCATTGTTAACAGTAGTACTCCCAGAAGACTGGAAGTTAGCGAATGTTGTGCCCATTCAGAAGAAAGGTAGTAGGGGGAGTTGGGCAACTATAGGCCAGTAAGCCTTACTTTAGTAGTGAGGAAAGTAATGGAAACCATGTTAAAGGATAGGATTGTTGAACATCTAAAATCACATGGATTTCAAAATCAGATACAACATAAGTTTACTTCAGGGAGATCATGCCAAAGTAATAGATCAGGGTTGTGCAGTAGACATTGCTTACCTAGATTTGAGTAAGGCTTTTGACACTGTCGCACATAGAAGAATTATCAAAAAACTACAATCTTAAAGTTTGGCTTCCAATATTGTTAAAGGGACACTATAGTCACCTGAACAACTACAGCTTAATGTATTTGTTCAGGTGAGATCTATAGCTCCCTGCAGGCAATCTAATGTAAACACGGTATTTTCAGTGGCTTCACGAGGCTCTCAGCGCTGGAACAAGGTGAGTAAACTACTCTGCCTGGAGAGTCCCTTTAGATGGGTTAGGCAGTGGCTGAGTGACAGGCCACAGAGGGTTGTAATCAATAGAGTATATTCGAAGCATGGTCTTGTTAACAGTAGGGTACCTCAGGGATCTGTACTTGGACCCATTCTCTTTAAAAAAAAATTATTACTGATATTGCAGAAGGTCTTGATGGTAAGGTATGTCTTTTTGCTGATGATACCAAGATATGTAACAGGGTTGATGATCCAGGAGGGATACGTCAAATGGCAAATGATTTAGGTAACCTAGACAAATGGTCAGAGTTGTGGCAACTGACATTTAATGTGTACAAGTGCAAAATAATGCATCTTGGATGTAAAAACCCAAGGGCAGAGAGCAGAATATTTGATGGAGTCCTAACGTCAACATCTGAGGAAAGGGATTTAGGGGTAATTATTCCAGATGACTTAAAGGTAGGCAGACAATGTAATATAGCAGCAGGAAATGCTAGCAGAATGCTTGGTTTTATTCTGCATTAGAAAGAGGGAAGTGCTCATGCCATTGTACAAAACACTGGTGAGACCTCACTTGGAGTATTGTACACAGTATAGGAGACCGTATCTCCAGAAGGATAGTGATACTTTAGAGAGAGTTCAGAGAAGGGCTACTAAACTGGTTCATGGATTGCAGGATAAAACTTACAAGGAAAGGTTAAAGGAACTTAACATGTATAGCTTGGAGGAAAGACGAGATGGGGGGATATGATAGAAGCATTTAAATACATAAAGGGAATCAACACAGTAAAGGAGGAGACTATATTTAAAAAGAAGAAAAACTACCACATAGTCTACATAGTCTTAAATTAGAGGGGCAAAGGTTTAAAAATATTATCAGGAAGTATTAGTTTACAGAGAGGGTAGTGGATGAATGTACCTGTTCAGACATATCAGCAATATTGAAATATAAGGTACCATTTCTCGTCGATGTTATGATGACCTATAAGTAAGTGTAAAACCTCAATGTATTAAACAGGCTCCTGACTGCTTATCTCTTTATTTTATAGCATTTAATTTCATCACCTTGCACATGGGTCTACTTGAAGAAACAATAATATATCACACCAAAGTAACCTGGGGTCCCTAGTTTTCCCCATATTACTAGATATTAGAGACTAATGTTGACTTAAGAAAATCCAAAGTTATCACCTTAATTTCCCTGCCCCCCAAAAAGAAATAATGCTAGGGTACTCAGGGGTACCCTTACTATTTACACTACCATCTTACAGCACCAGGGAACAAAAGGGCAGGAGTATTGTGTTTGAGTGGCTGTCACTAGAGATGTAACTACCGATGTAAACAATGCCTTTTCTCTGAAGAGATGAAGGAACATTCTATAGACACTAGAACCAATACATTAAGCTGTAATGGTTCTGGTGTCTATAGTTTCCCTATTAAATAGCATTTTATTTTTATTTTTTTAAATTTCTAAGGCCCATTGGATTTCTTTTTCAAATAGAATACATGAAGATGGAAAAAAAAGTTAGAAAGTAAATAAACTAAGGAATAAAGCATACATTTATTTCCAATTGAACAATTTTCTAAATCTTTTTTCTTTTAAATATAAATCAAATAAATTGAGCATAATGCCTTTAAACTGCACTCCCCTGAGGAACACAGGCAAGAGCTTGTGCAAAACAAGTTATGTTTCCATAAATTACGTATTTGTGAAAAAAAACATCTCTTTTGATTCATGTACCAAACATATTTTCCCAGCTTTTTGTAATGTCCTGATTTAAAATAAAAGGAAGCATAATATGCATATCTTGGTTTACAAAGTAAATAACAAGTAAAATTGCTAATTCTAGATTTATTTACAAATTACGTAAGAATATAAGCACTGTACATCAGATGCTACCCTGACTACTAATAGCACAATTATTTTTCAGAATCAATGACTAGGAGAGTGTTGTATCGGTATATTCAAGCTGAAAGAGTAGGAGAGAGGAATTCAAATAGCTTTCTATATAACAGGATAACATGGTTGACCCTCTCCTCAGTAGTCAATCTACATAAATTGTCTTTTGATTTTTAGCTAGGAAATAAACATAAACTGACGTTTTAGCTCTTCCTTATCCACGGAACTGTAAAACAAAATACGCATACATTGGAGCAAGAAAATCTATTATGCATGCAATTCAAATCAGCAAATCACATATAATTTATACATAGCAATGCTCTGAACTCCGGGTAAAGGGACAAGAATAACCTGCTCTCCAGGGTTTGCTACACCACTGAACTCCTATATGTAGCATTTGGAAAATTGACTGTTTCTTTTTTGACGTGGCTCTTGAAGGATGAAAAAGCAGGACCTGTAGATGTCATCTTTATGAAGATGGCAGCGCCTACAAGGTAGAGCTTCACGTGAAAATATCTACCTTCAGCTGCTCCCGCAACACAAGTGGGCACATCATCTTTGTGAAGGGTTACCAGATTTTGGAAATAAAAACTGGGACACCCATTAGCTAATGATGCAAAGCAGGCGAGGCCTGGAAATAAAGTAAGTAAAAACATATTTTTAAATGGGCAGGTCACCTAAACAGTGTTTTTACTACTGTAGTGTCAGGAATACATATTTGTATTCCTGACATTGTAATGTTTCTTTTTACAAATTAAAGAAACATTCTGGCCATCATAACAGCTTAATCTAAATGAAGATGTAATGATGCCACGAGGCACCTGAGTGACCGCTTTCCTTTAACGGTTCAAACCACTCTCAAATAGTTTAACCAATAAAGACTGCATTCAGTGTCAGATCTCCAGGTGGCCCAGCGGCATATAGTGAATTTCAGGAAGCAAAAAATGAAGTCAGGCACGGGTGCTGATGTTTGGCTAGAGCGGTCAGTTGATGCTGTAAGTCAATTCATAAAATCTTTAACTTTTTTATCAGTGGGAAACTAGTGATTTGCTTAGAGTACAAGCTGACTGCTCTAGGCAATAAGCTGTGCCCCTACCTGGCGTTACTTTGACCTTCCTGAAACTCAGTTTCAGAAGCCAGATCCTGCTGATGGACCTGAAGATCCAGCAATGCGGGATGTTCAAGAACGTTTTCACCCCGTAAGACAATAGAACACCAAGGGGACAACTGGCACCATAACAACCAGAATTTAGATGAAGTTGTTATGGTGAGCAGAGTGTTCTTTTAAAAATGCCCAAAATGTCTACGTCTCAAAGATTTTTATTTTCTTTAATTAAATAAATTAACATTGATAGTTTTTTGTTTTTCTACCTGGGGAAATGAGTGGGTCCAATGCATTCCTGCCAGGCCCAGGTTCTAAAGCCTCACGATTTGGTGTCCAGGACCAGGGCCGTCTTTAACAAGGGGCAAACGGGGCAGCTGCCCCGGGCCCAGTTGCTCCTGGGGGGCCCAAAGCAGCTGTCCCGTGGGCCCCCTGCCCGCAGCCAGGACTGAACAGCCCACCGGGATACTGAGAAATATCCCAGTGGGCTGCGGCAAGTGAAGTAATCAGGGCCCCCCGCCCTTTAATTGAGCACCCGACCGGGCCCCTGTCTGTATGCCTGCTGGGAGGAAGTGAGGTGAGATCACTTCCTCCCAAGTAACAGAGTGCCGCTGGGGAGGAGGAGACACACATGGAAGTGGAGGAGAGGGAGGATGCACACACAGGAGGAGGAGGTGAAGGAGAGGGACTGAGGTAAACATGTTCATCAGACTCCCATCAACCTCAGCCATCCAGCTTCCACTGGACCCCAGGGAAGCCACCCTTCTCTAAAGGTAAGGAGACAAGAGGGTGGCTAGACTTAAATTGATGTGTGTATATCTGACTGTATGTGTGTATCTGACTATGTATCTGATGTGTGTATCTGACTGTATGTGTGTATCTGACTATGTATGTGTATATCTGACTATGTATGTGTATATCTGACTGTATGTGTGTATCTGACTGTATGTGTGTATCTGACTATGTGTGTATCTGACTGTATGTGTGTATCTGACTATGTATGTGTATATCTGACTGTATGTGTGTATATCTGACTGTATGTGTGTATCTGACTATGTATGTGTGTATCTGACTGTATGTGTGTATCTGACTATGTATGTGTATATGACTATGTATGTGATCTGACTGTATGTGTGTATATCTGACTGTATGTGTGTATCTGACTATGTGTGTATATCTGACTATGTATGTGTGTATCTGACTATGTATGTGTGTATCTGACTGTATGTGTGTATCTGACTATGTATGTGTATATCTGACTATGTATGTGTGTATCTGACTATGTATGTGTATATCTGACTGTATGTGTGTATCTGACTGTATGTGTGTATCTGACTATGTATGTGTATATCTGACTATGTATGTGTGTATCTGACTGTATGTGTGTATCTGACTGTATGTGTGTATCTGACTATGTATGTGTATATCTGACTATGTATGTGTGTATCTGACTGTATGTGTGTATCTGACTATGTGTGTATATCTGACTATGTATGTGTGTATCTGACTATGTATGTGTATATCTGACTGTATGTGTGTATCTGACTGTATGTGTGTATCTGACTATGTATGTGTGTATCTGACTGTATGTGTATATCTGACTATGTATGTGTATATCTGACTATGTATGTGTATATCTGACTATGTATGTGTGTATCTGACTGTATGTGTGTATCTGACTATGTGTGTATATCTGACTGTGTGTGTATATCTGACTATGTGTGTGTATCTGACTATGTGTGTGTATCTGACTGTGTGTGTGTGTATCCTGACTGTGTGTGTGTATCTGACTATGTGTGTGTGTATCCTGACTATGTGTGTGTGTATCTGACTGTGTGTGTATCTGACTGTGTGTGTATCTGACTGTATGTGTATCTGACTATGTGTGGTATATATCTGACTATGTGTGTATATCTGACTGTGTGTGTGTATCTGACTGTGTGTGTGTGTATCTGACTGTGTGTGTATATCTGACTGTGTGTGTGTATATCTGACTGTGTGTGTATCTGACTGTGTGTGTATCTGACTGTGTGTGTGTATCTGACTATGTGTGTGTATCTGACTATGTATTTGTGTATCTGACTGTGTGTGTGTATCTGACTATGTGTGTGTGTGTGTATCTGACTATGTGTGTATATCTGACTATGTGTGTGTATCTGACTATGTGTGTATCTGACTATGTGTGTATCTGACTGTGTGTGTGTATCTGACTGTATGTGTGTATCTGACTATGCGTGTGTATCTGACTATGCGTGTGTATCTGACTATGCGTGTGTATCTGTATGTGTGTGCGTTTGTATCTGGCTGTGTGTGTGTATCTGGCTGTGTTTGTGTCAGTGTATGTGTACCTTTGTGTCAGTGTTTATGTGTATCTATGTGCATGTATACCTGTGTCCGTGTACTTGTGTGTCAGTTTGTATGTGTACCTGCGTGTCTGTGTATGTATATGAGTGTCAGGTTGTGTAAGTGTGTATCTATGCGTGTGGCAATGCATACATTCCATCATTCCAGTACCAACACTGCACACATATACACTACTACATTCCAACGCTAACACTGCACACAAATACACCACTGCATGTGTATCTGTGTTCCTGTGTGTATCTCAGTGTTTGTGTAAGTGTGCATCTGTGTGGCAATGCATACATCCCAGCATTCCTTTGCCAACACTGCACACAAATACACCCCTGCATGTGTACCCGTGTGTCTGTGTGCATCTTAATGTGTGTCTATATCTGTGTCAGTGTGTGTAAGTGTGTATCTCTGTGTGTGGATGTGCCAGTGTTTTTATCTTTGTATCTGTGTGTGTGTGTGTATGTATGTATGTGTCTGTGTGTGTATACGCCAGTCTGTTTGTATCAGTCTGTGCATGTGTCCAGATGTGTGCATGTATCAGTGTGCTAATGTGTATGGATATCTGTGAATGTATGTCATACATCCAAGCAATCAAACACAACATGCAAACACACCCCTGCAAACACAAACCTTACATACAAACACGCCCCTGAATTCAAACTCAAAAAGTATATAGAAACACACCCCTTCACTCTAACACCAATACTACACCGTACATGCACACACATACTCTATACAACAACATGCTCACATTCAAATTTACAAACACTGCTCACAAATACAGCCCTGCAAGAATGACCAAATGGTAGATCCCCAACTGGCATAGCATCGTGGGAATTGTACAACAGATGAGGATCTATCTTTTCTCCATTATTGTGTTAGATGGGAGGCCCCAAAAATGTCTTGCACCTGGGCCTTCTCTACATTAGTTATGCCACTGTATTGGGGTGGAGGGCATGACTGCATGCCAGGGGGTGGAAATGTGTGGAGGGGAAGGGCAGGATCCAGGGGGCCCAAGCAAATGCTTGCCCAGGGTCCAATCAATGTTAAAGACAGCCCTGTCCAGGACGAAGTGGAGGGATCACTTTACTTGTCTTCCAGGTAGTCCTTCTTGCTCCAATCTCCTTCTGACACTGTCTTCTCTTTCTTCTGACACTGTCTTCTCTCCCCATTGGCTCCCTTCTGTTCCTTTCCCTTTCTCTCCATTCTGTTCCTTTCCCTTTCTTTCCTTTACTTTTCCTTTACTTTTTTCTCCTTTCTGCTCCTTTACGTTTTTCTCCATTCTTGTCCTTTCCCATTCTCTCCTTTTTGCTCCTTTCCCTTTCTCTCCTTTATGCTCCTTTCCCTTGCTCTAATTTACTTTTCTCTCCTTTTTGCTCCTTTCCCTTTCTCCCTTTCTTGCTCCATTTCCATTCTCTCCTTTCTGCTCCTTTACTTTTCTCTCCTTTTTGTTCCTTTCCCTTTCTCCCCTTTACTTTTCTCTCCATTTTGCTCCTTTCCATTTCTCTTCTTTTCTTTTCTCTCCTATGCACCACAAGCGGGGGACTGAAGGGAGGGGGTGATGTTGCGGCATGACGTCACCAAGCAGCGTGGTTTCTAATTGGCTCAATATCAGCACAATATGGGAAAAAAATGGACATTTATGCATCCCGAGAAACTTTCTTGTGATGCTGGGACATGTATCACAAAACCGGGACCGGGACATCTGGTCATAGGGGGTATTACGGACATTTACAATATAAATCCCAAAAGTGACAGAGTCTCATTAAAAGAACACAATAGCATTAGGAATGCAATCCTGTAGTCTTAACGCTGCAGTGTCCCTGTCCTCAACCTACTAGGTCTCCCCCCAGTGTCCTCGGAATAAAGGGTTAAAACACCTTTTTTTTTTACTTAACTCTTTTCATCACTGAGGCTCCCTCAGAGCTGGCTGGGTTGCCTCCTTCAGCGACGTCACAGCGATGGTGGGACCTAATGTGCAAGTGCAAGCACTCATCACGCATTAGCATTAAAGCTTCCCCATAGGAAAGCATTGCATCAATGCAAATGTATCAATGCAAATGCATTGTGTCAAAACTTATTTTGATTAATTTACCGAACATTGCACTTTCTAATGTTTCAATGCAGGGTTAAACAGACAGGAGCCTTGCACCCACACCACTACATTAATGCTGTAGTGTAGGGGTCATGGTGAAATGTGTCTCTGGTTCCAGTTCTTCTGCTTTAACCATTTTTGAGCAATTTAACAAAAAACACAACAACAAAGACTCTAGGTATAACTGAAAAATCTATCTGGTTCCAAAACAGAGGTACTTTTCTCTAAAAAAAAAACCTATCAATGTGTTCTACTGTAGAAACAGAACCACTAATCATTGTAGTCAGGATTAAACTTAATGCAGCAACTGTGTTCATTATGCAAGTAAAAAAAAAAGGATCCATTGGAATGTAATTATCGCAAACAACCATGAGAAATCTATCGTCAACAAAATGAATATTATTACTGGCTTTTATATAGCGCCAACTTATTCCGCAGCACTTTATCATTTTATAAATGAGAAAATGTTAAATAAAAGAGACAATTACAAATTGCTGGAGGAACGACAGGTTGATGAGGACCCTGCTAGAAAAAGCTTTCAATCTAGAGGATTAGTTTTTCTATGTGTTTTATATTTTCTTAATTGAACTAACTCGATACTTCAATATATTTTTTACTTTACAAATGCTCTAATATCCATTACCCCAAAAATACCTTTCAAGTTGCGGAAAAACAGGATCATGGGAGATAAATAAAATGTACCATCTGGTAATATACCTGTTGACTTTACTTTGTTAAATGCAAAATCCATATGCATAAAGGTCATCTAGAGGACAATGCTATTAGCATCAACCTTAACTCATATGGCCAATTAGATTAATTAAGTTCGCAGAGAGCCAATGCTGATTATGTACATCTGACACTGTAACTAATAATGCAAATTACTGAATTTATTCTCTGGTTCTCTACAGAGTTACAAATTATTACATGGCTCACAGGGGTTAATCAGTCTTCACGATAAAGTGACTTCTCATTATGTATCCTACACAGCTTCTTCGATAGATCAATATCTATTTTCTTTTCATTGTTAATAGGGTCATTAGTGTTTCTTTTTTCTTTTCTATCAAAACCTCTAAAAAAGATTTTTCTAAAGAACTTGTCGAAAAAAAATATTTATCTTTTGCTTGTAACATGGCAGCGTGATAACGTATATAGTGGAAATGCTATTTTATCACAGTGTATAATTATAACATATAACGGATTATTTTGGGCTGTGTTCCATTCGTATACTTAAAAAAAACGGATCTGAAGCTTTTAATAATACATTTTTACATGTATGGAATGGTATGTCATATGGTAAATGTTTTACATTGTTTGGATCTGGGTTACCATAATCTCCATGTTTGTTAGTGTGCATCACTTATGATTGCTATCAGACTGGACACAGTAAGAAGAATATAGGAATCATACGCTCCCACTGGGAAAATAATGTATCAATGAAGTAGATCCAAAATTAGCTGACGTGCCCACCTGATTGATTTCCCTCTGACAGCATGTGAATGCTACATAGTTTTTCACATACTGTTTTATATCATGTTAATGTTATAAGTACAGAAACACGTGGCAAATCTGTTAAATTAGAGTTTTCAAACCTCTTCACCAATAAAAATCCTGGTAACATTTTCCAAACTATTATCCTTATATTTACGCACATATACACATTTAAACAGTTAACATTATCTTCCAGTGTTAGAACTAACACCCATCTAGGAAGGGCTAGAATACAGTGTGCTCAAATGTCGACATAATCAGCTGACAAGTTACGGGCTTGTGAACAGAGTATGCAAGAAAGCACATCCATAATTTAATGTCTGTCTCCATTTAGATTGTCATCCATTTTCGGAGCATCTCACTGCATTCTCTGCTTCACAACTTTGTTCATCCGTGTCTCTATGTTCCCATAAGTGGCAATCGTATAAACATATATCATATATATTATAAACATATCATAGCTCATATAAAAATATTTATAGACACACAATACAAATAGATTTGTCAATGTGCATGCACGTCAAAAGAGATGTATCCCACATATTTATATTATACAAATCCTACATAGATGGGGTACTAGTGAAAGGATTTATATGACTTTTTATCTTGTAATGTTTAAAATAAAATGCTAAATAAATCAACCCCTTAATTTGAGTTATGAGTATGCATTGTGACCTCTTTAAAATACATTTCCCATTATGGGAAGCAGCATGGGATAAATGGGAAATGTGTTAGAAGACCATTATTTGACCCGAATACTAACTAAGGAAAGGGCAATTTTTTTTTTCCATTGATTGCCCCCCTCTTAAAATTGACTTTGGCAACTTGTAAATATGTAGTTTTTATTCCCTGTCCTATTTCTTTTAGACTTTCCTTTTTTTATTTAACTTTATAAAGAAAAGAACAAGGATTCGCAATGTTTAAATCATAATCTGTTACAATAACCTGACAACCTCTTGTGATTAAAAAAAACAATTCCACGTGGGCGTCATAGAGACTGCCTTAGCATTTACCATTCTGTTTATGCTTATGTTTGTTATGTTTGTTATGTAAGTTATGTTTATGCTTGCTATTTCATTTCTATGGATTATAGGCAAACTAACGTTGTTAGCTGGCTTTGCAATGTTGTAACCAATCTGACTCCTTCTTACTGGCTGATTTTATGTAAGAAATATGTATGCAAGATTAAAATTTCTGTAATATCAACATGATGTGAATTACAATAAAATAGTTATTTGCAACAAAAATAATAATAATAATAATAATAATAATTCTAGAGACAAAGCAGGTTCACCATGATTTTTTCCCATTTTTATTTTAAAAAACCCACTATCTATCTATCTATCTGTCTATTTATCATTCTTACTAAATTTGTAGTTTCCATTGTGGCTCATGTTTATCAAGTGACTTTTTTTTTTCCAGAGACCCCATATGGTACCAGACACGCTCGATGGCGTATTCAAATTAATGACACCATAAGATCTCCTTGGTCCCAGCAGTTCTTAGTAAATATATGACAATGGTTAGTGCTGTCAATCAATCATCTACTGGAAGCCAAAATAAGAGCATATTCTCCTGTCACCAGATCATGGGCATTGCAGTGCAAACCTTTTGTTTATGATTTATGAGATATCTTAGGAGAGGTGTGTAGTTAAAGGTTACATAGAATGTCATTGTAATATAAATCTGTCACTTTTGTGATGAGATTATTTTTTTAATCCAGCAAATAAATGTTGATACATTTTCAAAGGTGCAGGTGAGGCATTAAATACAAATGTACTTATACTTTTTTTATTTCACAAGGAAGAGCTCAATTATATCTGTTTGCGAAGTGCTAAATTTTAATATTTCATTTTTATTTTTATTTTGTGTATATATAAGATACATAGACAGACAGACAGATAGATAGATAGATAGATAGATAGATAGATAGAGAGACAAATAGACAGGATATGGATAGATAGATAGATAGATAGATAGATAGATAGATAGATAGAGACAAATAGACATGCTGTGGATAGATAGATAGATAGATAGATAGATAGATAGATAGATAGATAGATAGATAGATAGACACATAGACAGGATATGGATAGAGAGATAGATAGATAGATAGATAGATAGATAGATATTAAATAGCTAGATAGATAGATAGATATGTAATTTTTATTTTATTTTGTGTATATGTAAGACAGAGACAGATAGATAGATAGATAGATAGATAGACAGAGAGACACATAGACAGGATATGGATAGAGAGATAGATAGATAGATAGATAGATAGATAGATAGATAGATAGATAGATAGATAGATAGATAGATATTAAATAGCTAGATAGATAGATATGTAATTTTTATTTTATTTTGTGTATATGTAAGACAGAGACAGATAGATAGATAGATAGATAGATAGATTGATTGATAAAAGATAGATAGATATATAGATAAAAGATAGATAGATAGATAGATAGATAGACAAATAGACATGATGTGGATAGATAGATAGATAGATAGATAGATAGACAGACAGAGAGAGAGACAAATAGACAGAATATGTAACTATGTAACTATGTAACTATGTAACTATGTAACTCAAGGACCTAGACAACTCAAAAAAGGCAGATAGATCAATCTCGAGCATGACGACTGCATATATTGCTTGCAGTAAATTGCCTTGCACTGCAGAACGTCAGGATAATCCTTCTTTTAACTCATTTTCTGCTAAGCAGCTTGAAGACATTATTACCATGTAAAGATTTCAGGAATGGTAATAGAAAGAAGGGTTAACAGTTCAAGGAGAAACTGCGTATGATCGATGTACAAAGCCAGGTTGCCAAGTGATAGATTAAATTTTTATTTTTATTCGCACTAATAATATATAAATTGCTGCTACAAATATTCTGTGTGCATTTCGCACTAATGGCTACCTCCTCGTTGGTTTTCTACGTGATATGCATATATTCCCTTTATCCGCCATGTTTATATGATATAGAAATCCACACGTTAATAAATGCACTTGCTGCCAAGTAAAAGAGAATTTAATATGTATTACTATCAGAGGGGAATCGATCAATTAACAATGGGGGTTCCCATAGGAACAATGTAACTCGTGCGTGTAAATGCTAGATATTTCTAGGAATTACATGTTTGTAAGGTTAAAATGGCTGCAGTTGCCTTCCTACCAACATGCTCTTAGGATAACAGAATTTGCATAGTCAGGCCAAAATGTTACTTACATGTCTTTCCCCCTCTCTATTCCTCTTCCCTCACAAGTTCTACAAACACAAGCTTATCTGAGTCTATCCACTTAATTGTTGTTGTTGTTGTCATTTAGCTTTTTCCTTTTTCGCTTCCTTCTTCCTTTCCAACATTGTATCCATTTTCCCCGGGTTCCAACTTCCTTCAGTCACTTTCACCAACAAAAGTGAGTATACAAAAATGCACTCTCAGTAACTGCCCTCGGTATACACAGGTGTAATATTACTAACATCAACATACACAGATGTAAATCAACCACTGACACTGACATACACAGATATACTCCAGCTACAAACACTGTGAAAAACAGATGTACATCAGCCACTAACACTAAGATACACAGATGTATCTCGGCTATCAGCACCAACATACACAAATGTGCCCTAGCCACAACATCAACAAATACATATGTAACCCAGCCACTAACACTGACATACACAGATGTCCGCCTGCCACTATCACTGACATACACAGATGCACACCAGCTACTAACACTAACAAACATTAATGTACCCATTCACCAGCAAACACAAAGAAGCAAAGGAAGGTGCTGCACATGGGCAATAACCATATAGTGGAAGCTAATGCAGGGGAGCACCATACATGGGAATCCGCAGTCTCCAATAATACTTGTAAAAATCACCAAAGTATAAGCTGCACCACTAGCATACTCACATGTACCCAGCCACTAACACTAACATGCACATATATTCACCAATCACTAACACCAATATACACGTATGCATTTTCAGCTACATATGTCAACAATGCAGAAATCTAATTTGAGGAAAGAATAAATTTGACCAATAAAACACAAAAACACACAAACGCACAAACGTACTTTAAACAATCGCTAATATAGTAACAGAATACATGTATGGGGCTGCAGTAAATCTTATAGCTATGCTTTCCCCGTCTTAGCATGGGTCCCAGGACTGAATTTAGGTGATTGACAGTCAGCGAATACTCATAGCATAACGTGTCTTCTCTTTAGTGCAGTGACGGAGGGGAGACAAGACAAACAACTGACCATCCTCCTTAACTAATACAGTACTGTGGCATAACCCAGAGGTCAGATAAACACAGAATTACTGGGCGAACTTGGGACCAGCAGACTGTAAAAAACAGTAAAGAAAAGCCAGTAAGAAAATCAATCTGCAACAGTTGTAATCATCAGGCTATGGTGGGTTCCAAATGCAGTGAAAAGGAAAGACCACCCAATGGCTTATTAACACGGGGGCCGGGGAGTTTATACACATGACAAAAAAATCACAAAGAGTGATTTTTTATTTTATTTATAAAACATTTGTTTATACCATTCTCATTGAAACTAAAATCTAACTTTAGCTTGGCAACCTGTTCCTTTTTCCTCCAGAGTACGGAACGCCTACATTTGGCAGCACCCTAAAGCAGCTTCCTTGCTATCCTTATGCTAGCGCTGGCACAGGGAGAAATAATCTACTTATTCAATATCATATATGTAATGTTTTATGGTTTGCAAACTCTCACAGACATACAATCATTTGGGTCTTATTATTATTAAAAAACTCCACTCAAAAAAAAAATAATTCAAATTGTTAAGGCATTTCTCTCTTGAGTGTATTTGCCACAGGATCAAATATGGCAGCAGTCTAAATCAATTTAAAGGAACACTACATACATGTTTTCCTGACACTACAGTGTCTGTGTGGCTGTTTAGGTTACCAGCCCCTTTAGATTGCTCTGAAAAAGTGAATTCACTCACCTTTTTCTCACCCCAGGCCAGTCTCGCCGTTGCTGGCCCCTCCTCTATGGCTGAAATCATAAATTTTGATGATCTCAGCCAAGCTAGTGCTTTCCCATAGGAAAACATTGGGAGAATATTGCACATGTGCAGGAAAGCATTTCCTCATAGAGATTAATTGAATTAATGGATCTCTATAGGGGAACGTTTAGCGTCTCCATGCAGGGGGTGGAGACAGGGCCGGCGCTACCTGTAAGGCGGACTAGGCAGCCGCCTAGGGCGCCCCTTGGGAGGGGGCGCCGTCAGGAGCGCCGGCCCCGCTTATCCTGCAGCCGCCCGAGCGCTCTGTAGAGAGCCTCAGGCGGCTGCAGCCAGGTTTGCCCGGGCGGTGCGTCCATGAGGGCGGACCGCACCGCCCGGGCGCAGCCTGAGGAGAGGCTGACAGGAGGGAAGCGCTCAGCGCTCCCTCCTGTCAGCTCCCTCTCTGTAGCGTGGCCGAGCCCTGTATGGCATGGTCCGACCGGTACAGAGAGCAGCTGTCTCCTGTACACGGCCGGACTAACAGGAAGTGCACACTCTGTGTTCACTTCCTGTTAGTCCGGCCGGGTACAGGAAACAACAGCTCCCTGTACCGGTCGGACTATACTGGGCTCGGCCACACTACCACACAGGTAGGGGAGGGAGGGAGAAGAAAAAAAAAAGAGAGGGAGGGAGGGGGAGAAGAAAGAAACAGGGAAGGAGGGGGAGAAGGAAACAGGGAAGGAGGGGGAAGAAAGAAACAGGGAGGGGAGGGGGAAGAAAGAAACAGGGAGGGGAGGGGGGAAGAAATAAACTAACAGGGAGGTGGGGGTGAAAGAAACTAACAGGGGGGGAGACATTGACAGGGAGGGGAATTGATGGGGAGAGAGAAATTGACAGGGAGGGGGGAGTGACAGGGGAGGGAGGGGGAATGAGAGTAACAAGGGAGGGGGGGAGAAGAGAGTGACAAGGGAGGGGGGAGAGATTGACATCCATCACACACACACACACAATCACACACAATGCACCCCTTACACACAAAGACAATGAACCCCTTGTACACAGAAAAACACACAATGCATTACACACACAATGCATTACATACACACACACACGCAATGCAACCCTTACACACAATGCATCCCTTGCACACACAGAAACACACAATGCATTCCTTACACACACTCAATGCACCCCTTACAGACTCACACACTTCATCCCTTACATACACAGAAACACACCTTGCAGCCCTTACACATACAAACACAGATTCACAAAATGCATTCCTTACACACAAATCAGGACATTCCCTACACACTCCATCCCCTGTGAACAAACTCATTGGTGGAAAATGAAGGTGGACCCTGGGACCCAGACCTTGAGCTGTGTAAAGGGCCCCCAAAAAATGGAGCTGCTTCTCGTTCTCCCAGAACATTGATTTGTGTGACCACAGTTACAAACAGCCTCCAGAGATCCTGTTATACACCAGACCAGTGGAGCCAGACTGCAGCTAGAGCCCATCATCATCCTCATCTGCTTGTAAGTAGGTAATCTAGTATATTATTCGTGGCACTAATCTCTAATTTACCTCACATTAAAGAAACACTATAGTCCCCAGAACCACTGCACCTTAATGTAGTGGTCCTGGTGTCTATAGCCTGTCCCTGCAGGCCTTTTAATGTAAACACAGCGGCACTGCAGCACTAGCATTAGTTAACATGGCAGGTCATATGGGTGGGGCATTGCGATGTCACGGGGGGGAGGAGGGGGGCGGCAAACTTTACTTTTGCCTAGGGCGGCAAAAATCCTTGCACCGGCCCTGGGTGGAGACACTGAACTCCATTGCTGCACACTGTGAAGTACTGACCCAGGAAGAACCTCTTGTAGTCATGTGAGTGATTGCCAATAGAGGTGTTACTAGGCAGCAATGTAGACGCTTCCAAATGCCTTCCGGGATAGGCTATATACACCAGAACCACTACATTAAGCTGCAGTTGTTCTCTTTAAGTATTATTCAGCAGTCAGAAAATTGAGCAATGCTGGAAGCAACTCTACTATAACAGGAACTGGAAATCTTACTAGTGATCTCTGCACATTGCTTTGCACATACCTGGGGAGTTACGCCGAAGGGAATAAAATATTTTTATTATATTTACACACATACTTTTAAACATACCGGAAACTGTTAAATGAGCACAGTTCACAGTTATAATTCTTGCAGCCAAGTTGTTTAAAGGGATGAATAAGTGCAACACTAAAGCAGAGTTACTAGAGGTCTTCCATAACATAAATGATTATTTAAAAAGCAACTGTAAGTCTGCATTAAAGAGGCATTCCAATTACTATAACAGCCTATTATCTTGTCCATTTCTGTTTTGCAAAAATTGGTTAATCTAAAAGTTCCCCAGCTCTGCATTCCTTTGCAAATACTGGACCTTCTATGGTGTTTTTTCTACATAGGGTGCAAGTGCTATTCAATTTCTCACCTCCTCTTACTGTCTCCCTCATCAATAGCTAACATCATTCACTCATGCAGGGTTGGCTGGAAAAGTTTTAAGATGGTGGAATGCCACACTCCTTCCCCAGAATTCTACTTCTGCCTTTACAGTACAGAGATACTTATACAATAAATATAGAGCTGACTAAAATACAGATATAACCATACAACAAACAGAGCTGAGGAAAAAAATAGAGATAACAACAGAGCTGACTAAAATACAGAGATAACATACCATAAACAGAGAACAGTGTTAAAGCAGCAGACTATTGATATACTCTTCATTACCTTTGCAGGTGGCAATATAATTAATCTGCAGTGGTAATATGGAACCAAGAAACAGCTGACAAAGTTAACAGAATCAAAAATAATTACAGACTAAAATGGATTGAAATCAGAATCAGATTAGTCCTCAGAGTCACAGCCCCAGTCCCCCTAGCATTGTCACCCCTGGTCTTCCCTAGCGATATATCTTAATAATATTTTGAGTAAATTCCCTTGCTTAGTCAGCCTTCAGGAAGTTACAGGGGCTATTTGGGGAGACAAAAAGATAATATTCTATACTTACATTTGGCCCTGTCAGGAGTTGCTTCTTTTATGCTCTATCTGTGCTGCTTCCAAGATGGCTTCTTGCTTCTATCTCCTGTAACTCTATAGAATGCCTTCACTCATAGGCAGCTGGCTCTGCTGCCTAACTTGCAACTCAATTGGAAGCCATAGAATTCCTTCTTAAAGGACACTAGGCATGTGTAAAACATGCTGAAACAGGTCAGATTTCAAAACTGACTCAGTTTTAGTCATGCCTAGTTTCCCCCAAGTACACTTCTTGAAACATCAAAAAAATGAGTGGCCCTGCAGAAATGAAACCTATTATAGCATTAAAGAATCACAATTTTTTCCAAATATTTTTTGACTTACCACCCTCCACTCCAGAAAAGAAATAATCTTAGTGTTTCTAAAATTACTGCAAATACATTTTTCCCATATAAAAACTGGTGGGGCTCTGTCGCAAGTGTCCCTATGAACGAACCTCCACTGCAATCATCAATAAGCAGGAATCAACTTTTATTATCTTGTACAGCAGTTTCACTCATGTAACTTCAAATTCAGCCATGCACAGAACCATATCCATAATGAACATGGACAGAGATGTATATAATATACTCAGCCCTCCCTCCTGCAAATAATAATATTTTATTTGGTTACATACAGTCAGGTCCATAAATATTGGGACATCGACACAATTCTAATCTTTTGGGCTCTATACACCAACACAATGGGTTTGAAATGAAACAAACAATATGTGCTTTAACTGCAGACATTCAGCTTTAATTTGAGGGTATTTACATGCAAATCAGGTGAACGGTGTAGGAATTACAACAGTTTGTATATGTGCCTCCCACTTTTTAGGGGACCAAAAGTAATGGGACAGGTTAACAGTCATAAATCAAACTTTCACTTTTGAATACATGGTTGCAAATCCTTTGCAGTCAATTACAGCCTGAAGTCTGGAATGTATAGACATCACCAGACGCTGGGTTTCATCCCTGGTGATGCTCTGCCAGGCCTCTACTGCAACTGTCTTCAGTTCCTGCTTGTTCTTGGGGCATTTTCCCTTCAGTTTTGTCTTCATCAAGTGAAATGCATGCTCAGTTGGTCAGGTGATTGACTTGGCCATTGCATAACATTCCACATCTTTCCCTTAAAAAACTCTTTGGTTGCTTTTGCAGTATGCTTCGGGTCATTGTCCATCTTTACTGTGAAACGCCGTCCAATGAGTTCTGAAGCATTTGGCTGAATATGAGCAGATAATATTTTCCGAAACACTTCAGAATTCATCCTGCTGCTTTTGTCAGCAGTCACATCATCAATAAATACTAGAGAACCAGTTCCATTGGCAGCCATACATGCCCACACCATGAGGTGGAATGCTTTGGATTGTGAGCAGTTCCTTTCCTTCTCCTTACTCTTCTCTTCCCATCACTCTGGTACAAGTTGATCTTGGTCTCATCTGTCCATAGGATGTTGTTCCAGAACTGTGAAGGCCTTTTTAGATGTTGTTTGGCAAACTCTAATCTGGCCTTCCTGTTTTTGAGGCTCACCAATGGTTTACATCTTGTGGTGAACCCTCTGTATTCACTCTGGTGAAGTCTTCTCTTGATTGTTGACTTTGACACACATACACCTACCTCCTGGAGAGTGTTCTTGATCTGACCAACTGTTGTGAAGGGTGTTTTCTTCACCAGGGAAAGGATTCTTCGGTCATCCACCACAGTTGTTTTCCGTGGTCTTCCAGCTCTTTTGGTGTTGTTGAGCTCACCGGTGCGTTCTTTCTTTTTAAGGATGTTCCAAGCAGTTAATTGGGCCACACCTAATGTTTTTGCGATCTCTCTGATAGGTTTGTTTTGTTTTTTCAGCCTAATGATGGCTTGCTTCACTGATAGTGACAGCTCTTTGGATCTCATATTGAGAGTTGACAGCAACAGATTCCAAATGCAAATAGCACACTTGAAATGAACTCTGGACCTTTTATCTGCTCCTTGTAAATGGGATAATGAGGGAATAACACACACCTGGCCATGGAACAGCTGAGCAGCCAATTGTCCCATTACGTTTGGTCCCTGGAAAAGTGGGAGGCACATATACAAACTGTTGTAATTCCTACAACGTTCACCTGATTTGAATGTCAATACCCTAAAATTAAAGCTGAAAGTCTGCAGTTAAAGCACATCTTGTTGATTTCATTTCAAATCCATTGTGATGGTCTATAGAGCCAAAAAGATTAGAATTATGTTGATGTCCCAATATTTATGGACCTGACTATCTTTCACAGGTCAAATAACTGCAAATATTAAATAATTTGACAAGCTATGATTAGCAATCCCCATTATAAGTTGGACTGTAAGAGATAAATTGAAATGTGCTATATCTAGAGTATCCAGGCAAAAAAATATAAAATCTCAGTTTTCGTCTGTGGATCTGCAATACACTAAACAAATGAAGAAATATGTTTGTTAACAGAGTTGATTAAATGATTGCTTAAAATGTATAAATACACTCGCATCCAAAATATAAAAAACACCATTACTAGCCAAGTACTATGCAGAAATAATGTCATGCACATTGTAACCATACTGTTATAGTTATAACTCCGATACAACCTGTCCTTCAAAATTATGGTAATTAGCACGGGGCTGCCATTGATTACCTATGTAATTAATTGATTCCAAGGCAGATTTTAATTTCCAGAAAATCCTGTCCAACATGTTAAAATTATGCAAGATGTAATATCTTCCCATTCTGTGTGTTACTGTAGATGGGGTATGACCATGACACATTAATCTGGCCTTACTGGGAAGGTTACTGGAGGTTCTGGCAAACACACTAATTTTCTGAGAAGGCATTCTGTGTAGGGTTGATGATAAGAAGTTTGCAATACTAACAGTGCTAGATTTATTGATCTGTATTTTTTTATGTTTTTTACTGCATGCTCTCGTACAGGTCAGTACGGTTCTCAAGGTTTTATTTTTTTGGGGTTGTTATTACTCTGCTACCATCCCAATATCAGTTTTGATATTTAATGTTTCTCCGATAACTCTTGACATTGACTAATCAATTGTTAAGGAGCAATGATTAATAGTTAATCAAGACAAAAAGTATCACCAAGGTTTTTTTCATTCATCTCAAATTGACTACTTTTCAAATTTTGCCAGTCAGTCGTTATTTTCCCATTCTTTGCACTAGAAGAGAAAGCTTGAAACAGCTTACTTGAAATTTATTTTGTCAGTTGACTTTCTTTTGGGAGTCGGTTGACAAGTCAAGACAAGTGAACCACCAGTTATATCTTACATTCATTCAAACACATTAGGATCTAATCACTGAGCAATGAGTGGGCAATGGTCTTTAGAAAACGAATACCAGTTAAAATAAATCTCACCTTGACTTCTATAATAATATCACATATGAAAATCTTTGAATGACAATAGTAAATGTCAAATTGGCTATATAGTAGCAAGAAATATATTCCTGCTACATGAATCATTGAACTCACTCATTCTCATCAATATAAGGCATCCAATGCTGTCTTTCCACCCACATGTAATTCCAAGTAATTCCCAGCCAGAGACCTTTTTTGTCTTGATTTGAATTTTTTAGTTTTCTTCCAGAGCTGGTTGAGCACATGATAATAATGATTTATTCAACAGTCAAACACACACCGAGGAAAGAAATCTTGCTAAGTCTGCAGTAAGCTACACTTAACTGAAAGTTGTGTACCAGAATACACACACCTTTCAAAGCATTCTAATGCACCACACATAATTTTCAAAGGTAGACAGAGCACGAAATTCGCTAACAGTTGAAATAATCGCCAGTCAAACCTGGCTTTTTTATTAGATCCACTCGATTGCATTCCGCCTTTAAAATTATTTGTTTAGTCAATCAATTTTCCTTGAAACATCCAGTTTAATTGTCAGATTAGCTTGTCATTTCAATAGAACTCAAAATGTAAACTGTGATTTCGAATGAGACACACATTTGATTTTTATACTTTCTCTGAAATTGCACTGAATGTTTTTGTGTTTTAGTTATATGTAACATTATTTATATTATTACAATGACACCTGACAAGGGGTGATATATATTAGGCAGCAGTTGAACAGTCAGTTCTTGAATTTCATGTGTTGAAAGCAGGAAAAATGGGCAAGTGAAAATATCTGAGTAGCTTTGACAATGGCCAAATAGTGATGGCTAGACGACTGGGTCAAAGCATCTGCAAAACGGCAAGTCTTGTGGGGTGCTCCCTGTATGCAGTGGTTAGTACCTAACAAATGTAGTGTATAGAAGGGGCAACCGGTGATCCAACAATAGAACTGTGGGTGCCCAAGACTTATTGATGCTCGTGGGGAGCGAAGGTTAGCCTGTCCGATCACACAGAAGAGCTACTGTAGCTCATATTGCTGAAAAACAAAATGTTGGCCGTGATAAAATAGTGTCAGAATACACAGTGCATCGCAGTTTGCTGAGTATTGGGCTATGTAGCCGCAGACCCAGTCAGAGTGCCTATGATAAGCCCTATCCACCACCAAAAGCACCGTCAATGGGAAGATGAGCATCAGAACTGGACCATGGAACAATGGAAGAAGATTACCTGGTATGAGAAATCAAGTTTTCGTTTGATTAGGTGGATGGCCAGTTGCATGTACGTTGTTTACCTAGGGAAGAGATGTCAGCAGGATGCACTATGGGGAGAAGTCAGGCCAGCAGAGGTATTGTAATGCTCTGGGCAATGTTCTGCTGGGAAACATTGGGTCTTCTCATTCATGTGGATGTTACTTTGGCATTTACCACCTACCTTGAGATTGCTGCAGACCACAGACACCCATTCATGGCAATGAAGTTCCATGATGACAGTGGCCTCTTTCAGTAGGATAATGCACACTGCCACACACTTCAAACATTGTTTAGGAATGGTTTGAGGAAACATACAAAGATTTCAAAGTGTTGAGTTAGCATGTAAATTCCACAGGTATCAACCCGATTGAGCATTTGTGGGATGTGCTGGAACAACAAATCCGATCCATGAAAAACAAATCCAATCCAATCCTCACAACATTCAGACATTGCTGCTAATGTCTTGGTGCCTGACACCACAGGACACATTCAGAGATTTTGTGGAGGCAATGCTTTGACATATCAGAGCTGTGTTGGCAGCATGAGGAGGATCTACACAATATTAGGCAGCTGGTTTTAATGTTGTGGCAGATCAGTATATATATATATATATGTATATTTCCAGAATGGACTGGCTGACCCCAAAATGTCCTGTAAATTATGGGGCATTTTGGACCCATACAGTTATATTGTACCCTCTCATACAAAGGAATATGATTCCACCTTTCCTTTTAACATGATTGTCCGTTCTTATGTTGAAATTGTATCCCCACTTGCACATTGATATTCTGCCTTCATTTCCATCTTAAAAACGCCGGAGGCCATAATGCTTTTGAGTTCAAACAGGTGTGAACAGATGCAAATTTCAGTAATTTAATTTCAGAGCAGTGTACGGTAGTTTATCTAGCTCTGTAAATTTGCACATAAGAAAAAGGGTAATTAGAAGATAACTGAAAACATAATAATGCAAAATATGAATTTAATGCACACATACAGAAAAAAAATGTAGATGTTTTAGGGCCTCAATCGCAATTAATCATTTGATAATCATTTGAACAAAAACAAACACGGAATTGTAATCAAGACCAATCAAGACCAAAGTCCGAGCACACACTCTCATTTTTATAATTTTATTTGGATATTTTCATGCATTCATAACTAGTACTGGCAAGCAAATTGCTAATTTCTGGCCACATTAACCAAGTTTTGATAAAAGGTTTAATTTGGTCATAATGGATGACATTTTCCAGTGTGGTTGTCATTCAAATACACAGTATTACTAAAATAACTTAAATACTTTTTTATTTAATTAAATAGGAGAATTGTATATATTTTTTCTTAGTATCAATATAAGCTTTATTTCTCCCTATCCCTCGTGCATACTCCCAACTCACACTCACAATTATTTCATGAGGCAATGACTTGAACTCACATACTGTTAGAAAAACTACATAAAGGATCACAAACATATTTCTGGCCCTGCAGAGTTAAAAATACTATCTAGCCCCCCTGCCCCTTCGCTTTGCCCCCCAAAATATAGTAAACTCTTACCTTTCATTCCAGTCTGCTGCTGCTGGCTCTGGCCCTGATCTGCCTGCTTGGATGATATCATTAGAAGTTATGATTTCAGCCAATCTCAGCCCATAGGAAAGCATTAGATTGGCTAAGACTGTCAATTCTGATACCAGCCAAGGAGGCGGGCTGAGGATGGTGTCATATGCCGCCCTGGCCAATCACCATCTCCTGATGATCCATTGAATCAATGCATCTCAATGAGGAAAGTTCAGTTTTTCCATGGAGACGGTGGAGACCCTGAGTGTGCAGCACTGCCCCAGGATGCACCTCTGGTAGCAATCTGAGGAGTAGCCACTGGAGGTGTCCCTAGGCTGTAATGTAAACACTGCCTTTACTCTGAAAAGACAGTGTTTACTGCAAAAATCCACAGGGACTGATTATACTTACCAGAACAACTACATTAAGCTGTAGTTGTTCTGGTAACTATAGTGTCCCTTTTAGGGGGTACCTGCCATGCTGTTCCTAACATATGCTCTGCTTAAAGAGCATTAAATTCTAATAAATGCATTGTGCAAGCAGATTTATAGCAAATGTAAAGATTGGGAGAAAAAGTTACTTAAAAATAGGTCTTTCTACCACCTGTCAATCAATTCTTTGGCATACACTCTATTCCAAAAAAATGACTGATAAGGGAGAGCAAAAAAGATCTCCCACAGGCAGTCCTTCTGTTCTCCAAAGCATAGCAACTGCAGCACTTGTGCTATTGTTGCTATGGTGACTCTATAGCTGCCGCTGCTAGCGCTGCTGAAAGACTATGAAATGGAGTGACTGAGGTCACTCCATTCATATGCTAAAATGCTGGCAATAAAGCTAGCATGTTGGCGTCAGAGGAAGTTTTCCCTGCTTCGGTCAAAGTCCCTAAACCAGGGCAAATCAAAGGAGACTACCAGTAGATCAGAGGCAGGTGTTACAAAAGTGTAACCACGACCTCTGTGAGGACATGGCGGGCTAGGAGCAGAGGAGGAGATGAATCTTTACAAATTCCCTATAGAAGTTTGCAATAGGATAAATAAAAATCTATCAGGGCTAGTCACTAAGCGTCGACAATTAGTAAATTAAACCCAAATGACAAAATTAAGGCTGCAATAACTGAGTTAGGAAAATTCTCCGACTTGGCCCTAGTCACAGCTTGGTTATTTTTCTCTCATTTTTTGCTATGCGCTATATTTCAGAGTTTAGTAAATCACTCTCTCTATGTATATTTATATTGGAATGTATGTGTATGTATGATTGTGCCTGGTACATCCTTCAGTTGATTTCTATAATCCTCCTTTTCTCATCCCTAGGATTTCTGTACAAACTTTCATTAATTCCAAATAGATCTCTGGTGCCTTTTCCTCCTCCAGATCTTTTCTTAACATTTCCGATAATGGGTACTGTAATTATATTATGGGACAGAATGGAATAAATCAATTTAAACAGAGAATGATGCAGATATACTGTGTCTATGATTAACAATAATATTATCCCCAGTCCTTCATAAAACCAGCATTAATATCAATTAAATTCATGTTCATTCACAAAATCACTCCTGTACGGATACTAAGTGTTACCAGCATGTATATTACATCTTCAGTCAGGTTTTCAGAGGCAGGTTTGCCACTTGTATATAGACGTCCTTGTGCATAGAAGGGGATGGTTTTATTTGGGTAGTAGAGTGTCCCTTTAAATGAGAGATAGGGAGACCAGGAAAGACAAAATAAAAGAATCACACTCTTAAAACATACACCCAGGTACTACACACTAATACCACCTACATTCACACAAATGCAACACATATACACCTCTGCACACCACATACAATACACATATATACCTATGCACACCACACGCACACATATATACTCACGCACATTACACACACCATACATATATACCCCTGCAAACCAAATAAACACCTAAATTTATCAATGTACAGTCATACCACACATGTATTCCCCTACATTCACACACACTCCCCAGGCACACATCTCTACATCTCCAAACACCTATATACATACTCAACAACACTACACACCTGATGGGAAGTTCAGTATTTTTTAACTTAATCTATCTACTTAGTCTATCTACTGGTCACCTAGATTGAAACCCGCCATTTAACATTTCAACTTCTAAAGTGGAAAAACCATACGGTATATTCAGCCATGGCTATTGTGCAATTCTCTCCACAGATACAGTGGAGCCTAAAATGAAAGTCAACGATTTTGGCCTTGTGTGCTTCACACACCACTTTCATATAATGTAATTAACTAGAAAGACTAAATAAGAAAGGAATCATATTGCTGAAACATGTGTCAGTCCTAGCTGTGTAATGAAGGGAATTTTTAATTAACACACAGCACATATGAAACTAGGAGTATGACTTAATAATTAACAGCATCTGGCACACATACCGTTTGGGATGATACATTTGTTTCTGGGGAGAAAAAACAAGTGGGTTTTGATTATATTTTTAGTAATAACACCCTTCTATTGCCATAATGAGGATAGTATTTACAGTTAATCTACAATTAACAATAAATACAAATTAGCACAAAAAATATAACTTTATTTTATATCCTGTATAAAAGACCACCAGAAATTGGCCTCCTTCCATTAAACTGGAATGTTTGTGGGCACTGGGCCTTACATTGTCTCTGTAGGATAGCAGAATTTTTTTTTTGATTGATTAATTGTTATCTGTTCCAGGATCTTGAAGGCATCTACAGCTTTGTAGTCCCTCCTGGTTTGACACATTTGGTTTTTATCTGGCTCCCGTTCTGACTTAAGTGCTTCTTAAGGTCTACAGCTACAGACATTCGCACCTTTTCCAACACTGCATTGGATTAATCTGTTTCTCATCAGTGGGTATACTCAGCTAAATAATATTTGGGTATTTGGGAGAAGTTATAAGCAAACTCCAGATTTCCTAACAACTTGCTGTTCATTTTGATTCTGTTTACTGTTTTCCCGGATCTCAGTTTTGTATCCAGATTATCCGTTGCCTCTAGTTCTGTGGGTGTTTATTAGGTTCACAATCATTGAGTGAGAGAACTCTTCTTTTAGAAATAAGCTTCTCCTTCAGTAGAAGCAGATTTAGATTGTCCACGACCCTAAGCAGGATGTCAGATTGGAGCCCCCTCTTAGCTTTGTTTCTGTTAGAGTGGTGTGTGTAGTGTATTAAACATGCAAGGGAATGGCATAAGGCTATCCTAGATATACGATAAGGCCGGGGGGGGACTAATGAAAGTATTTAGAAAATAGGGCAAACTAGATGGGCCAAATGGTTTCCTATTTGCCGTCACATTCTATGTTTCTATGTGTGTGAAATTGTGTGTAGCAGCTCAGAGCTGTGCCTTTGTGTGTGGCTGAGTATTGCATGTGTGTAGTGTCTGAGTGTGTCTGTTTTCCCCATCCTGATTATCTTTCCATGATGGTCCGGTGGGGAGTAGCATTGTGGTCTGCACCAATATAGGGTGCAGACCACTTTAAAAGCTCCCTCCCAGTCCCAGTGCTCAGTTAATAACTCAGAGCAATGGATGTGGCTCTCTGCATCATTGAGAAGCACAGAGGGTGCTCTCAAAGAGGTCTGCACCCGATATTGGAGCAGACCACATCGCTTCCTCAAGCTGGTGAGGGTGCATAGAGCTGCACAGGGAGATGTTTTTGATCTTCTTGCTAGCTCAAAGAAAATCCCTTTGGGGCCAGAGCTGGAGATCCAGCCCAGACAGGGCCTTCTGCTGCTGAACATGCGCTCTAAGCGGCAACCTTAGCTGCCTTATGAGTAATCTAGCTCTATTCTTTAGGATCAGACAGTAATATTTAGTTGATTCACTTTTGGTGTGCTAAAACCGATGAGCATCTCTCTATAATCTAATAGAATTGAACAAATATCCTGAAAAATAGAGATTCAATATATCACTCTAGTTTTGCTTTAGGTGTGTGCCCTTGGTAGGGATATGCGGGAGTCTGAATGTTAATATGTTATTCCTGTCCTCTTGGTGCTTGTGATATCTTTGTGTATTGAATAGTTCTATATTTAAATATCTCTATGTAATGCAATCTCAATGCTGTTGAGAAGCTAGTGGCATCAAAACTCATTTATCCCAGTTAATTAAATTAATTTTCAGTAGCAGCCAAGTGTAATAAATACAGATAACACTAATGGCATGCATATGAACATAAACTGATTTCTTTAAAAACACTTCTGGACTTGGAAAAGGATTACTGACCTATTTAATAGATATAAAATGAAGGATGCATCTTCTTCATTTTTTGGAGGAGGAGGTAGAGGGGAGAGGGGTGTCTTGTTTTGTTATTTGTTGTTTTTTGTTTGTTTTTTTAAAGGCAAAGCTATCCTGTTTAGAATGTTATGATACAACCACTCTGGTATAATAATATGGTTCTCAGATTGTTGGAACGCAATGGATGTTCTACAGCTCCCAGATGGCCCAATGGTTGACTTTTTTTACCCCCTAGAACCGATCACAATAGACTTTATATTTAGCAATTATCTTTTAAAACTTTAAAGAGAAAGGGTACTTTTGTAGATCGATGAACAGTATTTATAGATACATAGATGATCGATGAACAGTATTTATAGATACATTTTTTTTATGACTCTCTTTCACGTAAATCATAAGTGCAAATTATGACCTGCAAATTATACTCCTACCTCATCCCCGAATATTCTGAATGCAGGCACACATGTTACATAGATACAGTTCAAGGTTGGGGGTTAGAGATTTGTTATAGGCATAAAAGAGAGTTGGTGGGTTAGAATTAAATAAATAAGTAAAAGCGCTATATTTATTGAGTTAGGTATTGGTAGTGGTAGTGGCTGTTGAACTCTCAACATGCATTTTATCACATTTAAGATGCACATCTTATAGTAAAAGTGCAATTATATTTCTACATTTGGTAGCAATTAGATAAGCACAGTGTATAGACAACATTTATGTGCTATTAAGTGCCACCATGTCATATTTGCTTGACAGATGAACTCTAAAGAGATGTCATCACCAAAAATTACAATATATAATTATGCTAATTCTCTTACAGTCTTATGTAATGTGACATTTTCAGTTGATTGTGTGCCAATGTGTACACATCTTTTTTTGTTTGTACAGAATTCTTTAAATTCTGCTCTCAGTGTAGCTACATTTACCACCGTTTATCAGCTATGATTTTTAAATTATGATTATACAGAATCACTTTAACATTTTCATAAACATTAGGAATGTGTTTAAAATGTGGGTTTTTTAAAGCATTGAGAACTTTTTAAGGTGTTGTACTAAAACAAAATACAAACGGTGTAATTAAATGCAATAATGAAGATCTGTCATTTCAGGCTTTCTTCAGATTTATTCATGGAAATTATAGGGCTACTCCAAGCATCATGACCACTTCAGTGATCTGAAGTTGTTATGGTGACTGGAGTTTAAATCATCTGTTGCCAGAGGTGTAGTTCCACTTCTGGCATCATTAGGGGTGTCATCAGCTAGCCAGGAACTAGAAAACTGGGCTGACTAATGTCAAATCTGTGCATCATTCCTAGCGTAGAATGCCAGTCATTGGCTGAGTCAGTTTACTGACACTCTCAGCCAATGAACAGCAACAGCCACGACTGCAGAAGCTTGAAGAGCGTCACCTGACCAACATTCAGAGCCCACTGGAAACTGAGGCAAGGGGGAGAACCAATGCTAAAAGGCCTGTAGTGGTTATGATGATTGGAGTAACTGTTTAGCACAAATATCTAATCCTGTGACATTTTGCACATCACTAAATGATCCCAATTGACCATTATATGAATGAGCAAAGTTATTCCATTGCCGATCTGTGCACTGCATTTACAGGGGAATCACTGATGCTAAATCTTCTGGGACAATTTGTCTATCGAGTCAAGTGCAGTGAAACACTCCACAGGCAGAGACAGTGTTATTTATGCTGTCTATGACTGCACATTCGCCTCCCTCTAACTCAAGGGTCTTGAGTGAGAAGGAGCTTTGGAAGCGAATGTAGAGCCTGGGTCTCACACTCACTCACTACTGTTTTGAGAGTGAGGGAGGCTTGAATTTAAATATAAACAATACCCCTAAAAAAATTAAAGAACTGAAACAATTTTTGGTATGTGACTGTTTCCAGCATTCTGACTGCAGTATCCCGTCATGAGGTTTCACTGGCAGCTGGTATTTGTCTCCTACCTTTAACCTCATCCTGCTGAATGTCACCATGAGGACTCACTGGCAGCTGTAACTGTTTCCTGACTTTGACATACTACAGACTTACTACAAACTCGTACCATGTGGCTGTTTGTTCCCTTTAACATCTTACTGAATAATCCCACTATAAGGACTCACAGGCAAGTTTTGTCTCTCTCCTTCCATTACCATCTTCCTGATTTAAAGTAGCCCCTGCTACCTTTTGACTCACTTCCCAGTATTTTCCATTAGATTGTTAGATGGCAGGCCAGCCACAAAAGTTTTAGCTTTTAGGTCTGGGTCTGAGATCCCCTTTCCTCTTATAGCAATTTGTCTAATTGTGTTTTGTTCTGGCTTCACGCTCTGCCGTTTGTTAATGTTCTCAATGTACAGCGCTTCTGTATATGTTGGTGTTAAATAACTACCAGTAATAACAATAATAACAATAATATGTATTCAGTATTCTATGGAAAATGAAACAAAATTTTAAGAATATTAGGAATTACAGTCTTGAAGGTTCTGTTTAGAAACATTGTAAGTAGTCATTGCCTGGGTTTCGTAATTGGTTTTATATTGACATCCCCATAAAAAGTAATTTGGTGGCATTACAGATCTCATTACACTCACAATAGCCCCACTAATAACCCTGTTTAATTATTATGTGACACTATAATTAAAATTATGCGGGATGATATTTTGGTTGATTACAATACTGATAAAGAGAACTACTAAGTCTATTTCACGCTTTAGAGGATTTTACTAATTAATCTCATAATGATCACCGCAAGAAGGTGTTTTTATTAAAGGGACACTGTAGTTACCAAAATCACTACAGCTTAATGTAGTGGTTCTGGTATCTATAGCCTGTCACTGCAGGTTGAGCACTGTAAACACTGCCGTTTCAGAGAAAAGGCAGTGTTTACATTGCTGCCTAGGAACACCTTTAGTGGCAGTCACTAAGCACTTGAGGTGCTTCCTGCATCAGCGCTGCACAATGTGCACCCTCTGCATCAAGGCGCTGAACGTCCTTATAGAGATGCACTGATTCAATGTATCTCTATGAGGAAATGCTGATTGGCACAGCGCTACGTTTTGTGGCATATGAGAAATAAGCTCCCAGTGATTTTCTGTGTGAAAAAACTGGATTGGCTGAGTTCATCAAGATTGATGATCTCAGCCACGGAGGCAGAGCCAGGTAGGGTCGGCTCTGACAAGACAGGTGCAGCGTGGGAAAAAAGATAAGTAAAAACACCTTTCCTATGCAATCGGATGGGGGTCTGGACCCTATATCGTTGAACATTATGGTGTCAGGAGTACATTTCTGTATCCCTGAAACTATAGTATTACTTTATTTGTTACAAAAACACACAAATGTTTGCTTTTAGTTATAAGTAAAGCAATATATATATTTTCCCAGGTAATGGAAGATATATCCATAAAAAGCTATTCACTCATAACAGGGATGCAAACAGGGATTCTGTAACATTAAATGACATAGAAAAATACAGAATTGTCTAGTAAACAACACTGCATTACAGATTTTGTTTGAATTATGTTTAAAAAATCATTTTTAATATTAATAGGTTCCTTTTAATATGCATCTATTTTATTTATTAATTGACATTAGACAGAGAAGCCATGGGTCATTTCCACTCCACTGGTGAGAGCCCATTATATTGAGATATAGTGAGTGTAGTTGTGAGATTGTTTTTTTTCTTTCACTGATTCTTGTATATGAGGGGGAGGATACGAATACTAAGCTATAATTATAATCTAGGCACACATTGCATTGGAAATTGTTCATTGATATAGTATGTGCCTCTTTCTGCTCCTGATGGATATTCAGCCAGTGACAGCGAAAAGATAGTTCTCGATCTGTACGACTGTAAAGCCTATGATTCAGAGCTATAATCTGTCTACAGCATAGTAGAGGTTGCTAATCCAAAATCATAGTGTTGGCTGTTTCTATTTAAAAACAAACATTTGCCTATCATCAAATAAGCAACACCAAAAGAATAGGAAGATCTAATTGAACTTCGAATACTGTTAAATGTGCTCTGATATTGTAGAAAAATTGCCTCTTTATACCACTTGCCTTTTGCTTCACATTGCCTTTGGGATTTTGAAAATATGTAAAACACTAACTCGATGGGCTGCTAGAGAATGGGGTTAACCTGCAACCCTGTCATTTATCCCCACATGTTGTAGAACTACAATTTCCATGATGCTTTGCATGCCTTTGAAATGCCTTTAGAATGACAAAGCATCATGGAAGCTGTAGTTTTAAAACATTTTGGTGATCTGCCTTTTGGGCACTCTTGATCTACTTGATGAACTATAGCAGTTCAAGGTAAAATATATATATTTTTTACTAAGCTGGTTTACCGTATTGCATTGGTCTGATACGTAGAAATGACAGCTGTACGAGCGTAGCAAGCAAGTCGCTACCGTTATCCGGGTGTGTATCCCAGTCATTTCTAAACCAAATCCTTTAACAGAAGGAAACCAAGACTAGAACGTAAAATAAAGGTAACATTGTGTTAAAACACATTCATAATAACATCTTAACAAACCCAATTACAGCTAACAGTTTAACTAATTGAACTGTAAACTGTTAATTAGCATTCAATCCTGCCTGTAAATGTAGTATCTCCTACTGCCTATCGCTGGGTAGCTTCGTATGGAAGTGCTTTTTCAAATGACTATTGATGAGGAAACAGATCATAGTAAACTTAAAGTGTTGCTTGCTTGCTATAACCCTTTTGAGAGGGGAAACCTATCAGGTGTAATATTCCCTATTGGGCATTGTGGAGAAGGTCCCCCTTTAAATGTGCTGGAAAACCTGAAATACAAAAAGGCTTTACTTACCTGAAATCCAGAGCTTGGCAAAGCTCCCGATGCTATTCTCCCGCACCCCCTTATGACATCACTGGGGCCGCGGTTCATAGAGAAGCCTGTGATTGGATCAATTCACTGACTTAGAAAGCATGCGCATGCTTCAGTATAGTGAAAAAAGGGCGGGGGCGTTAATTTAAGATGGTTTATTAAAAAAATTATAATAAAATGAACAACGGAGGGAGGCGGGAGGGAGCGCACATATACCCTTGCAGTTGCTCTGCCTACAAGGGGAAGATTTTCACATCTGTTGTCAGCGTGCTGTGCCTGTGTAATTTATGTACAGAATTGACATTAGGCAGCACGGAATAGAGTTCTGGACTGCCAATATCACTTGTGCTGGAGGTGAAACTAGCCCCCAGCACACATTTAAAAAATATTTCCGTATGTGCCGTTTTTCTAGAGCAGAAACATTACACATACTAACTCCTACCACCATGACCAATTCAAATCACTGAAGTGGGCATGATGGTTGGAGTGTTCCTTTAATACAAGAGGCTCTGGATAAAATAATATTAAAATGTATGCAAAGAATAAAGATATTTACATGAAATTGGACTTATTTACTAATCATTTAAAAAAAGAGAGAGAGAGAGAATAATAAATACCATGTTTTTTTTTTTCAAAATAAAAAAAGAAACCTAGAAATTATTGTGCTATGTATGGGTATATTAGCTTTGCGGGTACATTGCCACTTGGAAGAGTTTGCAAGATTATTGTACTTTACATATTAAGATTAAAGAATGCGTCACCAAGCTAATGCCATATGTTTAATTAGCTTCCTCTGGGAATTAAAATCCCAAATCGACCAAACTATAATGCAAGCCCATGGGCTCTTTTAGAAATCAGAAGATGGAGCAACATATTATCATGTAATCTGAGTCCAAAATCTCATGTTTGTAAGTGGAACTCAATTTCAAAATAAGGATTCATTAAATAGAAAGTGATAAACTCAACCATGGAATCACTGGATACATTTGTTAAAGAATGTATAAGCACTAAAAATGGATACCTTGCTAAATGTGTAATAATTCATGATATACACCTGGAATGAGAAGCCATACTTGGAGATGCAGTGAGTATTATAGTTGTTAATTCTAGTCTGTCGTTTAAGATTCCATGCATCTCAGTTGCTCACCATGATCAGTAAAAACCTCATTGTGTGCTAACACTATTGTACAATATACATTCTGCTTTCTGATCCAAACGGCTCAGCAATTGTGCTTGCCTAATGAACATCATGAGATGTTCTCAGCTCTCTCCATTCATCACTGTCTACAGAGTCTCACTGGAGCACCGTCATAGTAAATAACACCCCCATGGGACTCTCTTCATAATGGTGCAGGATCGAGACATAAACTCATCTCTGAGTAATCCAGCAGCTATGGACGTGACCTCATTAACACCAATGCATCATAAAGGTGACAAAATTCTCAAGTGTTTTGTATCACTTGTACAAAGTGAAAAATAGTAAAATACTCAAGTCCTGAAAGAATGGATCAATGCCATTTTGTAAATATTTCCAATAAAAGTGTTAAAGAGTGGTGAATACACAATTATGGGAATGCAGTGCAAAGAGATATTTCCTGCCTTAGACTTAAAGAGATTAGGAATATCACAGTAGAGATTAGAGAAGGTGATCACTTAAGATTATGACGTAAAAGCCAAGTATCCAATATACAAAATTAATAAGTATCTCCTTTTTTAATAATTAAATATATCCCTGCTCTCTAGGCAAATGTATATCTCCTAAAATGCCACCTTTATTTTCTAAAAAATTGCACAGATGCAGGGAGATGCTTCCCTCTAGATTTCAGATTTTCTGTCAGTAGTTTGTTCTGCATAAGAGTTACGATATAAATCACAAGAAAAGTGCATTGATCTGCATTACATTACTTGGCTCGGATTCTTTGCTTCAGAAGGCCATTTTGGGACTAGATGAAGCTAAATCTATCTACAGACCATTTAGGAGATAAATAAACATATTGCAAATTGGAATAATACATAGAAAAGTAACTACTATTTGCTGAATTAAAATAGTTATAATAATTGTAACATATCCAGTTTAAGAACTAGGAAATGTCCTTTGAAAGCAACAGATAATAAACAGTCTGCGAGCATATTTAAATAAATCATCTGCTTCTATTTTGAGGAAAACAATATCATTTTAGAAGTCTGGCCTAGGGGGCTTTAAGGAATTTAAGGGTTTGGGATTAATAAAAGGTTTAGGGGGAAATATGATAATTATGGCAACTCACTGTCCAAGTGCCAGAGGATTTGTGAAAAATCCCACAGTCTCCCAGGATCTGGTACAGAGCTCTATTTTGTTCTTCTATATACAGTTAGGTCCGTTAATATTTGGACACTGACACAAGTTTGGTTATTTTGGCTGCTTGCGAAAATCAATTCAAGTTACAATTAAACAATGAATATGGGTTTAAAGTACAATCTCTTGATTTTGAGGGTAGCCAAATTGATGGAAAAGTTTAGGAATTACAGCACTTTATCAAGTAACCCCCTCTTTTTTAAGGGACCAAAATAAATTGAACAGTTGACTCAACAGCTGTTTTGTTGACAGGCATTGGCTATCAGCATCTTTTCTTCATTAACTAAGCAGGTGTAAGGTCTGGGGTTAACTCCAGGTGAGGCAATCACATTTGAAAATGGAAAGAGAGAAATCAGCGCTAGGTTGCCACACAAGAAAATAATAATAACAATAAGGCTGCAATCCTCAAAGGGGAGTCCCCTATAATCCCCTGATGGTAAGAAGAAATACAAAACAGAACAAAAATAAGGTTGCGCCTAAAATATACAATATAACATATAAAAATTGTATATAATAAATAGTAACATTTAATATAAAATATTAAATGAATTGTAAAATAAGTAGTTGGCAATAGTCCAAAACACTTATCATAAGTCCGTAATGGTAGATGCCACGTGTAAGAACAGGGATTCTGAGACGTAAAGTAGAGTGTGTCTTCACAGTTGTGTGCTTGAGATCCAGTAGAACATATGTAGAGAAAAGACAAAAAGGGACTCCAATGGCACAGTATATAGATGAATAAAATAGTATGTAAAATAAAAATAGTCTTACTCACACTTTTCAGAGCTAAAACCTAGCTCTGATATAGCACACGTGAAGTGGAATAATCCCCACTCAAGGATATGTGGAGTGATATTTGATTGACGAGTATCTGGCTCAGATTCGGCGTCCGAATTGGTATTATTCGACCCAGGAAAGTGAAATAAAGTATATAGTGCTCTCTGTATAGTAATTAAAAGGTGTAAAAAAGTATAAAATATACTACTCACAATATATAGAGCAGACTTGTACTGCTCGATGTAAGCGCATGGGTGCTATGATCCCCACCTAAGGATTCTTTAGGCTTCTCGTCAAATATGCAGTATATGTATAGTCAGGTGAAAAAAGAAAGAAAATGGCTATAAAATATTTTATGCCAAAATAATTTCTTTATTATAAAGTAATAAAAATAGTATCTAAACGCGTTTCGCCTCAAGGTCTTCTTCAAGTAGATAACTTTCACCTTTGAAACATTTGAAAGTTGTTGCTGTGAACCCACAACATGTAGTCAAATGAGCTCTCTATGCAAGTGAAACAGGGCAACAAAAATAAATCTATCAGAGCGATAGCAGGAACATTAGGAGTGACCAAATTAACAGTTTGGAACATTCTGAGATAAAAAGAATGCACTGGTGAGCTCTGCAACACAAAAAGGTGGATGATCGTAGAATCCTTTCTATGGTAAAAAAAAAAAACACTGCACAACATCTAGCCAAGTGAAGAAGACTCTCCAGCAGGTAGGCCTATCATTATCCAAGTCTATCATAAAGAGAAGACGTCATGAGAGCAAATACAGAGGGTTCACCACATGGTGCAAACAATTCATAAGCCCCCCATGAGATTAAGATTAATTAATTATTTAATTAAAACAAAATTAATTACTCACCTTTTCTCCAGTGCAGAGTCTCCCTCGACGCTTCAGCAACCTCCTCCTCGAGTGACATCATCCTTGTGGCTTACTAGATATCTGATATAAAAGACTAGTAATTAGATAGCCGCAATACTTAAAAGACCACTATAGTGCCAGAAAAACAAACTCGTTTTCCTGGCACTGTAGTGCCATGAGGGTGCCCCCACCCTCAGGGTCCCACTCCCGTCGGGCTCTATGGGGTGGAAGGGGGTTAAACACTTACCTTTCTCCAGCGCTGGCCTCCCTCGGTGCTGGGGACTCTCCTCCTCCTTCCGATGTCATCGGCTGAATGCGCATGCACGGCAAGAGCCACGTGCGCATTCAGCCAGTCCATAGGAAAGCATTATCAATGCTTTCCTATGGACGCTGGTGTTTTCTTACTGTGAAAATCACAGTGAGAAGCGCCGAAGCGCCTCTAGTGGCTGTCAATGAGACAGTCACTAGAGGCTGGATTAACCCCAATGTAAACATAGCAGTTTCTCTGAAACTGCTATGTTTACAGCTGCAGGGTTAGTCCTAGATGGATTTGGCACCCAGACCACTTCATTGAGCTGAAGTGGTCTGGGTGCCTATAGTGGTCCTTTAAGGTTATTGCTTAAACATCTTTTGATTTTGCCCACAATCATCTATATCACCCAGTAAACCAAGTGGCTGTTACATTGTTTAAAAACTCAATTTGCTCTCAATTCATCTGAAACAGTGAGATGATGTAAAGCAACAGACTTAATTAATAACCAGATGCAAGTACTGCAGTATGCATCACAGGAGTATACAGGATGTCAGAAAATTAAACATTTTGTCCCAGATTAGAATTCTTGCTAAGAGTCTGTTGTTTTTTTGTTGTTGGAAACAATGATGCACTGCAACACTGGCTCCTGTGAAAGCAAATCCAGAGATAAAGGGACACTATTGTCACCCAGACCATTCCATCTTAATGAAGAGGACTGGTTGCAGTGACCGTGTCCTTTTAAAATGCAATGTTTACATTACAGGGTTAAATCTACATCTAGTGGCTGTCATACTGAGGCGCTTACACTGCACTGACCGAATTAAACTCAGTCATGTGATGGGGAAGCCAAAAGAAGAGCATTGGATACAATATTTTCCTACAGAGAAGATTGAATGAGCATGCGGTGCTCAGTGCACATGTGTATCAGTTGCTTAATGCTCCTTTATGTGGAGCATTGGACTGGACAGCCATACCTCCTCGTTTATGTTGCGCAAAGCGGATGTAAGGCAGCACCAAAGGAGGCTCAGCATTGGAAACACGGTAAGTATTCATGTATTCAGCAGTGGACCAGTTATTACCTTGGGAAACTATAGCATTAGGAGCACAGATTTGTATTCCTTTTGCTATAATGTGCATTTAAGAAGTACTGGCATGCAATGTTGTATCTTTACATTCAAAAGAAATGCATCCCTGCTCTGGTAAGATTTACAGTGAGGGGAAAAAGTATTTGATCCCCTGCTGATTTTGAACATTGGCCCACTGACAAAGAAATGATCAGTCTATAATTTTAATGGTAGGTGTATTTTAACAGTGAGAGACAGAAAATGGTGACAAAAGTTGGTGTGATTATTCACCAATGGAAGAAACACAAAATAACTGTCAGTCTCCCTCAGTCTGGTGTTCCATGCAAGATCTCATCTCGTGGAGTTTCAATGATCATGAGAACGGTGAGGAATCAGCCCATAACTACATGGGAGGATCTTGTTAATGATCTCAAGGCAGCTGGGACCATAGACACCAAGAAAACAATTGGTAACAATTGGACTGAAATCCTGCAGCGTGCGCAAGGTTCCCCTGCTCAAGAAAGAACATGTATAGGCCCATCTGAAGTTTGACAATGAACATCTGAATGATTCAGAGGAGAACTGGGTGAAAGTGTTGTGGTCAGATGAGTCGAAAATTGAGATATTTGGCATCAACTCAACTCGCCGTGTTTGGAGGTGGAGGAATGCTACCTATGACCCCAAGAACACCATCCCCACCGTCAAACATGGAGGTGGAAACATTATGCTTTGAGGGTGTTTTTCTGCTAAGGGGACAAGACAACTGCACAGCAACACAGGGACGATTGCAGGGGCCATGCAGGGCCGAACTGGGAAAAAAAATTCAACCTGGGCAATTTTCAATCACAGCAGCCCCCTGAGAAGGGGGCAGGGAAAGAGAGGGTGTGTTTTGTCATGACTAATGATAAGCATGCCCCATCTTAAAGTGAGCATGTTGGTTCAATATGCAGAGCCCTGCTAAAGAGCTCTAGCATGAGAAAAAGGTCCTGTATTTGTCCAGCGCAGCGCAAGCAAATTTAATAACATGCTTGCACTGTGTTTGCTTTTAACTTGTCTCTGGTGTCTCCATAAGTGGGATACTAGAGAACAAAAGGGCCAGGAAAGCCTATTGTGCATGTGTTTAGAGCATTCTTGTGGGATTGCGTGTGTGTAAAGTGAGCTGATTGTAGTGTGATACTGTGTAAATAGGTCAGTGTTTGTGGTGCAATATGTGTGGCTAGGGGATGTAGAGAGTGTGTGCATGCAGGCTGTAGTGTGTGCATGTGTGTGTGTGTGTGTGTGTGTGGTTGTAGAGAATGTGAGTTTGTGTTTGCTTACAAGGAATGTAGTGTGTGCATAGGGGATCCAGAGTTTATATGTCAGGAATGTAGTGTGTAGGTGGTGCAGAGTGTGTGTAGGGTACTGTGAGAGTGTTGTGTGTGTGCTGGTGCTATGTGTATGAGGGTGCTGTGAGTGTGCTTTGTGTGTGTGTGTGTGTGTGTGTGTGTGTGTGTGTGTGTCTGTCTGTCTGTCTGTATGTGTGTGAGTGTGCTGTATGTGTGAGGGTGCTGTGTGTGAAAGGGTGCTGTGAGTGTGAGGGTGCTGTGAGTGTGCTGTTTGGGGGTCTGTGTGTGTGGGTGTGCTTTGTGTGTGAGGCTGCTGTAAGTGTGTGTGTGCTGTGAGTGTGTGGGTACTGTGGGTGTGAGGGTGCTCTGCGTGTGCTGTTTGGGGGTCTGTGTGTTTGGGTGTGCTTTGTTTTTTAGGGTGCTGTAAGTGTGAGGGTGCTGTGTGTGTGTGAGGGTTCTGTGTGTGTGCTGTGGGTGTGTGGGTACTGTGTGTGAGGGTGCTGTGAGGGTGAGGGTGCTGTGTGTGTGTGAGGGTGCTGTGAGGGTGATGTAAGTGTGCTATGTGTGAAGGTGCTATGAGTGTGAGGGTGCTGTGTATGTGAGGGTGCTGTATGTGTGCTGTGCTGTGAGTGTGCTGTGCTGTGGGTGTGAGGATGCTGTGTGTGTGAGGGTGTGCTGTGTGTGTAAGGGTTCTATGTGTCTGAGGGTGCTGTGAGTGTGCTGTGTGTGTGTGTGAGGGTGATGTGTGTCTGAGGGTGCTGTGTGTGTGCGCGTGTGTGTGTTTATGTGTGTGTGAGGGTGCTGTGTGTGTGAGTGTGTGTGAGGGTCCTGTGAGGGTGATGTGTGTGTGTGCTGTGAGGGTGATGTGTCTGTGTGTGTGTGAGGGTGCTGTGTGTGTGAGTTTGTGTGAGGGTGCTGTGTGTGTGTGTGTGAGGATGCTGTATATAAATGTGTTTGGAGGGATTGTCTGTGTTGGGGGAGACAGATTAATTTAAATATATTCAGTATGTATTTTTTTATAATAAAAAAAAACGTTATTCCCCCTTGGCCCCCCCTTCTTACCTTGTGTCTGGGAGGGGGGACCGTGCAGGCATCCCTGGTGGCCTTAGTGGTGAGTGAAGTCTAGAGAGAGCTGAGCATTGCCATGATAACTGTGGCAACGCTCCGATCTCGCACACTCCAGGAACCTGGCGGAGCTGCAGGTTAGAACTTCCCGGGTCCTCCACTCCCTCCCCAGCCAGCGGCCGCATGTCTGTGTCTTTGATCTCTCTACCAGCCCATGAAGGCACACAATTTCACCCCTGCTTCCTCGGTGAGATGAGCCTCTTCACTATGTCCTGGGTGAAGATGGCACTTACAGTGCTATTTACTAAACTGAGACTTGTCAGGAGTTCTAAGTGAATTCAAATAGTTTTTCCAAATTCCCAAAATGAAAGCAGAACAGGCTTGGAGAATTGTTCTAACTCAGCTATTTTAGACTAAAAATTTAAATTCACTTTAAATCCCAGTAATTCTCACTTCAGCACACCCTGCTTGAATTGATATAATTTATGATATGACTGATATAAATGCACATCACTAGTTATTGAATGTCAATATAGTTAATTGTGACACCCACCCTTTCCTGTTCTGCTTCTGACTTTAATTTGATGCTGTAGTAAGTCACACAGACTCCGCTTCCAATGAAGAGGAATTCTAGGCAGACTAAATAGAATGCATCTATGAGAAAAGGCTGTTTTTACCTGCAAAGATCTCACTAATTACATTATTTTGCCACACTTGATCCAATGGTCTTTAACAAAGTTTATATATACAATATGACACTTGTTTTTACATGTTCCTATATTATATTCAAATGTTCCATTTTAGTGTTATTGTTGCAGTTATCCATATTACAGGTGGGACAACACTACATTGCTAAATATTTTGTAATAATGAAAAAAATCTATTGTTGTAAATTCTATAAACGTGTTTTAGTAAAAAAAAAAAAAAATTGTGTTTGTCCTGATTAGTGCCCCCATTGTTAGCGGCAGATTCTGCTGAGAGACAGATTTTGTAGATTTTTTTTTTTTTAAATGCCCCATTTTTGTCGTAATAAACCTACGTGCTTAGTCTGCTCCAACATGATTTCTGATGTCACCCATTGGTTTTGCATTGGGTCATCAGACCCTGGGTACTCTAAAGACAGGCCTGCAAGCTGTCCTGTCTTCTAGACCTGTCATTGGACAAATCCCATCAGGGGGTGGATCAGACCTGTTTGTTATTTACCACAACCATAGTTTATGGTGTCGAAACATGATATGATATATTAATTGGTCAGGGATTAAAAACAAGATGAAATGAACAGAGTCCACAAGCCAGGAAGCAGCGTCAAATTCCAGATCCCAGTACCCCAGCATTTTAAAAAAACTTGCTCTGTTGCTGAATATAAATGTGACATTTTTAGTTTATTCTTTTTTGGGGTGGGAGGTTGATTCTGTTGTACCCTTGGAACTACCATGTACAGATTACTGAAAAACATGTTAATGTAATAAAATTAATTGTGAGACGGCATTCAAAATGGTCCCAAACGTTTTTATTTTTCTTTAAATTAGAGCAGTACACTATGATAAAAAAAGAAAATCGATTTTTCTTTTTGAAATCATCTTCCAGGAATTAGAAAAAAATATGAGCCATTTCTTTATAATCCAATGAATACTTTGTACTTTAATTTTGTCAAGGTCTCTGTACAATGTTTTGTCACTATCACTGTGTGAGTAATGTAAAGCAATCCTTGACAAGGCCTGGAAAGTGAACTGATTTCTAGAACTTGACTATATTTGGCCTCTTTTGAGATTATTATTTTAATGGCAGTACTCTTTGGAATGCAAGCTTGTCCTTAGACTGAAAAGACACCACAGTGAGTTTTACAACATGCCAGAACTCTGCACAGGACATGTGTTTGAAATGATCCATCCATAAGGCAGTAAGTTAAAATACTATACCGTTTACTAGTTTACTTACAAATTCCCAGGCCCTTCGTCCATGTGTAAATATATTATCGTAGAAAATATAAATGTTTTATTGCCCCAGCGAACAGTGCTATTAACAACACAGTTAGCAAATGCTTCTATAGCTGCTGAAGAACTAGAAAACTAGAGACTGGAAAAACCCCCATGGCAATTGTAGTTTAAGATTAGCTACTTGTAGCCCAAACCTACTGATGCCCTTCATAGAGCTTAAAAAAAATTAAATTGTGTTTTCACGTTTTAATATACGGCTTTCATTGAATTAATTCTGTTTCACCACGTTTTAAGTGGCTTTTTATTTAAAAGCACATGTTAGTTTAAGGGGCACTCAAAGCACCATAACCACTGCAGCCTATTCTAATGATTATGGCACAATGAGACTTTGGCCAATCTTGCCTTGTTTTGTGTCAAACTGGTTTTATAACATTTTGACTTAGCATAGGGTTGATCTGGCAATTAGAACCGAGCCTCTCTACTTGTTCTCAATTCTGCATTCTCAAACCAAAATTCTCCCATGTTGGATAGGATGGTACTGATTGGCTGAGATAACTAACGTTCTTTTACTCAAAGTGTGGAATTACTGTATAGTTACATACACAGAGTAGTGTTTATTGCGTTAGACAATCTTGATTTGATTCCCAACTTGATGCACTTGAAGATATATTTTTAATCTGTGTTTAGACCCCCAAATTTAGACAATGCTGCCTAATCCTGAAAGTTGACACAAATGGCCAAATGCAGCTAGTCAGATGTAAACCTTAAATAGATAAATTAATGTGTTGATTTTTTTTTTTAATATTTATGATTGATAAGCAAATTACACATTGTAATTTAGGCCCTAAAGAACTAAAGAAATCAAATACGAGGTTAGAAGATGAAAGGAATTGATGGAACAGTGTGATTGATTGGCTAAACTCTATTAACTCTTAACACAAGTTGTTCCAGCCATAGCGTTTATTGATGTCAATGAGTATTATGTCCGGAACGAACACATGACCTGAACATTTTGTTTGTTGGTTACTATCCAGTGAACCTCACAGATAATGTTTGAGACGTTTCCAAAAAACAAACATTCATATCTTTGAATATACGAGTAGATAAACCCTAACAGGGTTAATAAAAAGGAAATGTGAATATGGAAAAGCAATCACACATAAGAATAAAATATTGATATATCAGGCTAATGAAGCTGTTGGAAGACAATGATCGAAGGTGCTGTAGCATGTTGCAGTGTGTTATTAACAATGTTACTGACGTAATCACTGTTTACAAGACACACTGCAACCGCAGGTAGGACTGGTATACAAATATAACGTTAACACTTTTAGTGCTACAAAAGTGCTATGCAACAGGCATTTAAAGGTTTAAATACCATTGTTTTTTAAATCACAATAAAGCGAATCATTTGAAATAAACATTGTTAAAATAAGTATGCATTAAAAGATATAAACACCTTAAAGGCCCATTCCAGAAACCTATTTGCCGAGTGTAGCTTAAATTACAGTTATTTATACTGACTGTGGTTTTTTTTTAGGTTTTTTAGAAGAAAAAAAAAAAAAAAGGTTTTGATCCTCCCTTTCAATCTGCAGTGTTTCTATATGTGCTACAAAATGTTAAAAAAAAAAATGTGAATGTCAAATACATGTATTTATTTTTTTAATTCTTTCATTTATTGTTTTGCACATATGTATATATTTTTTTAAAGGATGTTTCTTTTCCACCATAGACTGTTCCTTTCAAACACCGTCTTATGGCCCCTGTCATTCACTGACTTATGTCATGTTATTCAGACAGTTCATTACTGATGGAAAATAACTGTCTTTATCCAGTGTAAATGTGCTTGTCATATGATAATACTCATTGATATCTATACTTGTATATTTGTCTACCAAACAAAACAATAAAAATTTAATTAAAAAAAAAAGCATCTGATTTAAATATATGTTATCTCCATGCAATATTATTTATTTAATACTGCTATGTAATGTAGATTGGTTAGGGGGGAAAAAAAGACGTATTTTTATATTTCAGTTTTTTTTAAATTACCCAGGATTCTTTGCTGGTAAACCCTGACTCTGAAGGCCTTCAGAGCCATTAGTAAATTTGAGTTTATACATTATAGAGGTTACTATGGTGCTATTTGGATTATCAGTCACTGAAGTGTAGGAGAGATTGATGTAAATGCATAGAAGAGCTGTGGGGGGAAGTCATTTTATGAATGCAGCTTATAGGTGGACTAAATAAAGGTTAAAAAAAATCTTTCATTGAATAAACATTTCTTAATCCAAACAAGCGGGAGACAGTTTAACCTAGCAACTGTAAATGTAACAGCTAAACACGTTTAATGCCCCTAGAAGCTATCAGCATTACAATGCTCATGCATTTTTGTATAGGTCTATGAGACTGAACAAAAAAACATATACAGTAGCATACCAAACAAAGTGGCATTTGGTTTAATGTATTGAATTAAAGCTCACTAGTATGTTTTGGAAACAGCAATAAGGATTGCCTAAACATACAGCAGAGAATGCAGACGAAGAGGTATTGGATGATGACATAACCACCTGTGATTCAGCCTTGTGTTCATAAACAACGGATATGATGATAGAAACGCTTAGAAATGCAAGACCCACCACTGTCAGTTCCTCTCTCTCAGAAAGCATGATTTCATGTGATGCATTAGCTAAGGAGAGAGTATCAATCAATTATCTGAATCACACAACACATTGACATTACGCAGAAATGGTTACTCATAGACGCCAGACACACGCGACACTATACACCTCACTTACATTCTGAAGGTCTTTGCACTTTCCAAAAATATTTAGTAAGAGACAGGATTCGGGATTTGTATATACACCTGCTGGTTGATGACATGCAGATGTACAGATGTGAGATTTCCTAAAATAACATTTAGTGAAGCAATAAGCCCTTGAGCCCTCTTATTACCTTGAAAAGAGTATGTAACATCAACACTTAACATTAGAAATAATATAGTACATTATTTTCGGCTGTAATCCTGGTCTCTCACCTTGAAGAGGGGAATTAGAAATTAAGAAGTGTTGTAAGGAAGTAGCACACTACTGTAGTGTCCATTTTTCAGACCAAAATATTACTGCTCCCCTCTTCATCATTTGTCCATTCTGTCTTAGGAGCTCAGAATGTTTGATGGGCATCACAGAGCTCCACAGCAATTAAACCCGCCATATACGTAAACTGCTGCAAATGTGCTAATAAGTACATTTTAAGCTTCTAATCTACTTTCCCTTCTTTCATCATAAACTTGATTACATAAAGGGCTTTTAATTGGTTGTGAAATTATGAAAAATGTATTGCTAGTGCCCATCCACCAGTCAGTATACAACCAAACCCAAATACAGCAAATATTGGCCTGCACTGTCCATTCAACATGTTGAGAAGTGTGCAGACACATTGCATAATATACAATAACAATTCTTTTGATGACGATAGTGTTCCATATTTCTACAAACAAGCATACGGGGCATTTGATGCAATTTTGCTCAATTTGGAAGAACGCACTAAAAATATTATATTGATGTCACTTTTCACGCTTGTTTGTATATTCAAATATCAGAGTGTACGCCACTGTCTGCATGTATACTCAAGTCTGAGTGTAGAGTGAATATCTTCTTTCCATGTTCTCTCTAAGCAATACCCCCATTATGCAACTGTTTCAGAAAATTATTTATTTATGATTATCCCGTCACCCTCGTCCCCTGGATCTAAAGAAGACTGGAAGTGACCCTGCATTTTCAGATTGAAGCTGTTAACTGTTCAGTTTTTGTATCTATTCAATATGCAGGCATACTGTATTGTTCAGCTGAATCCATGCCATATCTACATAAAAGCATTTGGAGGCTTACAATGCGCATATAAAGCCATGTAATATGGCCACTTGCGCTCTACATAAAGATAAGGGAACTGCAGTCCTGTGTGCTAGGAAAATGCTGGATTTTGAGAAAATATTGGAAATCAAAGCAGTGAGTGATTTTTCTAAGTATCATTGCTACAAAGCCAATGAATGGCTAGGTGTGAATATTACACCAGATTTATCCTACAGGCAATTTCTGCTGATTTGAAAAGAGAGCCATACATTTCTGAAATATTTGATGCGTCTCAATGCCTCCCTGTCTGCAGTTCTGGTGAAAGGTTCTAAAGAGAGGTTTTAGGTTCTAGATTGTGTAAAGCACTCAAGGTCATTTCTGGTACCATCCCAAACTTCCATTTAATTGAATAATGATCACTTGTGTGCAATGTTGTAAATGAGAAGTTTCCCCATTTTAGCAATGTTATCATTTTAAAACCACTCCATACATTACACAACTCATATAACACTCCAGCATTCTATATTATTCTGCTTTGGAGGCAAAACACAATATATTGCAACAAAGACAACGTAAAGATTTAAACTTGTGAATATCACTTGATTGCAAAGACGTTGCTTCCAGTGACAATGTGCGATGTACTGAGATTGAACTGTGTGCATGCATACAGTATTGTAGATTGAGACATAAGCTGCTTTTCGGACACAAGAAATCTGACATTAGACAGGTCAAGGATCACTCTGGAACAATTTGCAGGCTTGTTAAGTGTCCTTTGCTGGATGGTTTAAAAATCCTTTACAAAGCAGGGAAAAACTAGGTCAGATAAAATATAAACTAATATTTCAAGATTCCGGCAATGCAGTGGATATAATTTAGTGAATGACTGTGTGGATTAAACATCAGGTTCCTTTAATTGCCTTAACTCTGGTTTTTCTTTATGCTGGGTATTAATAGTTAAGCTGCAATCAGGAACACTGCTATTTGGGTTGAAAAACATCTTGGCTAAGGATGGTGGATGGCTCGTAATGATAATAAATAATTTTCCGTCTTGTTGCATTATCATATATCGAGGATGTAAATGAATGACAAAACCAGCTTCTTTAACCCTTTTCAGGAGATCAGTCGGTTGCAGATATTTAACAGGGAGAGGGGTAAAAAAAAGCGGAAATGAAGAACAATAGCTACACAAGATTCCGACTTACCTAGGCTGACACTTGTGGTCTACATGATCAAAGGTCTTCTTCTGTACAAAGCACCCACTTCTCTCCTAAATCCTTTCATCAACCCGAGAAGAGGGCCAAGAAGTCCAATGAGTCCAACATTTTTTTTTTATTCTTCTCCCCCAAACTTCCCCATGGCAAAGAAAAAAAAAATAATAATAAAAAAATAAATAAATAAAAATGTTATATGTGAAAAGAAATCCTGTACCTTTTCGTTAGATCACCTTTAAACCAATCCAAGGAACCAGTAACCCCTTCTCCAATTGGACAAAATATAGAGCAGCAACATCATGTTTTTTTTTTTTTTTTTGATTCAATAGATAAAAGCTTCTTCCCTTAAAACAAAGGGTACCTCTTCTTTTTCCCAAAGCATTGGTGCATGATGCTATGCAGATCTCACAAGTCTTCTCCTTGATAATAATCACTGAGATGCATTGGCTGATGACTCCTACAAAGGGTTACCCTTGGATATAGGCAGATGAAGGCTGTGAATAGTGTTGTTTGATGGTTTTGTGTGTGTGTGTGCGTGTGTTTCAAGGAGGGGAAGCAGCAGTCAGTGAAAATCATGCACCTCCCTCTCCCCTCTCACCCTCCCTCTTTCAGTCTCTTCTATCTTACACCTTGCACACACACACACACATGCACACACACACACACACATACAGTCAGGATCCTGTGCCCATTGGTGCTTGCGGTTTGCACAGCAAGCAGGCACAATCCAGCTGTTTATTCACATCTGCTCATTTACTTAATTTCATTGTATTGCTTGCACGTTCCATAACACTGTAATCCTCTCTGCTTCCCGATCATTTTTTTTTCGTAGTAAAAGCAGAACACCGTGTAAGAAAACAACAGCCCAGTTCGTATCATCTGTTGATCTCTTACTGTCACTGTTCCACAGCGATGTACTCCTCCTCTGGATAAATTGCCAGCACTTGAGCCATGATACATTGTTTCTCTGAATACATTAGGAAGATAAAAGGTTACTGGTTAACCACTGAAAGCTCATTCTAAAACCTCAAACAGGGAACGGTGGGATTGTCTCCTAGGTTACTACAGTGATTAGGGATAAAGCGGTTTTAAAAATGCTATATTTTTTGTATGTTGATATTTGGGTTCCCCTTGCTAACCTAATTTATGTTTATAATCCATTGTTATTCAAGCCTTTGACTGCTGACAACTTAATCTCCATTTGCAGTGATGTGAACTTCCAGCACAGAAAAAAATAAATATATATATATATATATATATATATATATATATATATTTGCTGCATTCCAAACAAATTAAGGGACTATAAGCCTGGGCTTTCAAACAAAACAAGTACCATCACAATAATCCTAGCAAACCACGTGTTAATGAGAGGTTAAATAAAAGGTTGTAGATTCCTGGCACAGTATTACAGGTGACATGTTCCATCTAATTAATTCAAATATGAATTTAACTGTATAGACCAGATATTTTCTTCTTTATTAGCTTAATTTGGAATATATATTCTATTAACCCTTTAAGTGCAGAATGTAAATGTAATGCAATGCACTTCCCGTTAGCAGAGATAACATGTATACAGATGTTTTTCTGCATGTAAATACCACTAGACCACGGGTACCCAAAAGGTAGATCTCCAGATGTTTTAAAACTACTGCTGCCATGATGCTTTTTTTTCATTCTAAAGGCATTCTGAATGTGTGAAAAGCCAGGGACGTATTAGCCGTGAGGCAAACAAGGCATTTGCCTTGGGCGGCACTTTCCAGAGGGCAGCAAAAAAAGCCGCCCCCAAATGCCCAGGCAAATGTCTTGTTAGGCTGGCGGGTAACTAAAAATCCGGTCGGGCGGGCGGCACGGACGAGGGAGCACTTTCACTTGAGCTCTCTGCTCAGCTCCCTCGCGTGCTGCAGAGTGATGCCGGGAGCCGGAATATGACGTCATATTCTGGCTCCCGGCATCACTCTGTGGCGCACGAGGGAGCTGAGCAGAGAGCTCAGGGGAAAGTGCTCCCTCGCCAGCGTCGCCCGGCCGCCATGCAGCCCTGCAGCCCCACTGGACCCCAGGGAAAGGGAGAACCCCCCAGCATTCCCAAAGGTAAGGAGGCTGGGGGGATTGAATAAAACATTTTAAAAAGTGAGTGTGTGTCAGTGTGTGTCTGTTAGTTTGTCTGTTAGGGAGTGTGTTACTATGTGTGTGTCTGCTAGTGACTGTATGTGTCTGTTAGTGAGTGTTTATGTCTGTTAGCTAGTGTATGTGTGTCTGTCAGTGTGTGTGTGTGTGTGTGTGTGTGTATTTAGAAGGCGGGTAGGGGGGAATGGGTGGGGGCGGTGCACTTTGAGTTTTGTCATGCCTAGGGCAGCACAAAACCAGTATACACCACTGTGCAAAGCATCATGAGAGTCGTAGTACTACAACATCTAGGGTTCTACCTTTTGGACACCCCTGCTCTAGACCTTCAAAACAATCAGTGATATTCTACAGAAAAAATATACGAACTTGCAGGGAACATGCAAATCTGTCATAGGAGTTTTGAAAATAATTACTGAGAATCTGCTGAGAAATCTAAACTTGAAGGGAACATCCAGATCTGTCATAGCTGTTATTTTTTTTTTTTTAACATGCAATGCAGTAAAATATTTTCAAACAGCTTCCCACCACTCTAACGCATTTTTAACCAGTATATTGGATCTTAACGAAGGTGGAACTCTCTGTAAACATTTCCACATTACATCCCCACCTTTCTTTTTTGTGGTTAAGGCAAAAACAGGCATGATAAAAGCTTAAAGTGGAAATATGAAAAAATACTGATTTGTTGAGTATTCTTCAAACAGCAGTTGGACTGTCTAACTGTTTGGCGTACAGTCTAAATCGGCGACCCTTGCACTATGTAAATGTCTTCAGTGATGTCATCAAGAGAAGCTTGAGGATGAAATAAAACCTTAATATATTTTGACTTCAATGAAAACTCACACATTTGCAAACAATATAACTTATTATGTGCCACAGAACATCAAAATGCACATTTTTGTTAGTTCCCCTTTAAATTTAATGTAAAAAAAAAAAGTGTTCGTTAAAACTGCTGCTTCTTCCTTTATAGCTCACACATATTACCATATAAAATGCTAACATTGTCCCAAATTAAGTAATATTTCAAGAATTACTTTGGGAATCAAATCATGAAAACTATATTTATTTTTTGCCTAAACATTTCTGTAATGTGTTTTATTGTGTAGTTTTTATATGTATAATACTTGTAGATATATTTTAAAATCTATACATATATATATATATATATATATATATATATATATATATATATATATATATATATATATATATATATATATACATTTATATATACATAATCCTTTGGAATTAAATAGGTACACACTGTTACAGGATGTATTTGCATATAACATGCTTGTTTTACAAGTGCAGAATAATACAAATGGTATAGCCCATTAACAGTATGCCTAAACTCTTACTACACTAAGAGGAACCAGTGTGTAATATACACTACAGTATACATTTCCAGCTAAATATCAGAGCTTTAGAATCTGCAAAGCACACAGTAATCTGATAGAGATCCTTGCATTAGCAGAGTACTGTAATCATGTTTTGGTCTCAAAGCATGTTTTGTTTTTTTTTTGTTTGTTTTTTCTTACAACCTACAAAACACTCTGCTGAATCTAATAATATCTTATAAAGAGGCAATTAACTAAAAATATATTTTTATATATTTTTTTGTTTATTAAAAAAAAAGATAGTATGTAAATAAAATGACATGTAATTCTTCAAGATACGTCATTGTATTTTATACACCAGTTTGCAATAATCATTCACGAGTACCCTGGATAGAGCACCTATACCAATTTCATCTAAAAACATGCAGCGTCCTTGCTTTTCTGACAGCAGTTCTGATTTGCTGTCAGTCAGTTTTAGTGTTGTGTTGCAAGATACACCCAACTTTTACACCATGAAGGCCATAATGTAACCGCAACACTTGTACACTTGTATCACATGGATAGATCTGTCATGGAAAGACCTTTGCTTCTTCAAAAACATCATTTTGTTGTGCAAATCAAGTAACAAATGTTGTGTGCTGATTCATCAAAAAAGGATACACTTAGGAAAATATTAGAATTTCTTAGGATACCATGATAGCAGAACAGATGCTTATTTATTTCCGATGATTCTTTTATTGGTGAGTTTAATAGATAGAAGATATAAGTAACAAATTCTGGTAATACTGACAATTGTTTTAAAGGACCACTATAGTGGCACTATAGGGTCTCTAGGTCCCCCCCACCCTTAGGGTGAGGAAGGGGTTAAACACATACCGTTTCTCCACTCCCTCGGCGGTGGGGACTCTCCGCCTCCTTTCCCCGTCATCGGCTGAATGCGCATGCGCGGCAAGAGCCGTGCGCGCATTCACAATGCTTTCCTATGGACGCTGGCGTCTTCTCACTGGGAAAATCACAGTGAGAAGCACGGAAGCGCCTCTAGTGGCTGTCAATGAGACAGCCACTAGAGGCTGGATTAACCCAAATGTAAACATAACAGTTTCTCTGACACTGCTATGTTTACAGCAGAAAGGGTTGATCCTAGATGGACCTGGCACCTAGACCACTTCATTAAGCTTTGGTGCCTATAGTTCATTTAATTTAAAGTAAAAACATTATTTTATTCACTCTACTATCAACACACCCACAATAACAAAGGCATGGCTATATAGATGAGGTATTCATGGGGTTTAATATCCACTATCTGAGAATTCTCTGCTTCTTTGGTTGTGATAGAATTTTACTTTGATCCAGAATTCTCCAGTTCCTCCAGGTAATTAGGCAAGGGATGTCCCTAAAAGCAGATTAGGTATTGCCAAACAGATTTAATCATCCCGCTCCTTTTAAATGTGAAGGAAAAAAGTGTCCTAGAAAGCCAATCTGTACTCTCTGATTTCCCAGGAGAAAGAATCAAGGTGTAGAACACAATTCTGGAGAATACAATACTAATGCATACACATTTCCTCCCCTTGTTGCATTTTGTCCCTGACCCTTTGGAAGATTGTTTCTCATTTTGTTTACTGTGAAGATTCCACCTCTTTCTGTTTTGTAAAATATTAATGATTAA